AGGATTCTTGTCTGGAGGTCATTTACATCCTGATTTTCCCATTAATTCTTGATTTTCTTGATTATCTTTTCTACTCATTAAATGATCAATCTGATTAATCCCTTGATTGCTAAAGTAAATATTTGAACATGTGTTTTGTATCCAATTTAAGTTAACGCTATACTTTCATTTGATCTCAGTATTTTACACATTTGACATACAACATTTTGAAAAATTTGAAATTGAACAAGGTCTTACAAACAAAGTCTCAGGTCCCGTAAATAAGGTTTTTCGCTTAAATGGTTGACACAGTACCAAATTTAAAGTTAAGAGTAGGCTACAACTTAAATAATCATTTTAAATGTTTTCATTAAAAGAACTGATGAAACAATCAATCCTAAAGATATTCAAACTAGATAAAAAAAACCTTTAAACCCTTTTGAAGTTAAAACTGGTATAAGTCTAAAAGGAACAAAAAAATAGATAATGCCATGAAATAAAAAACCCTTTAATGTAGAATTAACCGAAAAAACAATAAAACCATGAATAATAGATGATGATAGAATAAAAAAAAAAGAAAAACCTGAATAGATAAAAACCGAAATTAATTAATTAAAATTGAAGTTGCTAAATCACTTAGAATAGATAAGCAACAGCAGCAATCAAACCAGCGATTGAACCACCAATAGCTTTTTGTAAAGAGCCAGCACCATTTGAACTTTGAATTTCAACAGAAGCTGGACCAGAACTTGAACCTGGGACAGTAGCTGAAGTTTGTAAAGTGGTTGAAGAACCAGCTGGAGCTTGAGTGGTGGTTCCACTTGGAGCTTGGGAAGTACCGTGTGAAGGAGCTGGAGCTGGAGATGTCCCTTCAGTAGTGCCTTGAGATGGGGCAGTTGATGGAGCAGTAGTTCCAGTTGGAGCAGCTGGGGTACCTGGAGTACCTGGGGTATTTGTAACAACAGTATGAGTTGGAACAGTACATGGACAATCAGTAATAGTTAAAGTTGTTGCTCCAGTAGCTGTATAGGTTTTACCATTTGTAACAATTGTAGTAGCTTCTGGACAATAAGTTGTAAATTCAGTGACAACAGTGTCTTTGGAGATAGTTGTAGTGTGACCTGGTTCTTCATGACCTGATTCAGAAGGAGCAGCAGTTGTTTCTTCTGGAGGAATTGAACCTGAAGTGGTGATTGTTGTTTTAATTGAACATGGACAATCAGTAATGGTTAAAGTTGTGGCATGGTCAACAGTAATGGTCTTGTTATTGGTGACAATTGTGGTTGGGTATGGACAATAGGTGGTGAATTCAGTAACAACTGTATCTTTAGTGATTGTGGTAACATCAACAGCTTCACTACTTGAAGCAGCAGAGGAAGTTGTGTTTAAATATTGAGCTAAAGCGACTGATGAGAAAGCTGATAAGATGGTTAAGAATTTCATTGTGAGCGAGTGAATGAAAATTGATTGATAGTTGAATAAATAATTGAAGGCATGGTTAATGGAAAGTTTCAAGGGTATTTATACCCATAATCTCGATGGTGAGTTTCTCTTGAGTTTCTCTATTTTTAACAGCTTTTTTCCTTTTGATGTAGGAATATGTTTGCCATACTAAAAACAAGACACCAATTTGCAACTCATTTCATTCCCAAAAGGGCAGTTGGACTATTCTTTGGGAAACTCTTGGAAGGGAATTGCTATAATTAAACCAGTTACGCGAGACACAATTAGTTAAAATTAGTTGGCTTGTGCCTTTGCCTGAACAAGGCGTATTTGGGATATCCAGCATCTAATTCAATTTAACAGACAGCACCATATTCACCTTATTCCTTATTCCTTAACTAACCACTAATTCATTACTTAGATGACCCACTGATTACCTGTGAATCCTGTTTATCACTTCCTGCCTATAATTAGAAGACGATGGAAATCGAAATCCACCTCATTAAACAGGAGTGCAACAACCGGTTTTAGATCAACATCTGAAAACTTTTTCATGGGGTTTTAACCGAAAGGAACACCAGAGGCATCTCTACGTAATAGAGTATGAATTACTCATTGATTATTTGATTTTGTACAGTGTGTGCACCTTGTAACACCAACGTAATATATATGTACCTAATTAAAAAACATCCGTGTCTCTGGCTATTATTATGTAGTTCTTATGACCAATCACATTTTATGACGGGCTCTAGTTCTTGTCTAAATCTATTTGGCAGCAGCAGCAGCAGCTTGTGCCCTTTTAGCCATTATCTTACCACAGTGTTTCAACACCAATGGATTCAAAAGTGCATTAACAACAACCCAAACAACTAATAACCCATAATATAAACCCAATTGTCCCTTCCATATATCCAAAAATATAACTTTTGTAATTTCATTTGAAGAATGAATTGGCATCATATAACCATATCTATAAAAATGACTAGTTAAAGCCATTGGACTAAAACTTGGTGAAACATTCAAAATAACCCATGAAATTAACCAAAATCCAACAAATGGTGGGTTATATGTAAAAATCAACATTGCCATATTTTCACTAGCACCACCAACTGCAGACATTGTTAAATAAGTTGAAAACCAATAAACAACAAACCCAGCTTTACCAAATGCCACTGTGAAATCAATTTGGAAAATTGCTGAAACTGCACCAATGAATAATGACAAGACCAGATAACTGAGCTGATTTCCCAAAAATCTATAAAGAATATATTGAGGCATTTTCAAATGTGGTAATAAAATCTTGTGAGTCTCCACAAAGAAGTTGAAAAGGAAAAATGAAATAATGATTAAATAAATTAATCCAACCTGTAATGGAGCTAATAATGTGTTGTTTGTATATGGACGATAATCATTGAATATGAAATTTGGTGGTGTGGTAATTGATTCACTATTAATTAAATTCAATTTTTCATCTTGAGTTAAATTTGAAATCAATTGTTGAGCAACAGGTGCATAATTTGATTGGAACGCTTCCTCCAATTGTTGGAAAGGTGTAACAACATAAGGTTTCATATTTGTTATATCTCTTGCAGATTCATAAATAAATTCCACTGCTGGTCTTTTATCAACTTGTGCATTCTTATAAGATTGATATTGATTATAAGTTGCATTTGGATAAATATGAACAGCACTCCAATATTTTCTATGATGAACTTTTTCCAATAATTTTTCACTTATATTTTCACCTCTTGTAAATAAACCATCTTGATAAATTTCATCACCTTGATAAATTCTCCAACCGGCTCTTGAATTAAATTGAGCACTGCGCATCAAATTAGTCAATTCTTGTCCAATTAATCCATCAATATCACCAACTCTTGTATCCTCCACAATGACTAAACTTGTTAAGTTCTTTAAATGAGATTCACGATCATATAAAGCACCCCAATAAATCGAAAAAACAACAATAACTAATGAACATAAATAAAACCAAATTTTCAAATAGTTTAACAATAATTTAAATCTTAAATGAGAAATATTTGGATGGAAAACCCAACTCTTTCCTTTGGAGGACCACCTGGCCCGCCTGGACCTGGACCGCCGCCTTGAACTTGTTGTTCTTGTTGAGCTGATGCTCCACCAGTATTAGCCTTTTCATCATTTGAACTTGAACTTTCCAATCTTTGATTCTCTTCATCATTTTGTTGATGAGATCTTGAATAACTTAGACTTAATTCATCCATCCCATATAATTTATTACCAACTTCTTCACGACTTGGTAAATAACTAGCGGGACCTTGATACTCCTCAGATTGAATATTATTATTACCACTCATTATGATTCCTGTAAACACTCTGAAACTTCAATAACCATATAATAAACTCTTCATTAAATGAATACCATCATCATCTGTAGTTTATATATATTATTTTCTTCTTGATGACAATTACAAATTCTCATTCAAAAGAGTGTTTTTTAACTTGTTTTTCTCGGGAAGCAACGCATTTTCTCGGGCGAGAAGCTCCGAAAAGGGGAAAAGGCGCCGAAAAGCGAGTGTTAGGTAAGTTATTAGCTAATAATCCTCATATTAAATCAATTCTAATAAGTAAACTAGTTTAAACCGTTGATTAATAATGATAATGCGATGGAAATAAAGGAACAGAAGGAATAGAACGTCTCTATCTCTGTAGATTGACTTTGACGTTTGGTGGACCCTGGGACTAACTCAAGTCGGCCGAGATACGGCTTTTCGTGGACACAGCTACAAAGTGTATGAATTACAAATTCAATCAATTATACATCTCTTTAATAACCTTTGCCCATTGTTCAATACCCTTTTGGATTTCATCTTTGGTCAAATAACTAATACTCAATCTAACACTACGCTTACCCCAATGTCTAATATCTCCCACAACTTCAAAATTATCACCATTTGCCAATACGATATTTTCATCATTTTTCAATTTTTGACAAATTTCCCCAACATCATAATTTGAAGGTAATGTAACCCAAATGAAATAACCACCATTGAAGCCTGTAGCTTTTGTACCAGATGGTAATAGATCCTTGATCAATTTTTGTAATAAATGTGCCCTTTCTGAATAAACCCTTCTAAATGAATTTATAACTTTTTCAATATCACCATTTTGTAAAATTGTACCGACAACCATTGAATTTAATTGAGATGGAGTACCACCACTAACATTAGCACCACCTTGACTTAATTGATGAACTAATTTCTCATTAACACTTTCTTGATATCCAAATCTTAAACCCGGTGCGATTAGTTTAGAAAAAGTACTATTTATAATAGTGTTACCATATTCATTTCCATACGAATCACGATCTAAATGTGTTAATCTTGGTAATGGCTGGGGTAAAACTTCTAAAGATTGTTCATAATCTAATAAATCATAAACATCATCAGTTATGATCAACATATCATATTTACGAGCCAATTCAATTAATTTTAATCTTGTCTCTAAATCATATGTTTCACCACCTGGATTTGAAAAAGTTGGAATACAATATAAAACAAATTTATAAATCTTCTTTGGGACACCCTGAGGATTATTAATCAATTTCAAATCTTCATCATTTGAATCACTGCCATTAAATTGTTTTAATTTCGATTCTAATTGAACAAGATCAACACCACCAGGGATTTCATCAATACCAGTCATCTTACCACCAAACCCAGCATCAATAAACGTTTCATTGATCAAGAAATAAGTAGGCGTGATTAAAAAAGCTTGCTTTGTATAATTTGTATGAGGTAAAGTAGTTTGAGTTAAGATATTCATAATACCATAACTTGAACCCGCAGTCAAATTGATAAAATCATGAGTTGTTGGTGATTTTGGCTTGAACGTTGAATTGGAGAATTTGGCAACTTCATCACGAACCCAAATAGCACCAGCATCTGAGCCATAAGTTAATGGATGTCTATTTTGTGGATCAAGATCATAATCTCTTTTGGCTGTTAGTAGAGAAGTTGTGGCATTGACGATGGTGGAGTTGGGCAGTAGAGACTCTGTTGGATGGCCCTTGAAGAAGTTGATGGACATGGCTTATGGTCTATCTTGATACTCTTTATTGGTTATTCCTTTTCTTTATTCAAATTCTTCAGTTGTTCAATTTCTCGAGACTTTTCATTATCAAAATGCTCCCGATTCGACAGGACTCTGCGGCAGTCGCGAATTATCAGCTTCGCGAATGGGAACTGTGGCTGAATTGGATAGAGAATAGGTAATAGAGAATAGATAATAGATATAATAGTAAATAGTAAATGAATAAGTAAGTAATAGATAAAGAATATATCAGAGTCACTTCTATAACACCATATAAACTGCTGTAATCCTATCCAAATAATGCCCTTTATCTTCCCTCTCGGTGCAATCACCGTTAACGCCCCAAACTCCACAAAGGCACTAAAAAAATTCAAACCCAACGAGACAAATTGATTATCAACTTCACCATTAACTCCAACATCAACACTAGAACAGAACAACTAGAATATAGATAGAACCAGCTTAAAGGAACTAACCAACGAATCCATTATACCCTTAGAAAACGAGAACCTATATCAACAAGTTTATACAATTAAATCAACACCATATTTCATTCGCCACCAATGTCAGAAGACCAACCAACCCCAATCCAACTAAACATTTATGACTTATCACAAGGGCTAGCTGCCCAACTATCATTACCATTGATAGGGATTCATCTAAAGGCCATTTACCACACTTCGATAACGGTATACAACACTGAATATTTCTTCAATTCTCAAGGTATTATGCAAGTTGTACCATTAACTTCACATTTTGGTAAACCGATAGAAATTAGATCAATGGGTGAAACTTTTATACCTCAAGAGATATTTCAAGAATTTTTACAAAATTTAGATAATTTTAAACCGGGACTTTATGAATTGTTTGAAAATAATTGTAATGATTTCACCAAGATTTGTTTAGAGTTCTTGAATGATGGTATATTGGATGAAGAAATTAGTGGGATGAGTATGAAAGTTTTGAAAAGTGAAAAAGGTGAAGCTCTAAGAAATTTGATGATGGGGTTCATGCCATAAACTACTACATTGATTTCATATATACACGATGTTTATTTTAATCTATTTTATATTTCAAATGTTGTGTTGTATTGTACTCTTTACATTTAATCTCCAATTTGGAAAACAAATTAGGTCTAATCTTGAATTCAACTTCTGATCTTTCTAATATCTTGAAAATATAAAACCAATAATCACTTTCTAAAAAAGTTGAAACAACTAAATCCAATGTTTTCCTTTGAGCAAATTTCAAATCTCTTGATTCTATCAATTCATAAATCTCTTTTAAAGCATCTTGATCAGAGGTTATATCAGCTCCATGAATCAATTGTAATATGGTATTTTCATTAATATATGGTTGTACAATAGGGGTTTCATCAATCAACCTTAATGCACAAGATATTTCACCTTCTTCACAAAATTTGGCAATAACAAGATTCAACATAAATTTCTTCAAATTATCTTGTGATGATGTCATTTTCCTTAGCATCAAAGTCCTTGTCGAATCAACAAATTCAACACTAATAAGTGATTTTAAAAAGGGATAATCAACAACTTCTAATTCTTTTGAACCATCATTACATGATTCAATATATGACCATGCCTTGTTAAAATTCTTTGTTTTAGCATAACCTTCAGCTATACTTTTATCAATTCTTTCCATAAATTCAGGAAGGAAAGATCCTTTATTTGATGCAATTTGCCTTATATTGAATAGATGTTGCATGTGACCACTCTCTGCAAGACATTCAGCCAGTCTAACTAATGTCCCATTCTCAATATAAGTTCTCTGTAATATATGATTTTGAAACTTGGAGACAACTTTGAATTCACCCATTTCAACAGCCTTGGAAAGAAATATGGAAAGTGTACGAGGATATACAACTCTTCTATGTTTCATTGCCTGTTCTAAAACATTTCCAGCTTTTTCAACTTGATTAACAAAACATAAATGTTGAATTGTAATTTCCACTGTGGTGAACCGTATTTTACCCAAATTTTCTAAAGTTTCCATAACTAATTGATATGCATCATCATATTTCTTCAATTTCAACAACATTGCCACCAAGACATGTTTATTAAACCCACCATCAAATTCAACAAGACCTTGAGACATTCTATCAATCGTATAGTCATTAGCATATTCTAAAAAAATCTTGATCAATTTGGTTTGGATTTCCTTAGGGACACTTGAATGCTTGGATAGTTTATGCACCATAAGGATTAATCCATCTAGAATATCACGATTATTAATATCTTTTAATTCAACAGATTCTAATACATTTTGTAAAAAAAACCGATTTTTAGAACTTGGAACTATTGAACTCAACACATTAGCTGCAATGATTGATATTTCCTCCTTGGGGAGCCTTGAAGCAAGATTTGTGAATATTATTGGTGGTTCTGGATCTTTAGGATTATGAATTTTGGAGTATAATGTATTGACTTGACTTTGAATATCAACTTGATGTGATTGGTTGGTTGATTGGAACCGTATAAATTGGGAGCTGAATTGGCAAATAGAGAAACTGGGTATTCTTCGACACACTGAGCTATGCCGTATCACCAGCATCTTAACTAGTAATTAAACAGCCTGGAAAATAGTGAATTCTGATTTCGTTTCCAATATTCAAATTCTTTGATGTCGTGAACTTTTTTTTTATGGGTTGAGTATTACATAATCACTGGCTATTTTTTTTTTTTTCTATCAACGACGTTTTTGAAAAACAGAAGCTGGATTTTGAATGGGTATAAATCAATTCAATTTGAAGGATCAAGATTCAAAGAACAGACGAGTTTGGAGAGATGTTGAGATCTTCAATACTACGCAGCTCCAAAGCTGTAAGTTAACATCTCTTTTCTTGGCTGAGTTCCCAATACTAACCCATCATTTATAGGTGCGCATACAGCCTTTATTCTTAGGTGCCAGACTAAATCCAGTAAATTCAAGATTCAATATACAAAATGTAAGATATAACTCCAGTTCTTCTGCTCAGCAAGCAGCAACTGAAATACAAAAAAGTTTACCTTCATTTGATCAAGCTGCTGAAGTTGTTTCAGGGACAGGCTCTCAAATAATTGGTGAAGCTTCTCAACATATTGGTTATTTACAATCCATTGGGTTAGCAAAATCTTGGTGGTGGCCTCCAGATTTAATTCAACACGTTTTAGAAATCGTTCATGTTTATACTGGTCTACCATGGTGGGCCACTATTGCTTTAACAACAATCTCTGTTCGTGCTTGTATGTTCCCGTTATATGTTAAATCCTCAGATGTTATGGCCAGAAATGCAAAGATTAAACCAAAATTAGATGATCTTCAAGCACAACTATACTCAGCTGCTGATATGGCTGAAAGTCAATTGGTTATGATGAAACGTAAAAAATTATTACAAGAACATGGTATTAAAAATCGTTATTTGATGGCTCCAATCTTACAATTACCAATTGCTATTGGGTTCTTTGCAGGTTTACGTGGTATGGCTAATGCTAATGTCGATGGATTCCAAAATGGTGGTATCTTGTGGTTTCAAGATCTAACTGCTGCTGATCCTTATTTAGGCTTGCAATGTTTATCAGCTGCTGTTATTATGGGGTTCATGAGAGCTGGTGGTGAAACTGGTGCTCAAGTTTGGACTCCCCAAGTTAAGAAAATCTTAACCTATTTACCACTAATCTCCATTCCAGCTACAATGTCATTATCAAGTGGTGTTATCTTATATTTCTTTGTTAATGGGTTATTTTCCGTTTTCCAAAGTTATATATTGAAAAATAAATCATTTAGAAAATATATGAATCTTGCTGAAATTGCTCCACCAAAACCTGTTGATCCATCACAACCTCAAAAAGGTATAAGGGAAACATTCAAGGAGCATTTTGAAAAAACAAGAAAGCAAGCTGAAAAAAAAGCTGAAACTAAAGCTAGAGAGGATAAATTAAAAGAATTAGCAGATCAAAAGAGAAAAAATGCTGAAATTAAAATTGTTAGAAGAGGCAAGAAATGAATAAAGAGAATAATGTCTTGTAAATATGATATTTATATATAAATTTGTCGGTATGTTGTATAATAACGAGCCACATACCCATTAATTAAAAAAAAAGTACATAAAGTGTATTCAGTATTGTAGAATAAGTACAAAACTGGCATGAAAATCGTCATTAAGAATAATTATTATATTAAAATCAAACAAAAACACAAAACGAATAACAAATTGAACACATAAAAACACACACACACACACACTTTATAATTTATAAAACACACATAGACTTATTCAGCTGCTGTGAAGACAGTACTGTCATCATTATATTGTTCATTGAACACAGCTTCTGGATTCTTGATTAATGATTGTAAAATTGTCTGTAAAGCACCAAGATCAGTACCCATACTAGCACCAATGTTATCATTGTTTATAAAACTCATTGAAAAGACAATTGCCAAATTAACTGCATCCATTCTATTGTTTTCAGAATGTTGAATAACTTTGCTTAAATGTTCAAATAATCTCTTCAACAAATGATAATTATGAACTGGTAATTGACGAACTAATGATTTCATATTTTCCACCAAATCACCTTGTTTAGTAGCTAAAACAAACTCTGGTAATAATTCTGAAGTTAAAAGACTTTCTGGTAATTCACGTAAATATGATTTAAAACAACCAGCTAAAGTGTTAATTTCAAACCAACGATCATCTTCTAAAGTGAAATCACCACCTTCATCAAATGCTTGCTTTAACAAGTTGATACTACCAACAGAACCAGGGATTCTATATAACCCAGTTTCATCAAGTCCTCTAACTTCAATTTCTTGTAATAATCTTTCAACAATTCTTGGAATCAAACTACCTTCACGTTCACAAACATCTGCAATTGGGACACCAAACACTTTTGAACTTGTTAAACCTTGAGCATCTTTCGATAAATAGGTGTACCTCTTTGATAAATTTAATGCACTAATCCAACTTTGAGCTTCTGCATTGTTTAATGCTTGGAAACAATAATCTTCACCATTTTCACCAACAACTTTGAAAAAACCTTCAATATTTGAATGAACAAATAGTGGTTTTGTATTGAATAACTTGATTTGTTGATATGGTTTAGAATGTTTACCACTAAGATCAACACTATTAACATCAGGTAATTCATCTGGATGAACCACTCTATCAGGGCCTGACCAATTACTACCAACACTTATGGAAAATGGACGGACAGATTTCAATAAGCCACCAAGTCTTTTACCCATACTTGAACCAGAACCTTTTGAAGGGGATGAACTTTGACGCGGTTTACGTAATGAGCTTTGATCATTGTATTGAGGAACATCACGTTGAATAGTTGTTGAAGCTCTTGAAGCTTGTGATAATAGTTGAGTTCTTTTGATATCTCTTTCTTGATTTTCCAAAACTTCTCTTTTCTTCAAATCACGTTTAATTTTTTCTTGTTCAGATGCAATTAATCCTCCTAAGAATTTAGCCTTTTGATCATTCTTTGGATATTCTTTATTTTCCCTTGAGGCGAATTCTTTCACTTGTTTGTGATCAACAGTCGGATAATGTGCCAACTTGAATAAGAAGGAAAACTCATCTCTGATTTGGTCACTTTCAGAACCACTTTGAGCAAATGTGTTTTGGAAATTTGCATTCATATCAACAATATTTGTGATACAATTGTAAGTGAAACGACGTTTATCAAAGTTGATTAGTTTAGAATTTTCAATTGACATATTTGGAACAAAACATGAAATTTCCAATAATCTTTCAACAAACCAACCAACACAAGGCGTCAAAGCACCTTTCAAACTTTTGTTTAAATGTTCGATTTCAAACTTTGGCAACAATTGAACCAAATCATCCCAATTATCTGCAGTTGATGATGAGTTTAATGTTAACGCTGAATAAATCCAACTTTTGGAAAAAGATCTTGATTCTGGGGAAACAATAGCTTGTGTAATTGCAGTTTCAATGAATGATGGGACATGTGGTGAAACTTTACCGATATCACTATCCTCCAATTTTTCACTACCATTGAAAAGATCCACTGAACCATTTCTTAATCTTGAAATTGCCAACACTTGAAGTATTGAAATCATTCTTGAAGTACGAATGTCTCTTGAAATATTGGTATCAGAAATTTGTAACTTGAAATATTTCTCCAAGTTTGAATGAACATCAAATAGTATCTTTACTGGTGGAGGAAATTTATTCAAGATCTTGTCATCCATATTGTCACCATACAAACTTTTGATCCATGTGAAGACATTCAAGATTTCCAAATCATCTTCACTAGTAGAATCAGTGCCTTTAAACTTGAATAAACTGGTTAATGATTTACCAGTTTGAATTTCCAACAGTTGAAACACAGAGATCCAATCAGAAATGCTAACAGAACTGAACAAGTCATTGATAAACCAATCTAGTTTTTCAACAAACAATTCCGCTTCTTCAAAATCACTTGGTAATTTCGGAAAACTAATAGAACCAAAGTTCTTTTGATCAGTGTTTGGTAAATGTTTTGGGAAAACATCTAATGGTCTATAACATTTCTTGATATAGTTCTTTCTGATTTTTTTGTATAACGAAGACAAAACTTCATAGATTTCAGTCAGCTCATTTTTGGATTCAGAATATTCATATCTGCTCAAGACTCCTTTCCATTCCACAATTATTTCATTATCAATGATTTTCAAAATATCAACAAAAATCTTTTTGACTTGCAAATCATCTGTAAAATCAGCATAATACTCATTAACCAAAATTGATAAGGCTTCCAAGATACCCAATTGAATCTTACCAACAAATTTCCAATTCAAGTTTTCATCATCAGAGGCAACTTGACTGTACCAATCCGGGAACACTTTTTGTTCACCATGTAAATCACCTTCTGTATTTAATTTAGCAATAGACACAGCACCTGATTTAGCACCAATGAATCTTTTACCTAAATTTTCCAATAACATAGAAGTAGTTGCAAATGATTTGTAAGTTGCAAAAAAAGTTGAGGTGAAAACACCATTATTCATATTCAATTTTAGAAATTGATTATCCAACAAGTTTGATTTTTCCAAATAAGAATCAATATCTTTTTGGTTAATTTTTTTAGAGAAAACATTTGATGTCAATACCAAAATATCAATCAATTTTTCAAAAGTACCAGCTTTCAAAACGACGTTTAATGGTTTAATCAAAGAGTTCAATAAGTTGGAGTTGTCCAAAATTGCAAAGACATCGTTTGCTTCTTCTTCTGTTTGACTTAGATCCAAATGACCAGATACTCTGTTTGAAGGAGTATTTGAGTTTGAAAGTTGACTCAAACGGTTATTGGAAATTTGACTTAATCTCTTGGACGAAGGATTTTCCAGAACAACACTTGCAGGTCTTGAACTTTTCCATTCATCACCATTATTCAGTGATTTGAAAATTAAATCATCATCAATATGGAAAACATCAGAACCAATGTTAAAAATATCACGAACAGATTTCAAGAAAACATGCTGTTTCGAAGAAGGAATCTTGGAGTTCAAAACATAACTGTGTAAATCAACATCATTAACACCTGTAACTTTTTGGAAGCTTGAATCATCTTCCTCAGACTGTGTATCATTTGGTTTAGCAGCGAACCCACCAGCACCAATAAGAACAGATTGATCAAATAACTTGTAATTTGGCAAAACTTCAGTAAACAAGGTTGGTAAATAGGAGCCTGTGATTAATGGTGTTCTTGAATTGTAATGTAATTTGTGGTATTGGCCAATTGTGTTAGCTTCTATTGACAAACTCAATTCCATGATTGATTCTTGAGTTAATGGAGGGAGTTGAACATGGTTAGTTAACAAGTTGTACAATTGTTTGGTCAGCTCTTGGTTCTCATTGAAAGTTTGATTCTTGAATTGATCGTTATCTTGTTCAACATTTGATAAATACTCATCCCACCTGCTAAAAGAAACTTTAACTCTTTGAACCCTCTTCTCACATTGTTTTAAAGTGGAGTTTTCAATATATTTAACAGTCAAATCACCAAAGTAAGGAACAACATCATGTTTAGAATATGAGATACCAAGCCCCTGTGGTGCAATGACATGATAAGAAGATCTATGGCTTGCTTCACTTATCATTGTTCTTCTATCCAATTCAAAAACAACTGGTGCCCATTCTGTGGATATAGTTTTCAAATAATGTTCATCAACAAGAGACCAAGTTTTCTTCAATCTCAAAATCGGCATTGAGCAAATAACAGTAGCTATAGCTAGCCAACTCACCATATCACCAATTTTATCGAAAAAGCAGCCTAATTCAATCCACTTAGACAAGATTCTTGATCTTTTAAACTCTGAGTTTTTGGATTCATTATCACCGAATAAATGATTAACTAATAATCTCCCCAAGTAATGAACATTGTTTGTTGAGTTGAAAATCAACGGGTTATATCTTGAATAGGACAGGTTTTCCAATTCATACAACAATGAGGCATCTGTTTTTGGGTTCCAAACTTTATTAAATTTCAAGTCAATGGCATTGATTTGCTTTGCTAGTAGTTCTGAATCCAATTTTAGGAAGTCATCAACATTTGTTAAATTCAAAGATCCATTTGGTTGATATTGTTGATTTTTGAAAAAGGTCAAATTCTTCATTTCACCTTCTTTTGATGAAACCAAACTTTGTAATTGTTTTGCCAATTCATCATTATGAATGGATATTGTCTCTTTTAGTTTTATAACCAATTCTTTCAAATCATCATCTAATAGCATACCTGGGAACGAATCACAAATCGTAGTGATTACCAAAGCCATTCTTTGAGTAATAGCATGATCTGTATTCGAAGAAACAACAACTTTATTTTTTGATTGTCTTTGTGAGGAGAATGATATCCCATATTCAATAAAATATCTCAAACTTGCCTTGACATCACCAAATAATGGCAAAATAACTAACAGATTGTATGACAACTTATCATCATTCAAGGTATTGAACAATATCGTGTGACAGATACTCTCTAGAGTTCCAGAGATTATTGAATTTGCTGAATTGAGTTGTAAATCTGGGTGTGGGTAAACTTCAGAAAGATATTTCAACTTGATTCTAAAGTTTTTAGTGGTGGCTGATGAGTTTGATGTATTAGCGGAAGAGATTGAATTAGATGAAGAAGATGCCGATGATGAATGAAGATTTGAAGATGATGATTTGGTATCGGCTTTCATGTTCAATCTTGATGAAGCCGTCGATAGCCTTTTTTGTCGCACACTAGTAGATGGCGTTGATGAGCTGGCTGATTCCAAAGATGTAGGACACGCACTATGATCAAAAGCTTTAATATTAACGTCCGCTGGAACTTTGTATAATGATAAAACAGGACCTTTCAATTGAGCCTTGTAGATTCTCCAACTGTCAGAGTTGACATTTGTCCAATTGTTAACATGGTTCCCTTTGTTTAACCAACCAGTTTTGATTTCTGTTGAATCATAAGTATCATAATTGAATGGTCTTGAAGATGAAGATGAAGTATTTGTGTGATTCAATTTGAATGAGCTTGATGGATGGATACTTTGAGATATTGATTCACCGTCATTTTGGGTCAATGTATTCATTGAGGAAGAATTAACAATTGATTCAGCAGCAGCAGTACTGGAGTGTAGTGTTGAATTGATAGATGTTGTTGATCCAGAAATTGTCAAGTTTCCAATATGGTGAGCTCCATTGAACCCATGATCTTTATCTATTGAAGCTCTAGTTTCTGAATCCAAATTTGTATGCAAGGAGCTTGAAGAACCGCCAAACTTTTGATCAGATCTTATATAAGGCTGATTGTATTGTTTTGATTCTTCATCAATATTTCTCAACTCTGAAACGTCTCTATCAGTAGTTTGGTGACGGATTGACTGTTTAGTATTCGACTTCTCTTGAGCAACGCTATTACGCTTGCTCCTCGAACCCCACCTCATCTATGAAATGGTACGATCTGGAGGACAATAGTTAGTATTCAATATAATCTTCAAAAGATATTTATCCAAGGAGATGAAGGATTAGTGAAAACTTTTTGAAAGAACGCGTTTTGATCGCGTTATAATGTGATACCTGTTCTTCTGTGACCTGGTATGTGAGTCCTTGGAATGGGAAAAAAATTCAATCAGAACCCTGGAACCGTGCAAGCAGTAGACCAATACCTTACTGATTCTTGAATCACTTTGAGAGTGGCTGTTATTGTAAAGAATACTGTTTCTGGGTGATGATGTTGTTGTAGGTATGTCAAATTCCAATAAATGTCACACGTATACGCACTCAACCAAGAATGTAGCCTCAAATGCTTCCACAACGATTCTGTTCCTCTCTCCTTGGACAAGACAGGCCCTCTAGCCAATGTAATTGACACTTACCGTCAAATTGCCAGGCTTTTGTGCTTTGGTAAGACCCTGGGTGTCGTGATTGTTCTGATCTGTACTGTCACAGCTTGCAATTTTCTTCTTGATCCAAAGTGTATTCTGAAAATTCCAAACGATTCACCGCGATCAAGAGTCGCGAAAAACCTGTAATCACCCGGAAATGCCTCACTATAAGGACGATCAAACACAATTAGGTACTGTTGGAGGGCTTTGGGAGGATGAAAATGGCGTGGCTCGTGGAGGATTAGTACAGTTTAGCTAGCCATTCAGTGCTTGATGTTTCGATGCGTGGAAAGTTTTACATGTGGAAACGGATCAAGTTGGGCATGGGTTTTTGAGGCCATGTTGAGAACCAACTTTCCAAACCATCAACTCACACAGTCACTGCAAGGTTCTGACGAAGGTGCATCGAGGCAAGATGGACTAAGATGAACTACTGTTGTGAAGACTGACAAGTGTGTACAAGTGTCTTTGTAAGGATAATAGGTTTTGTTGAACATGGTTTGGACTCTGGACTCGGAAGCATAACTGGGTATCCAAATGCTAGATCAAATCAACTTAAGTTGAACCCATGCTATAGAAAGCTTGTATCTCCCTCGAAGATAAAAGAGCTGACACATTTGAGTGTAGATAATTATTTTCGAAGCAGTAACCATCTGTACAGATGAAATTGTTTGAAGCTTCGCTAAACATTAGGTCTTGCTTCAATCTTTTAACACGGCCTGCTGGCAGTATAAAGAAAAATTTTCCAGTTGACGTTATGTTAGTACTAATTCACTAGATATTTTAATGCTTTGTGCTCCGTGACTATTTAACTAGCAGTCAAACCAAGGATATACAACATACCTGATAATTTATAAAGAAATTGTCCTCCAGAATACTTTCGCATAGACGAGGGCTCACATGAGAATCATGATTTTTTCCTAATTGGGAAAACCTTCTATCAAGAATAATAGCCAGACATCGACTTCAGGGATCAGTATGTGTAACCGAAGGTTAACAGGTTACTTCTAGCCAAGTGCTTTAGTACTTGGTTCTTGTAATATATTCCAATTCATGTCATATTTCTTTAAACAGACCTAGTACCGGCTTGAAGATAAAAGCTAAAAGATATTACAAAAGTTCAAATGCCTTAAAACACCATGAGTAATGTAATTCCAAAAAGTAAATTTTGTCTAACATTGAATAAATAATACACCTATAAACTTAATTTTGCCAATTGTAAAACTGCATCTTTTGTCTTTGCACCACCAATGAAACCAGCAGCATGAATGAAAACACAACCTTCAACACCTGTTTCTTTACTTAAAGCTTCATCTCTTAAACCTCTCCATTTTTCAGGTAATGGTTTTCTGTTTTCGAAACTTGAACTTGTGATTGGAACGGTGGAAATTCTCCAATTTTTACCAGAATCCTCAAATAAAACATACAAGATTTCACCTTGTTTTGAATTAGCTTTTTCAATTTCATACAAATGTTCTTTCCATGGTGCAAATTGTTTCAAGACTAATATTTTACCTGATTCATGAACTTCAAATCTTTCTTTAAAAGCTTCTTCAACAACTTGTTTAGCTGGTAACCATGACAAACCATAATTTTTAACAACATTAACAAAAGCATTACCCATCAATTCTGAGGCAATTAAGAATTGTCTATCGAAAACATCATCAGTTTGTTCAGCATTCCAGTGTGGGTTTAAACTTGAAACTAATGATGGTAATGTTATGTTTCTATCGTTAAATTTAGCCTTTTCAGTAACATTGTCATATTTTGAAATACCATTATCATTAGCATCGATAGATTCAATGAATTCTTTGTAAACTTTATCGTATAAAAGATCCAAAATTGAAGATTCTTTGCTTGAAATAATTTCACTGATTATTTCTTTACCAAAATGTTTATAAACTAAACCAGCAGAACTTAATTTTGTCTTGTACTCTGAATTGAAAGTTTCTTCAAAGCCTCTTTGATGATGATCAAAGAATTTAACACCATCGTATTTACCACTAACATCAACAACGATATCAGAAGTTTCCCATTGAGCAGGATCTCTTGAACGAACTAGTGAAGAGTTTTGGAAACGAGGTAATAATTTCAACATGTAAACAGCTAATGATTCATCAGCGTGGAATGAACCACTATGGGTACAGATTCTTAAGATAGGAGATGCCATTGATTCGTCGGTCTTTTGCTTCTTTAGTTCAGGTGACATCGATTAAATGCGTTGCTCTTGATGAAGTACTCTAATTCTTTATTGAAGTTTACCAAAAAAAATTTCTACTTAAACTTGGTTTTCGCGATTATTATGTCAGCGATGAGTTTATTTAAGACACGGGAAGTGATGACAGTCGCGATTTTGACAAATGAAGAGAATTGTATTGGCTAACAGATTGAGTGGTGTGTTGAATGTTCCAATTTATCTCAAAGACTCTTCTATTTTCTGATGATTTAACTATACAGATGTCACTTCCTTTATAAAAGGTCACGTAGGCCCATTTGCAGGATACTTTGGAGAAGCTTTGGGTTTAGGACAGCTCCAATACAAACCGCCTTATTTGGCCCATGAGGATCACGTGGAAGATTTGAGATCGAGATTGAAAACCTCAGAGAAGGATTAAATCCTATAGCCTATTGTTGGTTGGAATCACGACTAAATCACCCACATATTACTAAAGAGTACCTTTATAATGACGGTGGACGGAATAGATAAACACAGGAGAAACAGCAGGGCCAGAAGAAACTCTGTTGTTCAAAGAATTGCTCTAAATATACCTCAAAGTGAAGTATGTATTTCGTGTCCATAATTATGAAATCAAAACATTGAGAAAACTAACCATTGAAGAGTCATTTGACTATATCTCGTCCTCATGAGTTAAAACTTCAAAGATCCAAATCATTTGGCCATTCAGATAAATCAGATCATCACACTTATGATAAAAGGGATCTATTGTTCCCATACACCCAAGATGAAAAACAACATTTGATCAAAGAGTATATTGATTCTTACGATTATAATGTACTTCTATCAACTGAAGATGAAAAGGAGATTGAAGATCAAGAATTTTCAAAATATGATGCATTCTTAGAGACTTGCAAATTTAGAAAACACAATTATGATGGATTGATAAACAAATCATCAGATATTATTCAAATATTAAGTGATTTGACTGTCAAGTATGATACTGTCACCAAAGAAACTTATGAGTTCCAAGAACAATCAGACAAATTGATCAATGAGTATAACACCTACTTGAAATTGAATGATGAAGTAAAAGATTATTTGCATTATTTTGAATTATTAGATACATTCACTAGAAGATTAAACAATCCAAGTCCCAACATTGTTAGAAAAAGCTCATTCAAAAGGATGCTTTCTCAGCTAGATGAATGTATTGGGTTCATTAATGAACATAAAGATTTCAAAGATTATGAACTATATAATCTTAGATTCAAACAATGTCTAGTCCGTGCATTAACATTAATTAGAAATTATGTTGTCAATAATCTAAAAACAATTAGAGATGACTTAACAACCAAGATATCTGCAACAAAAATCAATTCAGTGACACAAGACGCATTGATATACACCAGGTTTGGATCTGACTCCGAGTTCTTATATGATGTTGTTGCAGACTTGGTGAATAGGGCTGATAATAATGATGAATTGGAAGGATTATTATCTGATTGTTTTAATTTCTACTTTGGTATAAGAACAAGATTGATCCAACCAAAGATTTGGGAACATTTGAAGCTATCAGTTGATGATAAAAAGACTCTAGTTCAGTTTTCACAAGGGAATATTTCATTTTTCACCAAAATTTTCCGTGATGAATTTGAATTGTTCCACAAAATCTTCCCAAGAGATTCTAAAGATGCCTTGCTGCATTGGTTCCAACAAATATCTGAACCCTTAAATGATACATTAAGAAAAAGCATATTGAGAGAATCTTCAATCAGCTCATTATGTGAACTAGCCACATTATTAGATAAATATTATGAATATGACGAAGAGGAAGAAGAACAATTTGAAGCCAATAACCTGTCAACTTTTAATGATTACGATAAACCTCGTTTTGAAAATGTTGATCTAGGAGAAGTTTTCCATCCAATATTACAAGATGTTCAATCAAGATTAGTCTTTAGAGCCCAAGTTTATGTTGATGAAAACATTGTTAGATACAGACCAACGAATAAGGATTTCCAAATTGGCCATAGAAGAAAATCAGAAGTGGCTCAAGATGACCAAGATCCTGACGTTTCAATGTCCAATAGTAAAAACACCCTCAAGGATTGTTATTCACCATTGAGTAAAGGTATTTCATTACTATCCAAGATGTATCAATTGGTGAGCTCCTCAGTCTTTGATGATATGGCACATAATATTGTTCATGATTGTATTATTTCATTGAGACAAGCATATAATGTTGGGAAACCAACAATAGGGAAATTAGATTCTGAATTATTTTATTTGAAAAATTTGCTCATGTTGAGAAGTCAAATTCAAAACTTTGATATCGAATATGTTAGTAATGAAACATTTCTTGATTTTTCAGGGATTGGTGATATAATTAATAAGATTAGAAATGGTTCAAGTGTTTTCAATGATGGTGGAATTTTGGAATTAGTCCGAGAATCTGTACCAAAAGTGGTTAATAATATGATTGATGCAAGAACTGAATTACAAACAGAGTTAAGAAATATTGTTCATGAGTTCACAGAAGATGCAGTTGAACAGATTATTGAACCAATATCCAAGGCAAATCCTGAAACCGCAGAGCAAGATTCAATGAAGTTGAAAGATAATATAGAGGCTTCATTTCCTAGGTTGAAAAGTGAAATTGAAATCTTTATTGATAATAGAGAAATTGTTACATCATTAATTGATGGTATTCAGGTATGTATATTTTTACCTCTTTTTTGGGGCCCTGAACTAACTAACCAACTTTTAGGAACTTGTTATTCAAAATTATGAGAAATACTATAGTTCAATAATTTCAAACACATCTCAGGATATAATTGAAGTTGATACATTGATTGCAGTGATTGGTGAAATTGTTGGAAAGATGTATGAAAATGAACCCGAACAAGATTTGGAAATTGAAAATTTGAATCTTGATGATAATGATCATGATCAAGAGGATGATTTGAATGTATCATCATGAACGTAACAATAAAATGAATTCTCTAGTAAGAAATCACTATGTAGATTATGAACCTGCTTCTTCATCATCTAATGGATTATATGTATTTTTTGCCAACATTCTGTTTAGTTCTGCTTTGACAAAGTCGACCTTCTTTTGATCAATCAGTAAATGAGTATCATCTAGCTCCTGAAAGACATGGAATGTTAGATAAAACTTTATAAATCCAGCATGTTTTCCAACTTACTTGAATAACAATATCATGAGAATCAGAATCAATCTTAATAATTAGAGCCCTGATTGAGGGATCACATTCAACGAGAACACCTTGCATAGCTCATTAGTAAATGTTCCGAAGCTGTACATAAAGTGTAGCACTCACCTTTGATAGCTCTAGGCATATTTTTGCTGCTGGGAAATGACAAAACAGTGTTGTTTGGATTTAGAAGCTCATCTTTAAAAATGGTCGTTGATACATCTCGAATTCAAGATTATGTAAGGAAATTCTTAAAACGCCAACTTACTAGTTGATTGAACATCTTTGAACGTACATTAATCCAAAGTTTATTGTAGAAGTATAGTCAAAAAAGTTGATTCAGTATATTTCAGAGTCGAACAATTTCAATGGTGATATTTATTTATAATAATCTCGCAAAACAAGCTACCCCCTTATTTTTGTGTAATGTTCGCCTCCTATCAGCGAACGGGCGCAACAACGAAACTGATAAATCATGAAATATCAGTACTTATAGAACATTAAAATTGAAATCGAATATAATAGCGTTAAATCTCGCCTATTTCTGCACAGAATGCACCCAACTTAAAGCATTTTGACCAAAAATTGACCACATAATATACTAATTTATATCTGAGGGTGATGAAATGGGCTCTCTTCTAAGCGCGAATATTTGAATGAACTAATTCTCAAAACATCAATTCATGAACTGGTTGATGCATTATAGGTCGTCATGGGCTTTTTAAGATAATATGAGCTTCCAAACCTAGCTTATAAGATGGATCTGACTACTGCATAATAACCAAGTCATTCATTTTATTTATTCAGTATGTTACATAAACTCATAGTTGTAATGTGTGCTATCTATTTTAAGTTGATTAATCCATATTTTGCCTTATTCACTTAGTTCATCTTGATAAGAAAGATGGAGTGATGCTGCTCAAGAACCCACCAGAAACACGACCAAAAACATCGGAAGCAATACTATTAGCTTTACCAAACTTGTCACATTTTGTGAAAGCCAAAGCATTAGTCATTGTTAATGCAACTGCAATAATCACGAGGATTAATGAAAGGAATTCAAACTTCAAAACTGCAAACACAGCTAATGCAATCCAGAAAGCTGGTGAGGCATAAAGTAATATCCAAAACACTTTTGAATCGATTGGGTTGATATATCTTGAAGGGTCTGAAGTTTCAAACACCCATATACTTTCCCCATTATCATCTGTTTCATTCCACCAACGAAGACCAACTAATAATCTTCCACTAATGTTTTTAACGTTCCAAAAATCAGCAGCTAAAAGTAATATCACTGAGATGAAAAAGAATATACTTGTTGTGAAGTTAGTATATGTGTCATCCAATCACACTGAATATACTCACAAGTTCTTTGTGAATAAAAGACCCAAGAGGTAGGCAACCAATGAACCTAAATGTTGTTAGTTTTCTGAGATGAATTGGATGATTACTTGGAACTTACCTATTCTGAATCCCAAGAAGAAGATCAAGGCTATTGGATGTGAAGATTCCGATAGTCTTTGGAATAATGTACGACTCTCAGGGGGTGGGCCTGCAATACCTGTTGTTTCTGACTATACCCGACCAACAATTAGCAATTTCTCCTTTTATGAACAGATTCAAATCGACATACCATTTCCTCCAATTGCTTTCTCTCTCGATAAGTTTCTAGAACGACTTTAACCAATTGTTATTACAAGTGTCAAATGCCAATTTCTGAGGAATTCGCGAATGCCTAACCTGGTGTTTGGATGTGCAGCTATACGGATTACGGTAGAGCCCACACCCATCACCTGACCAGATTCGCAGGCTAGACAATAGCATAAGTCAGAAGAGTCAATTGCAGCCATTATTGGCTCTAATAGAGCGTATACAAACCGTTGCAACTAACACCGCTCAGCTTGACTACGCCTTACCACTGAAGCCGTTATACCAGATCACACCGCTGCTATCAGTGTACACAGTCATAGTTTCGGATTAACTAGTTGTTCCAGAGAGTCAAGTCTCAATACCTCCCACATCTATTGAATCATTTATTTTGAAATATTATAAGGCGCATCCCAACAGCATCCATCAAGCTCTTACAACCGTGAGGCAGCATATTTGATTGATTCAGAAAAAATAATTTCATGGTCTGTGCTGAGTTACTTCAAGCTTGAATCAAGTTATAAATCACATCAATAAGTCACCTTTTTTCAATCACCTTTACTCAACCCATAATTCACCATCACAGCCATCCATAATGGGTTATTCAATAAAGCAAAAGATAGATATCTGTCTGATGGCGGAGTCCAATCCGGACATGACACAAGCTGATTTGGCAACTTGGGCTAAAAAGCATTATGGTAGTTCAAAACCTCCTTCACAAACAACAATCTCAAGAATTTTATCCAAGAAAGATGAACTGATTGCATTAAAAGAACATGAGTTCAAACTGATTAGAAGAAGAAGATTATCAAATCCGTTATTGAGGAAAGTTCTTCTGGAATGGATATCTCAATGTGTTTGGAATAACATTCCAATAACAGCACCAATCATTATGAGTTCCGCTTCAAATTTTTGGAATCATTTACCTGATAATTTAAGAGAAGGTAGTGGTGAATTTTCATATAAATGGTGTTCACAATTTTTATCAAAAGTCAATATAAATTTGAACAACATTGAGAAAGAACTATATAAAAGATTGAAGATTTGGACATTTGAAGAAAGATCAATATTACAAAACTTATTAACTGGAGTTGATTTGAAAAAAGTCTTCACACTGGATGAGATATTCTTGAGTTATGACCTACCATTGGATAAATCTTGTTATGATGATACTTCAGATTTCCTAACATGTATGTTATGTGTTAATGCCGATGGTTCTGAGAAATTAGATCCTTTAATCATTGGTCGTTATGAAAACTATCCTTCATTTGAAAACAAATCCTCCATAAAAGCAGCCACAAAACATGGTGTTAGTTATCATAGCAATAGGATGAAATGGTTAACTTCTACAGTTTTCTATGATTGGTTAGCTGTTTTGGATAAAAGATTAGCTTTACAAGGGAAAGATATCATCATTATTTTAAATGACTCAGCATCTCATCGTGTTATAAATATTAAACTACAAAGAATCAGATTATTATTCACATCTTCAAGCTCAAATTTCTTACCAATGAATTGGGGTATTGCTAATGATTTCAGATTAACTTTTAGAATTGTACAATATAAAAGATTACTAGAGAAGCAAAAGAAGAAAAAAGGTCAATTATTAACAAAGGAAGAAATGAGATTTTCAATTGTTGATGTTTTTGATTTGATCAAGAAATCTTGGGATGTTATACCAAATTCAAGAATAAAGTCCGCTTGGAAACAAAGTGGGATTTTACCAAAATCAGCGACTGATACTTTTGAAAGACAAGGGATGTTTGATGACAGTTTAGAGATACAACTCTTCCATTTAATCAATCAATTAAACGTTAAAGAACAGTGGGATGTATTATCCTTATTGGATTTGACAGTGGAGCAAAAAATTAATAAATCATTCCTTTCAAATGAAGAAATCATTCAAAGTTGTGTTGTTGATAATTATGATGATTTTGATCACACAGATGGTGAACCTAAAAGAGCTCCATTTTCACATACTTTAGGTCAAGGTTTACAAAGATTACAGCGTATTGGTCAAATGCATTTAGTTGCTAATCAGTTAAATTTTGAAGATGATTACATGGACTTAAACCCAGATGATTTTGATCTTGACCATCTACATTTTGATGATAGTTCAATACCAAACAATTTCAACTTTGATTATAACAATAACCAACAAGTCAATCAATCAATCAACGAACAAGTGGATAACCATTTATTCGAACACAGTTTACCTTTGGGACATAATGGAAGACAACTATCATTAGATTCAACAGGATCAAGCACACACCAACCATTCAGCCGTCTTGAGAATTTCAGAGAATCTACACATGTTAGTCCTGTTGATTCATTAGGACTTTCACCAGGTATTGATCCAGCTGTTTCAAATGCAATGTCTGAACAGTTCCACTCAGGAGTCCCTGTAAATAATAATAATAATAGCTCCAATGTGGACATTACACCAAATCAAAAACTATTAATAATTGTGAATTTTTTGAAGTTATTGGAGGTGGATAATGATCTGAAAGTTTCTAGTGAAACGGTGGATGAACTCAAGCTTCTGTATTATCAACAACTGAATAAAGCTAGAGAACAACAACAACGTTTGAATGATTGAGAGTTCAGGCTTCAATATTGGTTAATCAATAATGTGCTTTTTTTTGACAAAAAGCATCTAATCTATTTATTTGATTTATTTTGTTCTGGTTTTTCCTTTTGGTTTTTATGGATAAAGAATATTTAATGACGGATGTTGATGATTATCAACCTACAATGTAGTACCTGTATTATTCCTTATCCTTTGATTTCATTAGCTATATACATCCTTATTAACAATTCTCTTTATTTTTCACCACCCAACAACTTGGCTTTTTCCTCCTCCAAGTCAACACCATACTCATTCTTTAATTTTTCTTCTAGTCTTTGTCTTTTTTCGATTCTTTCTCTCTTCATTCTTGCCAATTCAGCTTGTATTTCATGTCTTTCTTTTGGAATCTTATTAGTAGTTTCTGGATCTGGCCAGAAACCTGGAACGTTGAATTTCTTATCAGCATCGACACCAACATAGTACATCACTGCAATAGGAGTCATTAGATAAAAGGTGAACTAAATCATGTTAGCGAATTATTTTCCAATACGGTCAAAGGCCTTTATACCCACTCTGAAAACCTCTAGTTGAGATCTATTTATTTTGAATTTAGGGAGGAATTTGAACATGTTGTGGTTAAAATAATAACGCACACGTATAACAGCTTCAAAGGTTTAGATCTTGGATGCAAACGAGTGTGCTTCAAAAGTTTGTAATTCGTTTCTTTCTATACGTTCTAACTTTCTCGAAAATTTACCCAATCAACTTCGAAGATTACGTAATACACACTAATAAAAAGTGAGCAGATCCCGAAGAGTTTACTAGCTTTAATTCTACGATTAGTGGTAATAGATGATTATTCGTTAATTCATCTTCTTTTATAGATACAAGGCTTCAATAACCATTTACCCTCTGGAACTTTCCCTCTTTTAATCTCTAGTTGATCTTTATCATCTTCATGTTCAATAAATCTTTGCTTTCTTTCTAATTTGGCTTTTCTTTCAGCGATAATGTCAGCTGGTGCTTTGAAAAATTCAAATCTTGTAAACATCTTATTTTCATTATCTGTCTTTTTATGGAAGAACCCATTTAATGTTAAAGCTTTTGTAAATTCTTCACCTTCTTTATCTGAGAATCTTGATTTAATTTCTGCAATCCATAATTCACCTCTTGGTGCTAAGATTCTATAAGCTTCTTTAATGAAATCCAAGAAATTGGTACCCATTAACGCTAAACAGAATATCACAATTGTACAAGAATTATCTTCTAACGGAACATTTCTAATATCAGCAACTGTGATTCTTTCATTAGCCTTCTTCAAATCAAAACTATGAACTTCAATATCGAGAGGGTATTGTTTTTTACCTCTTTTTTTACCTCCATTTCTTTGGGTCAAAAATTTAGAGATATCATGACTAAATTGTGCTTCACCACATCCCATATCTGCAATAACAATTTTTTTATTCTTTTGTAAACCTGGTAACCCACCTGGTGCATTGACTGGTCTTTTTGATCTTTCTTTAACTTGGTTGACGAAAACATCAACTGGATTTTCAGGCCAAGATTGAACTTGAGATCTAAACCCATCATGATACTCATCAAACAATGAAGGTTGATCTTTTATTAATTTCAATGCCTCATTTGATGTAATTGTATATAATTGTTCATTAATCCATCTAAATCTTGATCCTGTTAACTTAGCCATCATTTTTTGCTGTAATGGAGTTAATTTTGACTTGACAGGTAAGTCTAATGCTGGTGGAGCTTCAGTTGGTTCTTCATTTTTTGGTTCTTCTGATTTCTTTTCTTTGTTGATTTTTTGTTTCTTCTTAGGTTTCTCTTCTGGTTTATCCTCATTATCTTTATTAGACCTTATTTCATCTTTAGAGTCTTCTGTTTTATCATCCAACTTATTTATGTCATCAATGGAAACTTCCTCTTGTCTTCTCTTTCTGTTCTTGTTTGCTTTCTTCTTTGATTGACCACCACCAATCTTCACTACTTTATCATTCAAATTCCAACCATCAGTTTGAAATAAAGCCATTTTGCACAAATACTTCGGTAATTTTACTTTTGAAATCCTTTTCGATCCCTTTTAGATAAAAGTACGTTTAAAATTTATACACGAAAATTTTTTTTAACGTCAAAATCGTGCAACAACCGATTTCGGAAATATTACGCTCATCATAATCATCAACACTTCATCGTTTCGAAGAAGCCACCAATCTTCTTTTTTTAAAAGTAGATATACACTGCCATTCATTAGTTTCTGAATGGTATTTCCAATTATCATCACTATTTCGCAAAATGCACCACTGTATTAGGATGTTGAGCAAATGTAAGTCCATAAAAGTTTTGAGACCAGTATCTCTATTAAAGTTGTTGATATATTCACCACTATTGAAACATGTATTATCTGAACCTTGGGAGCTTAAAAACTTGAAGTTTTCCAATGTCATTTGTATATGACGGAAAAGTCTTAAAATAGGAGCACAATAACAATCTTTGGATCTGGTACATTTGATCAAGTTCCAAACTTGTAAATCATGTCTCTCATCATGGAATATTTCACCTTTGATATCATTCATTGTTCGGATGCTTGATAAATCTTGATCAACTTCAATAGTTGGTGTAGGTTTACCATTGGCAATTTCTTTCAATAATACTGAAACCTTTCTATCTTTGAAAACTTCATTAAGGTTGAATTTCTCTCTAGAAGTCTTGATCATCCATTTGATTAGTTCAAATTTAAGAGATGTTCTCAACGAGTCTGCTTTGATGGGAGTTGATATTACATTCACCCATCCATGTTTTGGCTTTGCTATTGGCGAAGATGGAGCTGCATGATCGATCTTCTTTTTGAGAGACTTGGTGAACAGCTTTTTTGTAATTTCTTCAATTTCAGGCTCTTTCTCAGATCCAGAGTCGTTTAAAGCATTGGAGTAATCATCACGATCTCTTGTGTTTCTCATATAGATGCATGAATCCATAACCATGGCCTGAGAAGGACATTCATCTATTCCTAGATCTAACCTCTGCCGTATTAGCTTTTCCCTATTTGTTTTACTATCAAACTTTATTTTAACTTGTTCATCTTCGTTGATCTGGGGTGTTTGAAACCACGGAGTCTTGAGTATATCACGCATTTCCAAAGCTTCTTTCCAAAACTGTACTTCATGTTCAATATATCTGTCATTGTTGGGTAGTGCTTGGATAAAATCTGGGTGAACTTCTAGTTTTCCATTGAAATTTGAGCAAAAGCCTGTGATTTCAATAAGTTTGAAAACACAATTGGACGATTGTAAGCCTGCACCTAAAAGACTTGCTCTTGAAACTTTAAGAACAATATCAGGCCCTGAAGAATCATCAAGGGTCAAAAAATAAAACTCCTCAGACTTGATTTCTTTAATAAAACATTCTGTAATCCTGCCAACTAATTTGATCTTCCTTATTGGATGGTTGTTGATCAATATAACTTTTTCATTCAAAGAGCGCAAGCCATTGATGCCATATATTTTCAACAAGTCATTGCTTTCCAAGATGGACTTAATCAAGATTGGTATAGTTCTGTCATAAAAAGGTGAAGAATGGAAAGTCTCAGTGTTGTAGAATTCTATACCATCTTTCCTTAGGACAATATTATCAACACCAGGGGCAAAATCAATTGTTGCTGAGTTTCCATGCACTATACGTGCCTTCTTAGCCATTCTATAGGGGTGCAACTATACCACTTTCCCATACTAATACTTTTCCAGAAAAGATGATTGTTTTATTTTGGTAAAGTTTTGCAAGTGTTATTTTTTTTCGCGTGTGAGTTTACCGGTGAAAATGACAGACAGCTGAAACCATCTTGATCTTTTTTCCTGTGTGTTAGAATCTTTATAGACATGCCCAGCCCATATTTCTACCAAGTGGAAAGAGATATATTGTTTCCATAAGATTTTGAAAATTAAGCGACTTCTTTAGCTATAGAAACGTCGACCGTAGCTAGCTAGCTTCTTGGTTACAGATTCACAAATCAATTTCGCGACATCTTTTCGGTGCCAAAAATTTTCGGTCAAATACGTACTTTGTGAAGCTGATAAGATTTGATTTAAAAAGACTAGAGCATCTCAGTTTCAATAACTCACCGATAGCATTATCATAAAGCCCAATACCGAACAGCTATAAACCTAACTCAACAAAATGCCTCCAATCACTTGCCATATACTAGACACAACAAGAGGAAAGCCAGCTGCTGATGTTGTTGTTGCAATATATCGTATCTCAGAGTTACCAATGGAAAATTCAGATGAAATCACCATAACAGAGAACTTACCATTTGGTTTAGCAAAGACTAACAAAGATGGAAGAGTCAGTGAATGGATCTTCAACCCTAAAGACAACTTGGAATCATTAGGTATAAAAGGTCAAGAATGGAACACATTGAAACCGGGCATTTACAAAATTAGATTCCAAACTTCAAAGTATTTCAAACAATTGAGTGAAGATGATAAAACAAAAGGGATAGTAAGTGATGCACGTACGTTCTTCCCGTTTGTTGATATAATGTTCAATGTGAGTAATCCACCTGATGCTCATTATCACATTCCTTTGCTCTTAGCAAACCACAGTTACACAACTTATAGAGGAAGCTGAATAGATTTTTCCATTAAAATGAATATATGAAACATTTAACTTCATATTGACTAAACTGTACTCAATAGAAGCATGTGAGTGGTTTTTGATCGTGTAACATTAAGGTTCTCTGATAACCAGAAAGTTCAAAATCCAGGGCCTCTTGAATATTTAAATAGCTCATAATAAAGCTCCTCTTGACAACTATCGAGCCGTGTACGATGGCTTGAGCCTTGCTCTTCCTTCAAAATTTTGTCGTAGTAACGTTTTCATCTCAGCAACTTATCTGGCATTTTCTTTTTTGCGAACACCCCCTTGCAGCTGATGGGGAATGTTACCGCAACCCGTCTAGCCCTAGGCTGGCCTCTGCCTAGCGCTCTGCTTAAGTCCAGATACCGAGTTCTCCTTGCCCTGCCCGTGGCCGTAACGCGCCCAAATTGGACTTTCTTTGTGATTTTCTGTCCAAAAAAATTCAGTTTACACTTCATGAAATAAAGTACAGTTTTTTTCTGAAATCTTTATAAAAACAAACTTGAGCGGTTGCAGTCGTTGTTGAAGAAACTCGTTAAAGAGGTAGCTGAAGAGAAATCAATATCACACAGAGTGAGAAGCCTTGTGATACGCTTGCTACGCATACTGTTTTGTTGGTCTAGTTTGTTCTGTCACGGATCGTAACTGTCAAGCAGGTGGTGACCTTTTGCTCTCAAATCACTGTTTCAATAACAAGTGCAAAGAAGAAGAGACCTTATTATTCAAGCGCTACAAAGGGGACCGAGATGCTGGAACCGCAGATAGAGCAGGCTCAACAGCTTCCACAGTTGAAAGAGAAGAAAGTGCAGGAAGAGATAACCATACCCACATCAACATCATTAGAACTTCATAAAAATACAGCATCATCTCCTTCTACACCATTATCAAGAGTCGTTACAACTACTGATGATTCAATAATATTCACTAACCCAAGTTCAGGTGAAAGTGAAAACACTACAACATCTCACAGCAACAACATTCCAAATGGACAAAACCTTGCTATAGACTCAACAGAAACTCAAACACAACTTAATATACTTGGAAATGACAATGGATCAGATGGTGAATTGGAAAACTTTTATCCTGCTTCTGAAAATCCTCAACAAATACAGAATAATTACGAAGCGGATGAGATTAATGCAAATGAAAGCTCCAAACTATTACCTCCACAAGATCAAAATCCATCAGTGAATAGCTTTCATGATCAGCTGAATTCTTTTTCATTTGGAAATCGACCAGCTTCCTTTCATGAAAATGGATCATATATACAAGATGATGATGATGAGCAAGTGTTGTTGAATACCAACGTGAGAAGAGGTAGAGGTTCAAGGGCAACAGGAGTCGAACCTATAGATCCAAGCTCTATTAGAAATAGAAACTCTACATTCACTGCAAATTCAAAGAACCAGAATGCTGATAGTGCTACAATGGAGATTGAAAGAATGAGAAACTCAATTTTATTGAAGAGGGAAAATAAAAAGAGACAGAAAACTGTGCTAGATGATGATAAAGTATTGGTTGGAAATAAAGTTGGTGAAGGTCATGTGAATTACGTTATTGCCTACAACATGTTGACTGGTATACGTGTGGCAGTTTCCAGATGCTCAGGTATAATGCAACCTATAACAGATCAAGATTTTAGATCAAGCAAAAAATTGGTATTTGATGTTTCTGGTAATGAATTAACACCTTCTTCCAAATATGATTTTAAATTCAAAGATTATTGTCCAACAGTTTTTCGTGAATTGAGAATGTTTTTCGGTTTAGATCCCGCTGACTATCTTGTTTCATTAACATCAAAATATATTCTATCGGAACTAAATTCTCCAGGTAAGAGTGGATCATTTTTTTATTTCTCAAGAGATTATCGTTTCATTATCAAAACAATACATCCAGCTGAACATCGTCACTTGAGAAGAATTTTGAAAGATTACTATAACCATGTCAAAAATAATCCAAATACATTGATAAGTCAGTTTTATGGACTGCATAGAGTTAAAATGCCAATCAATTATGAGAATTTGAAAAGAAGAAAAATATACTTTATCGTGATGAATAATTTATTCCCACCACACAGAGATATTCATAGAACTTATGATTTGAAAGGTTCCACTTTGGGGAGATTCACACCAAATGATTACCCAGCACATCGTGTTTTAAAAGATTTGAACTGGATTCAAAATCAAGAAACTATCAATTTTGGCCCAGTAAGGCATAAACTGTTCATTGACCAATTGAATAGAGATGTTAAATTATTGATAAAACTGAACATTATGGATTATTCATTTTTAATTGGGTTCCATGACTTGAAGAAAGGGAATAAAGAAGAAATTTTACAACAAAAAAAATTATCTATTTTTTCTCCAGCTTCATCCAATCTAGAGGATCTTAGAAAGACAAATCCAAAACTGTTGAACAGATATAATGATTTACCATCTATCGATTTCAAGAACGGGAACATCTTTTATTCTAATAATGGTGGAGTTGGCTCTACGGATGCAAATGATGAAGAAGGTGAATTCATTTATTACTTGGGTATAATTGACTGTTTGACTAATTATTCAATCATAAAGAGATTGGAGACTTTTTGGAGATCTTTAACTAATGATAGAAAAATCATCAGTGCAGTTCCACCAAGAGAGTATGGTGAAAGATTTTTAAAGTTCATTACACATTCAGTTAATGAAAATACTCTTGAGAAAAAAGATTGAGCTAATGATTTACCACAAAGTTGATCTTTTTACTTTTTATATTCATGAGATTGATTTACGTTTTGTTTATTCTTGGTATGGTTATATTATGGCGTTCTTTCCCTTTCATCACCGCTTCCAGTTATCTGGGTTTGCCTGTGATTGTTTCTTATCCATTTCACTATTTGCATATTGTTATCAGATTTGTTGAATCTAAGGGACTATTATAATTTCTTACAAGTGGTACTAGAAGTTTAATTAAAAGATGTATGACCTGATTGTGTATTATATATCACAGTTTTATGAACAGGTTGATTTATGATTTGACAATTGTTATACTATGTAGATCCACACTCGGTTAAATGAAAACCATCACGGTTAATTAAATTCTCGCTACTTTTAAAAAACATACAATTAAAATAACATCGACCACTCACCAACCTACCAATCACGACCCACTACTACATTCAGTTACTGTAACTAATTATGCTTGAAGTATGATATCAGAAAACACCCATGTATGTGATCGATTATGATAATTTTGGTTGTATAACGGAATTAGTCCAATTAATCGGAAGTTGGAATTATAAGGAACTGAATACTACAATAAGTCAACTACTTCCTTTAAAAGCTGTTGATGGATGACAAACTACAATTTACAACGGGACCTGCTATAACAATGATTTTCAAGGTGTTTTTAATAGTCAGGCTTTGGGATATATAAAGGTTGTTGAATTCCCTTCTCTCTGATGTTTTAAAATCGAGTAATCAATTAATTTGGTGAAAAACAAACTCGTCAATATATCAACAATGAAATTTTTTGTTACAGGTGCTACAGGCTTCATAGGTTCAGCTTTAGTCGAAGAACTGATCAATCATGGCCATCGAGTTGTCGGTTTAGCAAGATCAGAAAGTGCTGTTGAAAAAATCTTAAAAACAGGTTCTCAAGTTATTAAAGGAGATCTACAAGATCTAGAAGCTTTGAAAAAAGGTGTTAGAGAATCAGACGGTGTTATTCATTTGGGTTTCATCCATGATTTTGATAATTTTGATCGTAGTTGTGAGATTGATTTTGAAGCTACAAAGGCAATGATTTCTGAATTGAAAGGTACTCAAAAACCTTTTGTTTGGCCAAATGGGTTATTAGGATTCAGAACACCAATTGGAACAAAGACATATGAGTCTGATATGCCAGATCTCAGTAAGCCTAACAAGAGATTGACTACTGAAGCTTATGTCTTGGATGAGAGCAAAGATGGTTCTGTGAAAGCCATGGTTGCAAGACTTGCCCCAACTGTTCATGATGCGAATGATAAAGGTTTCATCAATATCTTGATCAATATTGCTAAAAGTAAAGGGGTGTCTAATTACATTGGTGAAGGGAAGAATGTTTGGTCAGCTGTTCATAGAAAAGATGCTGCTGTTGCATTGAGATTAGCTGCTGAGAAAGGTGTTGCTGGTACGGCTTACCATATTAGTGCTGAGGATGGTATTGAAACCAAAGCAATAGCTGAAGCTTTTGCAAAGAAGTACAATTTGCCATTGAAGTCAGTTACACAATCAGAAGCTTTCAAGGAATTTGGTGGATTCTTTGGATTTGCGTTTGGTGCTAATATGTACCCTTCAACAGAGAAGGCAAGAGCTTTAGGCTGGGTCCCTACACAAATTGGATTACTACAAGATATTGCTGAAAACTATTAGTAGTCGATGGTTTAGGCATTTGTTGTATTCACAATTATTTAAAGGTGTCTGTTTTAACATCAATACATTGTAATCAATAAATTGTAACTGGATCTTCTGTAGACTTCACTCGATATTTCTCGGCCGGAACAACACAAGTTCCAAGATTCCGTACAATAAACTGTCTATGAGTAGAGAGTATAGAGTTCAATTAATAATCAGCACACAAGCTGATGCAGATAGCCATTTCTAGACAAAGAGTTGTACATTGTGCTGTGATTTCCAGCTCTGGGGTGATTGTAATTAGTTTTGGTAGCTACGGCTTTTTTCGCACGAGAACGCGCGAAGTCCAAAAGTTGCTGAATAATTGCCTGCTCAACAAAGAATAACGTTAATGTAATATGATTGTGTATATAAGGGTCCTAAAACCCATCTAGAAAATTGAACAATGCTATATCCTAGTCATAATATACCATTCCAAACATTTTAGGAAAACAAAAAACCACACACAAAGTGTATGAAACAGATTTAAAGATGACAAAATATTTTATCACAGGTGCTACAGGGTTCATTGGAACCGTTTTAGTTAAACAGCTAATTGATAATGGTGATATTGTTGTCGGATTAGCAAGATCAGACAAGTCAGCTGAACAATTGACCAAAGCTGGTGCTCAATTCATTAAAGGTGATTTAGAGGATTTGGAAGCGTTGGAAAAAGGTGCTAAAGAAGCTGATGGTGTTATTCACTTGGGTTTCATTCATGATTTCGATAATTTTGCTCACTGCTGTGAGGTTGATAGTGCAGCTATCAAGGCAATGATTGGTGCATTGAAAGGTACCAATAAACCATTTATTTCTGTTACTGGTCTTTTGACAATGTCAACCCCAATTGGTAGTGATAAAAAGAACTTGGAAAGTGATCGTCCTAGTTTGGAACCAAGTGGATTTGTTCAAAGAGCTATCAATGAAGTTTACGTTTTAGATGCTGCTAGTCAAGGTGTTAGATCATCTGTTGTTAGATTGGCCCCAACTGTTCACGGTGCTGGTGACCATGCATTCATTCCAGCTTTGATAGGCATCGCAAAAGGAAAAGGTGTATCTTATTACATTGAGGAAGGTAAAAACACATGGCCTGCGGTTCACAGAGATGATGCTGCCACCTTGATCAGATTGGTAGTTGAGAAGGCTCCAGCTGGTACAGCTTATCATGCTTCCCAAGAAGAAGTTCCAAGCAAGGATATTGCTGAAACAATTGGAAAAACATTTAGTCTCCCAGTCAAGTCAATTTCGTCTCAAGACGCTCTTAAGGAGATGGGATTCTTTGGCTTCGCATTTGGTGTTAATAGTAATCCATCAACTGAGAAAGCTAGAGCTTTAGGATGGGTTCCAAAAGAAATTGGTCTTTTAGAAGATATTGAGAAAAATTATACTAGTTAATAATTGAATGAGTTGGTAACGCTGCAGTACCAATGGAATGTTTAAGCTAATAAACAAAATTATCGTTACTTATATACTTTACCGTACTAATTCAAAAGTCTACGTACCACAGTACCACATAAGTACTAGTAATTGAAGCAGCTCGTTATCGGTATTCGGAATCGTTAATTGTATAAGCATTCGGGATTTCGAGACACTTTTTTACAATCCAAAGCGAAAGACACATTTTGGTTTTTGCAAGTAAATTGATCAATCTCGGACGGGATAAAGAGTTTCTGTGAGCTCCTTTAGTGTAATAGCCAAGCTCCATTAGCCACTGGACTCTTTATGGGTTCAAACATGTTCATTTTGAGCCTCTATCGTTTCGATCACTTCTGTAATGGTCTCTCGCAGTTAACGGAAAAGCCTAAAGCCACTTCCACTTTGGTGCGTGAAGGCCGTCTTTTACGTTTTGGGACAGCCAACGTCCGCTAACGACGCGTAAATCCAAAGGGTGCGGTTGCGGGTTTCAACTTTTGATGTCTTGAAAATAAGCATATGAGAGCTCTTTGTTTATCGAAAATAACAGAGCATTTACTATAAATTGAGGATGGTTTCAATGGAATTGCTCAGGTTTTAGTCGAGGTCTTGGAAGTAAGCCATCACAGCTACAGAGGATATTCAATTAGGCAAACTAATTGCACACCCTTACACACAATAGTATTAAATTCAGACCAATCATTTATCAATCATGAAACTATTTGTTACTGGAGGTACAGGATTTATTGGCTCAGCTGTTGTTGATGAGTTAATCCAACATGACCATCAAGTTGTTGGATTAGCAAGATCAGACAAGTCTGCCTCCCAATTGGAAAAAGCTGGTGCTGAGGTTATTAGAGGTGACTTGGAAAACTTAGAAGCATTGAAAAGGGGATCTAGAGAATCTGATGGTGTTATACATCTTGGATTCATCCATGACTTTGCAAACTATAGTCATTGTTGCAAAATCGATGGAATCGCAATTGATGCCATTATTTCAGAATTGGAAGGAACTAACAAACCATTTGTTAGTGCTGCTGTGTTTTCTGGTGTTTTGAATGGTGCTGGGAAGATCATTTATGAAACAGATAAGCCAGTGGTTGATACAAGTTCAGATGATTCTTTAAGAACTGCTAATGAAATTAAAATCTTGGAATCTCATAAAAAGGAAATCAGGTCTATGGTTATAAGATTACCACCTACTGTTCATGGCGCAAATGATCATGGTGCAGGAGATCAAGCGTTCATTCCTGAATTGATTAAGACTTCTAAGGAGAAGAAGTTTTCTTATTTTATCGGTGATGGTAAAAACATCTGGTCTGCAATCCACAGAAACGATGCTGCGGTTCTATTTAGATTAGCTGTTGAAAAAGGGCTAGCTGGCAGAGCTTACCATGCTGTTCATGAAAACATTGAGACTAAGAAGATTGCAGAAGCTATTGGAAGACTTAATAATGTCCCTGTTAAATCAGGCGAATCTTCAATGGTTATCAAAGAGCTCGGATTTGTTGGTGGAGTATTTGCAATGGATGTGAATGCTTCTGTTGAGATAACAAAGAAAGATTTAGGGCCTTGGGAACCTAAAGAGATTGGTCTTTTAGAGGATATTGAAAAGAATTACGCCTTGTGAGTTTCATTTTTCACTTTATTAAATTTTGGATTTGACGAGACCACTTGACTGGTGATATGTAGTACAGCTCTATACTTTATTGACAATTATGGATAACATCTCTCAAGGATACCATGATGTTTAAGTTGTGCTACTAATATTTCTAGACTGTGTATGACATAATCTGGACCTTCGCGAGTCGTGATCTCGATCAACTTGGAACTTCAAAATCCATAAAGACCACGATAACTCAAAACCAAAACAAAGCTAGAAAAAACAGCAAGAAGGAAGCTGTTGCGGTTTATGGAGCTTCACCAAGGGTATTATGGAGGAAGAAATATTGAAGGCTTATCAATTGAAGACATTGAATCCCCAGTCATGGGAAGAAGATTCAGATGAAATAAACCCGACAAACCCAATAACAGATAAAGATTTCAATGATGGAGACAGTTATGCTTTGCTGCTGAGCATAGTCAATAAAGACTCAGATCTGCAAGAAGTTCATAATGCGCTTGATCCGCTAAACCCTCATGTAACAATTCAACAGGTTGCTCGTGAAAGAAATTTAAATGGCAATGATATATCCAAGTTTTCCATAAATAGTAAACAATTCAATTCAAAGCAGTTTTTGAAATTCATCCATAAGGATGATTCATTCAGTCAATTGTCTGAAAGCTTGAATATTTTGGAAGGTTCAATAGTTGAGAGAAATAAAGAATTGAGATTATTGGTTGAGAGAGAATTTCTCAGGTTTGTTAGATCAAAATCTTCATTAGATGGTATTTTATCACAATTTCAAAAAACTGGATTCAATGACGATGAAGTTGGACTAAAGAGCTTGAAAAGTAGTGTGAATGATGCCAATAAAGAAGCTACGTTGTTGATAAAACCAATATTACAGAAAAAGCAGAGAGAGCAAAAGTTAAAACAGGCTCTGGAGTATGTCGAGAAGAAAAAGCTCTTTTTTAATTTACCTAAATCATTTAAGAACTATATAAATGAAAATGATTATGACAACTTGATTCATGATTACAAGAATGCTAAACAATTGAAAGAAGATAATAATGACAAGATCATCAGCAGAATCTGGGAAGAATTAGAAATGATTATTGATACTTATAAGAAAACCTTGTGGCAATCCTTAACAAAAGATGAAAGTGATGATGATTTCTTGAAAAGTATAAAGAAGTTGATCGAATTAGATGTTATTGATAACCCTGTTTTGGAATGGATTGATCTAAAACTCAAGAAATTCATCAGTTTATTTAATGAAACTTTTGGAAAATATCATGAAAAGATTTTGAACGTCCAATTAAACATTTTATCAACAGTTGATGAACAAGATTTCACAAATTTTAAAAGTGCCCTAGAGAGTAACAGACCTTTGATTGATTCTGCGTTGATAATAGAAATGTGGTTAATGATTGTTAAGTTGATTGAAAAATTACAAGAACTTGTCACAAACTTCATCAAATTTTGGAATCACGTTGAACGCTTTTTAAATGGTACTTATCAACAAAGATTTGTTTCAAATTATATTGATCCCAACTCACCATACTTGAAGTTTGAAAAGTATGAAATTGAAGATGTGAAGAAGAAAGGAGAAACATTCATCGATCTATTGGTAAACAAATTGATTAGGTTTTTTAGCTCAACCCAAGATTCCTTGAAAACTCTTCACACTTCCAAGACTAATGAAAATGATGGTGCAACTGACAATTTTGGCTTCTTACCACCTTTCACAAATAGTTTAAGTGCTTTAAAGTATTTACCAAAAATTTACACATCAACATCAGAAATATTGAATAACTTGGGCCAATTGGCAATAACAGATAAGACTGTTCAGTCATTGAGAGATACTTCAGTGTTGCTAAGTGAACGTATCGTGGGATCTGTATGTGCAAGCTGGTTAAATGATTGTCGCTCGTTCCACAACTTGGAAAATTGGGAGAACTTGAACACTGGTGAAACATTAATCCCAAATTTAATTTATGATTATGAAGTCTATGTCATTAAAGGTCTTGGAAAATTGTTATTCAGCAAACTACCTGAAGCTAAAGTTGCCCAGATTGTCAAGTATCCTTCAAAGAAAATACTGACTGGGGTCCAGATTCAATTTCTACGCTCCTTCGATGTTTTATTAGAAAGTATGATTAAAAAAATCATTGAGGAAAATCAAAATCAAACTGTATCAAAAGATATAAAGAGTCATCATAAATTATTAACATTATCAAACATCAAAAAATTGAAAACGTCAGTGGTCCCATCCACTCTTGAAGAATTTGACAATACGTTTGATAGTAACCTTCATTCACAAAACTTGGAAATCTATGCAATTTTGGATAAAATGGAACTCACAATTTTTGATTCATACATCAATGAGCAGAGAAAACACCTTTCAAAGATTCTATTAACTGGTATTTCAAATACTCAATGGTCTTCAATCTCATCACCACCTTCAAAAGTCTCAAGTTTTATTTACGAAAGCATCCATTTGTTGATAGTGGTTTACACTAGTGTTTCTAAAGTTTCAGATAATCTGATTGGTAAAGTTCTTCAAGATTTGTTAGAATATACTTCTGTCAATCTTTTGAAGGATTTAAGAGAGGTTGGTGATTTCTCAATAGAAGGTCTAAGACAAGTTTCTTTAGATGTTGAGTTTTTGAAGAAATTAATTGGCAAATCTGCTTCACAGGCAACTGTCAACAATTTAAACTTGGTTTACAAAAATGTATTTGGACCAAGAGTTGACACAAAAACCATTTTGAATTCAATAACTCCATTATTGAATGATTCTCTTGATGGATCCAGAATTGAATTTAACATCTTCAACAACTGAGCTCTACATTGTTACATCTCAAAACAACATTTCATGACATTATTTTTTTCTTAACTCAAACTGTAGTATTACAAATTTAGAACCCAACTAATATACAAGCAAGCATTTTCTCCCTTTCTACCTTCTCTTTGGACCACGAATTGGTGGAGGTGGTTTAACATGATTTGGATCAAACATTGGTGCGTTTCTCAACATATCTGGAACAACAAAGAATCTTATATTGGAACCTCTGATGAAAACATGATCTAGATGTGTAACTTGGCCTTCTCTTGATGTTAATGTGATGTCACTCAATTGGACGTTCATATTATCCTCAGCTGGTCAAACTTGTTAGTGTACATCTTGGATTTTGGCAAAACAAAAATACTTACATTCAATCAACTTTCCACGGTACGTTTCACCCGAGTTCAGTTCAAGGGATACTATGTGACCCTGAGCTTCATTGAGAAGCTTCACAGGAATACCAGCTGACATGTTTAATTGGTTGAGATTGGTTTAGCTGATGCTCAAGTTGTCTGTAATGATGGGTTTTGGTGTCTTTAGATTTGAACTTTTTCATATAAAAATCTAGACTTCCCAAAATAGAAGGTAAAAAGTATTTGAGATGTACTGACACGTTACACCTTGACAGCACCCTCTAATATTGGAAAGCAGAAAAACAAAGCCAGCTTCAAAACAATCGGAATCTGGAGGCAATTACAACGCAAGAAAAGAAAAGAACAGAGCATTAATTGGTGGCGGGGAGCAATATGTCTGATGATGGAAGCATAGAATTGGGCGGATCCTCGATCTTCAACGTTGCACCAGTGCAGTTTCAAACGGAAATTAACAATATCAGCTCTTTACAAGTTTCTAATGATATTTTGGCTATTGGGTTTAAATCAGGAAAGATATTCAGAATTGATTTGAACAATCCGGCACATATTGATATAGCAGAGCTACCATATAGAAGGTCTATTTCAGAACTTGGCCAAATCGTTGATTTATATCAAGACCCAACAGGTAACCATATCATTGTCACAACAAGCAGGAATGAAAGTTTCTATATTCACAGACAATCATCAACTTTCAAATACTTGAACGATTTGAAGAATGTCAGAATAACTTCAGTTGGATGGAATACAGAAGCTGTTACTGAATCAAACACTGGTGCTTTTCTTATAGGAGATAAGACCGGTGGTGTCCATGAAGCATTCTTGGAGTATAATGAGCATACAGAAAAATATACAAAAAGAATTGACAAAAATGTGTATCAAACCCAAAGCTCAATTGATGGTATACAAATCAGCTATGATCAAGAGTCCAATGAAATCTTGTTACTCATTGTTTCAGGTGATGATATCTCATATTGGAACCATACAATAAGGCAAAAGTCAACTAAATATAATGATTTGTTTTTAGGTGCATATTTAAAGGCGAAGCCTATTGAGTCTGAGAAATATCAAGACCTAGGACAAATAAATGGTGACAAATTTTCAGCTAGAGGCTTAAGTTTTGGTTGGATAACATCAGCTGGTACTGTCTTTGGGGACATTTCAAAGAATAGAATAAAGTCTAAAAAGAATTTTGCCGAACTGAAATTTCTTATAAATCTTGAGCTCCCTGAATCCAATCACAAATTCAAGTCTATTGCATTAACAAAATATCATTTATTGTTGTTGAGAGGCCAAGAATTATTGGTTATTAATAAACTAAATGACAAATTGGTTTTCCATCAAATATTACCAGTATCCGAAGGGGAAAGGCTCATTGGAATTAGTGCTGATCATCTGAAATCAACTTATTGGATATACTCAAACTTGAATATCTATGAAATAACTGTCAGTGATGAGGAAAAAGATATATGGCGGGCAATGGTTGCAAATGGTAATTATGAAGATGCTTTAGCAGTCACAAGAGATGAGGAGGTCAAAGATGTGATTCACTCTAAACAGGGTGATTATTATTTCCAACAAGGTGAATATGAAAAGTCTGCAAAAAGCTATGCATTATCCAGCTTGGCGTTTGAAACTGTTGCATTATCCTTCTTGGAGAAGCAAGAGAGTGATGGATTGTTACAATACTTTATGAGCAAACTCTCAGTTATTAAATCAGATCCAAAATTCGACTTCAAAATGCAAGAGGTTATGTTATCATCGTGGATAGTTGAACTATTTATTGAGAAATTAAATGAGTTAGATGACTTACTAACAACTGAACAAGCTGATGGAATTGCTGCTACAACATCGCTTAAGACTCAAACTGAAAAAGCATTACAAGATTTTTTACTTGAGAATAAAGATGTATTGGTTAAAGCAACAATCTATGAGATTATTACATCACACAACAGAAGATCTGAACTGCTATATTATGCTAATCTGATTAATGATTTTGACTTTGTGCTTACTTACTGGATAAGACTTGAAAATTGGACAGAAGCATTAACGATACTGGAGAAAAACAATGATCCAAATGTTGTCTATAAATATTCTACGGTGCTTTTGGTTAATTCACCTGAAAAAACTGTTGATTCATGGTTGAGAATTTCAAGTTTGGATGCTTCAAAGTTACTACCAGCTATCTTAGCGTACAACAAAAACTCAAGAAAAGTTAAGTTCTCAAAGAATCAAGGTATAAGGTATTTGAAAACATACATCGTTGAAAATAAATGCAAAGAATCAATTGTTCATGATTCATTGTTATATTTGCTAATATCAAACGAAAGTGTGGAAGGTGAAGATATCATTTTACGATATTTGGAAGAATATTCGGGCCAAGTTTATTACAACTCTGATTTCATATTAAGACTATGTCTCAAGTTCAACAAAATAAAATCGGCAGTTTACGTTTATTCATTATTGAATTACTATGAGGATGCTGTAAATTTGGCATTGGATCATGACATGACTGATTTGGCAATGGTTGTTGCTGATAAGGCATCTGATGACAAAACAAGAAAATTTTTATGGCTCAAGATCTCAGAGAAGAAGATATCAAAAATCAGACCTTCAGAAAAGGATAGCATCAAAAAGGAAGTTAAGTTCTTGCTAGAGAAGTGCGAGCTGCTATCAATAAAAGACTTACTTCCACGTATCCCTGACTTTACAACTATTGATAATTTGAAAGATGAGATCTGCTCTGATTTGGAGAAATTCGGTACATTGATCAATAAACTTACCCTTGAAATGAATTCATCTGTGTCCATAAATGAAACTATCACAGAGGAAATTGCAAAGTATGGAGAAAAATCACAAATTATCAAATCGGGAGAGTCTTGCTCTATATGTGAATTCCTGTTAACCTCAAGAAAGTTTTTCATATTCCCTTGTAATCATGCATTCCATTCTGATTGTTTGATTAAAGAGATTCTCAAATCTAATGATTATGCCACTAAAAAGAGACTAGAATTTCTTCAAAAAAAGTATTTATCATCAAAACATGAGCAAGGTGTTAAATTTATCAATAGTCAAGAAGTTGATGCTTTACTCTCCAAAAGATGTCCATTGTGCAGTGATCTCAAGATTGAAACAATCGATGAACCGTTTTTAGACTCTAATAAGGCTACTAATGAGTGGGATATTTGATATTTGAATGATACATACTGAAGGTCTCCCTTGAACATATACTGTAGTACGTGCGCCTGTGTTAGTCAATAATGTTACTTAATAATGGTTTTGTTGACTAATTAAAAATGCATATGGGTTTTCGTGCTGTCAAATTGTCACGGGTTTTTCATTTTGAGCGAGTTGAACCAAAAAAACAACTACAAGCTTCAAGCTCATAGTGAAAGCACCTGTTCCACAGCAGATTTACTACAGCAAAAACCACATAAAAATGTCTGAAAATATACAGAACCCTACCAATGATGAGAATGAAATGGATGTTGATGTTCAAGATGACGAAGTTTTTAATGATAACACTGAAGGAAACGGAGCTCAAAATTCTGTAAACAATAATGGTGAAGGTGATGAAGAAGAAAAAGAAGATGGCGAAGGTGCATCAAAGCCAAATCTAACGGCGCCTGAATTACCAGAATTCACAAGAAAGGATAAAACATTGCATGAAATCTTGGAGATGATGGAAGATTATTATCCAATTGTAAGTTTTGCTATTATCTCATACAAAAGAGCGCGTGAATATTAACAAAATTCATCTAGATACCAGATGCTGTGACGGATTACTACCTTGCTAAAAATGGTCTAGATTGTGAAGATACAAGAATGTAAGTGTATTTCCATATCTTGAGAAGTGCTAGGTACTAACAAGATGATAGAAAGAGAATACTGGCACTAGCCACACAAAAATTCATATCAGATATAGCCACAGATGCCTATGAGTACTCCCGTATAAGATCTTCATCAGCTGTTTACAACTCAAGTAACCCTCAAGTCAGAGCAAAGGCATTGGTTGCTGGTAGTAGGGGTGAACAAACATCATCTTCAACTTCTGGTAATAGTTCGAAAAAAGTTGTGCTTACAATGGATGATCTCAGTAGTGCATTGGCTGAGTATGGGTTGAATGTCAACAGACCTGATTTTTATCGTTAATGTTATTTATATGTCTTGAAGATTCTTTAAACGTACATGTAGTTTCTAATAAATATTATAATATTATCATTAATAACGTGAGAAGAGAGCATATGTGACTAAAAACAATGACATAAAAAAAATTAGAAGTAAATTAGCAAAGGGAAGTTCCTCAAATGATAAATAATCATGAATTTATGGGCAAAAAAAAAAGGGAATTGACAAAATTATGCACGGAAGTAGTGAGTATTTCCTTTACTCATTTCATGAACGGTCATTGATCTCTTGAAATCGTTCAATTCATGACGAATTTGATGAATAAGTTGGGGACTCAATGAATAACTTGATAATGAACGTGAATGACGATTGTAAACGTATGAAGGGTATGTGTTGTTGACAAAAATTTGATTAGTGAAACCAACTTTTTTAGTGGATGGTGTTATTTCTAAAGATTTCTTCTTTAAGATTGAAGGTCTTGTTTGAATTAATGGGAATGGATCTTTTGGTTGATTTGAGTAGATAACTTCAAGGTTTGGCTGTTTAGAAACAAAAATTGTTGGAACTGACTGTGTAATAACATCGTCCAATTGTCTTGCTGATGATGAGCTGATTGATCTAATTGACTTCTTACGCTCAATGGATTTAGATCTCTGCAGCTTTCTTTGTGATTGTCCAAGATCAGTGGATGCCAAATCAGGAAATGGGGTTTCACCAAATTCAATAATCTTATCAATCAATTCCATATCATCAAATTGTATGATCTCATCTTCATCATCAACAGGAGCGGGAGTAAAAGCTTTCATATCAGTTTTCTGAGATTTTGGTTCTTCTTTCCTTTTCTTTTTCTCATCTGTAATCTTTTTATAAACTTGCTCAGATGGTTCATTTGTAGAAAGTCTTGAAAATAACTTGTCCAAAACTAGTTCACTTTTAAAATCACTCGAGTCTGAATCATGCTCTTCCTCTTCTGGTGTATTGACTTTAATGCCACCATCCTCATCACCATCAACAAATGAAAAAACGTCTGAGGTATCAACTTCTGGATTCAAAGTATGAGAAGTATTGACAACTGCAACTGATGGTGTAGTAACTGGCTTTACCGGTTGCGATTCCTTCACCACTTCATTTGGATGTGATCTTCTTGCTGGTGGATTGAAATGTGGTGTTTTCACTTCCACCTTCTCATCATTTTTTCTTTTAATGGATTTTGATTTCTTCTTATGATCAGAAGAAAAAACTTTTGAGAAAATCCTCTTTAATAATGACTGCTTTCTTTCAACTTTGGTATTTGGGTTGGCTGAAGAGACTTTGGATGCAAGTTTTGAAGTTAATGGTGTTTGAAGAACAACAGGTGCCGGTGATGATTTTACTTGAGTCTTTGGAACTGTTTGAAACTTGATCTCTGGAGCAGGTGATGAAGAAACAGGCGCTGAAACAGGCACCGGACTAGGCTTTGGTGGTTCTGCATCTTTAGATCCCTTCACACTTCCCAAATAAACGGGGTCTGGCTCTTTAGGATCAACATCTTCTTGTAAGTTTAAAGTTTCTTTAGAATTATTAACACTGTTTTCAATAGTTGTACTTTCAATAGGAGCTTGTGCCTCTAAAGTCTTTTGAGTTGATTCACTTGTAGGTGTAGAAGTTGTGGTCTTAACTTCTTGATCAATAACAGCGTGTTCTTCAATTTTTCCCAGATTATTAAGAGGTGTGACTTCAAAATGTTGCAAAGGTGGGGGCAATTGACTTAGATCAGCTTTGTTTGTAGTATGGATCGTCAAATCATCAATGGAAGAAGGTGGCGTACTTTCATTCACACTGCTATTAGTTCTTGATGTTCTTGATGGACTTGGGGAAGATGAATAACTATTACTTCCTGTTGTCAAAAGGGACAAATCCTGTTCTGCAGTTTGAACATTAGTTGCTGGAGGTGAAGTTGTTGGAGTTGTTATTGCAGTTGTAGGAGTGGCTGAAGATGAAATTGAATGTGCATGTTGCTGTGGAGGTCTAACGCTAGTGATGTGTTGTTGTGAGGCTGAAAAGGACAAAGGAGGTGAGACCAAAGAAGGTGAAGATTGTATACCTCCTTGAAAATGTTTAGCAGTTTGAAGCCTGTGTAGGGTTGCCAAACTTGTCTGTGATCCCCTTTGTTTATTTCTAGGTGTATAGACCTCACCATTTGGAAAGGTAAATGATGCTGTAGGTTTTGCGCTATGACGACGTTTTTGACCCATGTTTGAAGGTTGTGTATAAGATGAATGTTGTGTGTTGATTCCCACAACTCCATTCATTTGAATACTATTTGATTTCAGAGAGTTTCTTCTATATGCTGGAATATGATTCATGCTTGTTGAAGGTCTCAAATTTGGGTATAATTGTTGAGTTTGACTCTTTGGCATTGAAGGTCTTTGCCCATTCTGAATTGAGAACTGTGGTATTGAAGGCACACTAGAAGCTCTTGGTAGAGGTCTAGGTTGAATCACGTAGCCGTTTTGAACATTCGGGTGATATTGATAATGTTGTAGTTTCGATCTTGAAGGCTTAGTGAACCTGCTCTCCATGAACAACAGATCATTAGTTGAGTTACCACGCGGCACTGAATGGTTTGCAGTGCTTATGGTGGACATGTTGGAAGTGGAATTGTACGAATTGCAGCTTGTTAGCGAGTTTGACCTCTTGTTTGACATGTAAACATCATGGCGCTCATTTGACAAGGGTGATGATGGATTCATAACGATCTGTTGACTAGCAGGTGGATATTAGCGAATGAGATTAATTGATGATAGCTGAGCTAGAGAGCTTTTGATGCGGTGAGCTATGACTTGATCCTGATGGTATACTTTGTGAAATAATCAAACCAAAAATATTAACCCTTGCAATCCTTTCAAATTGGAATGTGACTGTGTGCCTATTTATAAAAAACAATGCATTAACAATAGCTGAAGCACCAAGTTGAAACTTTGATTGTAGAGGATGATTATTGTGCTAAATCTGGTCTTCAAAATGCTGAAATTTTTTAGAGATTTGTTTGTTATCTCTGTAACTGTTTATGATCCAAAATGAATGGCTTCTCTCTTCTCAATAGATGCAGCCAACAAAATAAATATAGCGAAGGGGATGAAGTGAATGAGCACTGGGAGTATAACGATGATGGTGATATACTAAATTTACCAGTGTAGAGTATTGAAATCAAGAGACAGGTACCTTTCAACGAAGTTTTTTTACCCTTATCCTTTCAATTCGACTATTTCTGGTTCAAAAAATTTTGGTTGAAGCTATTCTTTTTGTCCTAATTGAGTTTATTTTTAGCTGGCTAATTATGTCTGCCGGACAAAAATTAAAGCCGAGCCCAAGGCATACAATTGCACCTGGATTACTACTTTGGGTATTTTTGTGTCCCAAACCTGCTGTTTTTTCAAATAATGGCGCAAATCAAAGCAATGCGTTACCAGAACAACTGCTTGCCTCGTCCAAATCGGGACTGTCGCTGGACAAACATGGAAGAAGTTGAGATTTAGCAGTATAACGAGCAGCTTTTAGTTGTCTGCTGGAGAGCATTTAGTGAAACGCTGGCCAGTTATCTCGTTTATTGGAAGATTTTAAAGTCGAATCAGTGGGTGTTTCTCGCTTAAATCGTAGTGGAGTGTACAGGCTACAAGACGTAGTTGTGTATGAGTTTGTTGTATGGAATCAGCCTCTTTGATCTACTCCTTGTTCGACTGTATGGTCGTGTTTATGGTGAAACATAACGAATCTTTGGACATGGTTTACTTTACAAAGTCAACCAGGCTAGACAAGATTGAAGATAACTTAAGCTCAAAGCCAAAGCCAGACATGAGATTTTGGGTATAGCTTGCTGTCCAAATTAGGACAGAACCAAAGGCTGTGATGAATTTTGTTCACTTCTGCTGCTTGTTGAATGGTTCATGAAAAGGAACTTGAAGTCTGACAGAAGACTTCACTGGAAATCCTTATTCACTGTTCAGCACCTTCACGTAGGAACACCGACCATCAGTTGCTCGTAGAGTGTTGGTGCTTCTAGATCTAGGACGTTGATGTCTTTTTTGATAGAGTTTAAATTTTACTTTTCTCTCCACAAACTTAGATGCCAGTGACAGTTGGGCTCGCGAGATAGAGCGCTCAACAGATCAAACCATATGATTTGGTTGGATCTCTCTTGACACTTTGCGCAATTCAATGACACGTTTAAGCAGTTGTGCACATTGCTAACTATACAGGGTACCAAATTAGATAAAAATTCAAGATTCAAGCGCGTTCAAGAATCGATATCGTTGAAAATTCTATAGAAGTTAAAACGAAAAACATAATTAATTGTATATACAAAACTATCTATGCTAATTTTGGGGAAAAGTATGTGATCTCAAAACCCATCATGGTGCTTTCACTATGTACATGTCTATGCTGAAGAAGCTCCATTGATGAGTTTTGATTAGTTGTTTCATTAATTCTTCATTAAAAAAGCTGAAAAACATCAGCTTCAATGCTTATCTTTTGGCATTTCTGGTAAATCATAACCTTTTCTAGCGTTACAAATATCTTGGATCGCGATCATTGATCTATTATCACCAATTTCCGATAAAGCAGCGTATAGTGGTTTCAAAGTATAAAATTTCCAACCAAATTGGTATTTTGTTGAACGGACAATTTTGACTGCATCTTCTAATAAACCCATTTGAGTGAAAGTTAACACCATCTCTTTGGCAAATCTATAATCTTGTCTAGCCTTGTCAAAACTGTTTAAACTTTTAAACTTCTTCACCCTTCTATATTTGCCTCTTTCAATCCATGCCTTTTCACAAATATCCAAATCTCTAAATCTGTTACCTGCTGAAAGATACGTGATGTAAATTTCAGAGCTTCTCTCCATCTTCAGTTTCAAAGATTGTGACATTTTTATGGCTTCAGGTAAATCCTCTTCAACATGAACTAATTCATTGCTCTCGGGTTCAATATCTTCTTCGATTTCATATTCAAGGGACTGTTGAAACTCTTCTGCTGTTTCAAGATTTGAAAACTTGATCTCTGGACTAGGATATGTCAACTCTTCAAATCTTTTTAAAAATTCCTGTTTATCACCATGTTCAATTGGGATTCTCAAGAATGTAATCAAATTTGGTAAATTCAAAGTATTTCCCGGATCACTTAAAAGATGAAATGACCAAATTGCATTGGATTCTGCTATGATTTGCTTTGGGTGGATCAAAGTCTTTAAAGGCAAAAATGGAGGTGATTGATTTTTCTCTCTCGATTCAGTCAAATCAAAATCAACATCTTGATGCAAACCCAAGAAATCAACCAAATTTAAAGCATTTCTTCTGATGGCAACACCTTCTGGGAAATCAAGCATTGAAGGGCGATAACCTATTTTATAATCTCTATAAGCCATAAGCAAATAAACTAAAGCTTCATGGCCTGCAGTTGGAATTCTAACATCTTGTCTCATTTTGAAAATGGTAATGTACAACGCTCTTGCTAGTTCCAAATCACCATCTTTTGCAGCTAATCTCAGCATTGCTTCAAAAGTTCTCACATTTGGTGTTAATCTTCTTTCATTTATTTCATTGATAAATCTCCAGCCATGAACAAAAAATTCTTTATTCTTGGAACAACATCTAGCAAGGCAATTCAATGTAAATAGATTTGGGGACAATTTCGCATCTTCCAATTCTCGGTAAAGATCCAACGCCTTGTAAATATCATTATCGTTGGTTGCTAGTAAAATCATGCTATTGTACGCTTGGATATCTGGTTTAGTTTGAGTTGATCTGAACTTCATCATTTGGAAAATCTCTTGAGCTTGATTTGAATCCTTCATATTCACACATAAATTCAAAACGTTGGAGTAAATCACCAATCCTGGTTCAACTTTATTCTGATGCATTAAGTTCAAAGTTTGATTGATCTTCTTCAAGTTTTTATGTTTGGAGTAAACTTTGATCAAATATGAATACATATATTTTGAAGGTTTGACACCATCAGCTAATGCTTGTTTGTAAAAAGATTCCACCATAAAGAGCGATCCTAATTGTGCATATTGTTTCATGAAGAAATCATAGGCGAAGTTTTTGAAAGCAATACCATTCTCTTTCAACATTTCGTGGAGTAGTTCCAAAGAGCCTGAGCTTATCTTCCCCATGGCAATTTGTCCCATGAATTGATAAATATCCTTCTTTACCACACCTTGAAGTCCACCTTTATTTTTCGCTAGATCTAAAATAATAGCATCCCAGTTTGGCTTATCTTTATTAACAATGTGTACAACGTTATCACCAATTTTGTTCAACATAACCTGTGGTAACACAATACCTCTAGCAGGTTGATCAAATAGTGATACAGCAACATTATCTGTATTGGATTTTGAATCTGGAAGAAGTAAATTATCATTTGAGTCTCCCAGTATTTCATCATAAATCACATCTACATCACCGGAATCTTGTTCAATAGGTTTGGAAATGTCTTTGATCTGTTTTTCAGCCTCTGATTCTTTATTTTTCTTTATCTGAGCTTTCAAATTCATAGTAAACTCCTGCATCTCTTTGATCTTCAATTCCAACTCTCTAGATTGCTTAGCTAGTATCTGATCTGTATGAGTTGTAACTTCTTTATTCCTTTGTTTCCTCTCTACTACCTTTTTGGATGGATCTCTAGTTCTCTTTTTAGGTGGTAGAAATACTGTACGTACAGAGACGGTACTGGGCTGGGATACCCTTGGTGCTGAGGTACCATGTAGCAGTGTTGTTCTGTTGGCATACCGTATACTGGTTTTGAAGCCTATTATGCTCATAATCTTAACCCTCAAAGTAGTTGTGTGGCTAGAAAATGCTGTTTATTGTCTTTTGATCATATTTTTTTTTCACTTTTGACATTTTTTCCATAGTAAAAATTTTAGCTCATCGGATATATTTTGGATACGCGACACACCATAGTTAAGCTTTGCAAATTGTAACATTTGATGATTCAGTTGGTGGAAATGATGAGATCTGGTAAATATTCTTTGATTTAATTCATTTTGGCTTTCAATATCAGCAAACCAGTTCAACCATCCCCAATTTGCAGCTTCAAAGTTCATTGTTTTACGATGAAACAAAAAACCGTTTGAATCTGCGACGCCAACCAGTTTTATCTATATCTCCAAGGAAAAATTCAACGCCATAAACTTTTTGAGGCCATCTTTTAACATGAATAAGTACACACTTCTACAATCAATACGATACCAAACAAAATGAGGATATATTACTTGCGTACCAATCTCAGGTGGATCTCATTCATTCCAAAACCGTTGCTAGGGGCATCGAAGTTTTAGATTTGTATCATCATTCACACCGAGCTTATATATAAAATACACTTCAAATCTCAAGAAGAGCAATATCAAAAGGCTTCCAACTCAATCAAGTTAACTATCAACACACACATATATTATTTATTAGTCACCATGGGTCAAAAAAGAATAACATTCAACATCTCTACATCATTTGAAGTTCAACAGCTACTTGGAGAAGGTGCTTATGGTGTGGTTTGTCTAGCATTACATAAACCAACTGGAACAAAAGTCGCCATAAAAAAGATTCAACCGTTTGAAAGATCACTATTCTGCGTTAGAACACTAAGAGAAATCAAATTACTAAAGCATTTTAAGCATGAAAATATCATTTCGATATTTGATATTCAAAAACCTGGTTCATTTGAAGATTTTAAAGAAGTTTATATTATTCAAGAATTGATGCAAACAGATTTACATCGTGCAATTATTTCACAAAGGTTAACTGATGATCACGTTCAGTATTTCATTTATCAAATCCTTAGAGGCTTGAAAGCACTACATAGTGCAAATGTTATTCATAGAGATTTAAAACCATCTAATCTATTATTGAATGCTAATTGTGATTTGAAAATTTGCGATTTTGGTTTAGCTAGAATTGATGAACAAAAACAAGGAAACTATGCCAACTCCCCAGAGAATAAAGGCATTAGCATGATGACTGAATATGTTGCCACTAGATGGTATAGAGCACCTGAAATCATGCTAACAGCTTCCAAATATACAACAGCTATTGATGTTTGGTCTGTTGGATGTATACTAGCTGAATTGTTGATGGGTAATCCATTATTTCCAGGAAAGGATTATAGAGATCAATTGATTATGATTTTCAAAGTTTTGGGGACACCAACAGGTGAAGACTATCACAGTATCAGATCGAGAAGGGCAAAAGAATATATCAGATCATTACCATTTTATAAAAAAGTTCCTTTTCAAAAGATTTTACCATATGTTAACCCACTGGCAATTGATTTATTATCCAGAATGTTGACATTCAACCCATCCGAAAGAATCACAGTGGTAGAGGCGTTGGAACATCCATATTTGGCTACATATCATGACCCAACAGATGAGCCAGAAGCACCACCTATTCCACAAGAATTTTTCCACTTTGATAAGATGAAAGATCAATTATCTGTTTCTGAATTGAAAAAGATGTTGTATGATGAAATTATGAGTAGATAAGTAACCAAGAATTTGTTTATGTTCACGCCAATGCATTATAAAAAGATAAAACTTAACATGCCGTAGCTATAAAAAATTATAGAACAACGTAATGTTGATGAAATTATGTTTTGGACGTCTATAACTGTCAAACTCTTTCGTGTCAATTGAAAAATGAGTGTGCCCAAACCAAAAAATAAAGACTGGTCCCTAGCAGGATCGAACTGCTGATCTTGGCGTTATTAGCACCACGCCTTAACCAACTGGGCCAAGGGACCGCAACTTTGAAACCGGAAAGGCGCTGAATAATGTTGAGATATTGCGCTGACATAAGCATCAGGACACCAATTACTTCATTCGGTAGTTTTTTCATCTTTTTTTGATAGAAATTTTCTTTTTTTACGAAGTTTTTGACAGATCTGTGACTTTGTGGGATGGAAAATACTGCGCATACCTGAAAAGTTTTTGAAATTTGTTTCTTGTTCTAGTTTAGCCGAACCTTATAGCAAAAGAGATCAGTAATTTATTGATTTAGGGTATAGGCTATACATGACAATAGTCTGGCTATCTTTAATTAAAAGTATTTGCTCGTGGCCGGATGTGACTTTAGAAGCCCACAATTTCATGTTGAGCAGTTGGTTGATTGCTCATGAATAATAGACTGCTAGCTACAAATTTCACCGAACGGCTATAACTAATTACTTCATGAATTCTGTGCGTACTAGTAGTGAATCGTGATATCGAATATATTAGCTAGCTCATGAATTTAAGTGCAGGTGTTATATCTATGAATCATATTGTCGCATCTACTCGGCTTCATGTACAACTGGCCTTTAATAGTTAGCAGGTCACGTAGCTAGTGTCGTGAATATACCACGTCTGATCTAGAGGATAAGCACTATTTTAAGGCTTGATCTCGTTCTGATTATAATGATTAAGTTATTAAGCAATACTGCCGTACCAGTGTAAGTGCAAGCACTAGTGATATTTCAAAAGCTTTTCAAATCCCGGCTCTATTACCTCAGCTTGTAGCTTACTAGCTTGTGACCATCACACTCCCAGCTTCCCACGGGATAGCTTGTGGGAAAGATAGGACGCCAATAGAGTGAAGAGGTGAACTCTTTGTCTTGGAATAATTTGATTAGACTTCTTTTATGGAGTGATTAATCATCGGAATCAGGTCAGTGATTCAGGGCGCGCTTCAGTAGTTCTGGCCCTTGGACAACTGATACATATCCACGATAACAACAAATGAGCAATAATAAACTAAACGCACTCATCCACTCACTACTTCTATTAATCACCACCACCATAATCCTCTATTCACGTCTTTTTTCCACCTCGTTATATCGTTTTTTTCTTCTTCATGTTCCCCATTTTCATGATGCTGCTGCATTACGTCAAAGTTTATACTGACACGGGCGGCACTGGCAGTCCCAGAACTGATCATGATCAAAATTGCAATCCCAACAACCCATATAAATATCTGGCAAGCATCCTTCATCAGCGTTTTGCTACACCTTTGTCTGGGGAAAACATAACAATACAATACATCAAATACATTACATTCAAAATGACTATTGCAGACAGCACTACGTCGTTCATACAGTGAGTATAAGGAACCCGCCATGGCATTTAAGTCCAGGGATACTACTTTGACAGGCGCTGAAGTTTGGGCTTTTGCAAGCTTTGTTAACCTTTTTAGCAACCGATCAAAGACTGGCCTTCTTCATGGACATGTTTATAAAAGGAGATAGAGTACTAACATCGCACCAGGGATACATCAAAGCATCCAACTTTCCACAAAAGAACTAGTTGCCTCTTATCGCAACCTTCGTTTCATAGTGCCAAAATCACAGTCAAGTAAGTCTTTCTGATCTTATCGTCAGGTTTGCAGATCCCCCAGTCTAGCAGACATGATGTATATCCTCCATTATAGAAGCATTACTAACACCTTATAGTCACTGGCAACTTAGAGACTTGGTACAGCCGTTGTCATCTGATCCTAATGAAATTCTTTACACCTATGATGATACCATCAGATCTACAAATAGAAAGACTGACAAAGTTTCAACCGTTACAAAGCTGGACTTCCACCCAAGATGCTTTCAAGAAGTTGATGATCTTATTGTTAGTGGTGGTGTTATCAGCTCAGTGAACAATAGCAATAGTATGACTAATTTGAATCGTTCATTCACCACTTTGAATGATGGTAATACAGGAGCTGGCTCAACTTGGAGAGGTTTATTTTCTCTTTACAATAAAAATACCCAGGAGTCTCAAACAATCAAGCTTGGTTCATACATCAATAATAACGTTTCAATTAGCAAGCAATCAAATGGTCAATATGCTTCATATGTTTGTAATAACGATATGAACTTATACAACACAGATATAAACAACACATCAATAACGGTTAAAGATGCAGTCAACCTAGACTTTCCATTAAATCATTCAGCTTTATCTGATGATGGTAAGAACTTGGTTGTTGTTGGTGATTCATCAAATATTGTTTTACTTCGTCCAGATCAAAATGGTTCAAATACTTTATGTCGTGATAATATAATTGAAACTCAATGTGACTCAGGGTTTTCTACTTCCTTTGATAGTTCTGGATTACAGTTTGCAACTTGTTTCCAAGATGGTACCTGTCTTATTTATGATCTGAGAAACATTTCTGCTGGTCCAATGAAACATGTTTATTCAACTAGAAGACACTCTTCAAACGGTGCATTTAGATGTGTTAAATATTCCAGAGGCACAGATGACTTGTTAGTATTGAGTGAACATGTTGGTAGGGTCCATGTTGTTGATACACGAGACTTCAATAATCATCAAGTTATCATGTTACCAGTTAATGATAACCCACGTTCACGTCAAGCAAGTTCAGCTTCACTATCCAATATCACTTCACAAAGTCGCTCCAATTCTTCAGTGGAAAATGTGAATCCAAGTATCTACAACCCAAAAATCTTGGAATACAATGATATTTTAAATTATGAAGGTAACCTTGCTGCCATCAACACGTTTGAAAACACTTTTGGGACTGCATATAACACCAATCATAATTCCAGAAACTTCAATAATTTCAATTTACTGTCTGCCATTGAAGATGAAGGTGAAGATGATGGCATGGATGATGAATTTATAGGTTCAGATGAAAACCAAATGGATGAAGAAGTCTCTACACTTGGAACTTTACACAGATCTAGTGTTGGCTCAAATCTCACTGCAAGCACGATGTCTAGTGAATTTGATTATACGGATAATGACATTAGTGGGTTAGACTGGTATGAAGATCGCTATGGTTCACATATTGTTATAGGTTGCGATAAAGGGTTGATCAATTGGGATATTGATTCTTGGGGTAGAAGATCATTTCCATCATTCAAATTAGCATGAAGTTATAAGAATTCAAGGCAAATCCGCATTTATCATGTATTATTGTTACAATTTTATTTAATTTTTATACCCAATCAATATTAGGGTTAAGCATATTTATTATTATTCAATGACAGATGTCATTAGAAATATAGAGGGTTACAACGGGGTTTCAGGCGGTTGCTGGGTTTATTTTAGTTAAAGGAACAATTCATGGTACAATTTATTGAATCAAATGTAGACAGCCTAAAACAAAGTTAACTATGTATCAATAGCTTCATCGACTCTAGTCAACAACATCCGCAGTATCTATGTAACTATTTCCATTATTCTCATTGATTTCTAAACTTTCAATTTTTGTTTCTTCTTCAGGTTCATCATCGTGAAGTTCTTCAACTTTATGTTCCTGACTTTGTTGTTTTTGATACTCATCTTTGATCTCATCCCACTCTTTTTCATTCTCAATTAATGCTTGCACACCAATAACATTACATTCATCGAAAATTTCCAAAATTCCTTCAGCTTCTGGAATAGGCATACCATGGAAAACCTTATTAACCTCATCTAAAGATTCAGTCTTCAATGCATCTTGCATTTGTTTTGGCAATTTTTGGAAGCTTTCCCAGCGATACTTTTCTTCTGGGTCTGTTGAATTTGGATCTGGTAAATTAACGACTAGTGTAGAATCTTCATCGAGACTCTTGAGTTGAATTTCTTGATTAGCTTCATCAATACCTTCTTCATCTATTTGTTCCTGTGCCAAGATCTTACAACGCTCTTTAATATGGGCAAATGTACGTTGGTTTTCAGCTTTGAAAGCTTCATATGCTGGGTTTGTTTGATCCTTAAACATTTTAGATAGCAATTGTTCAATAATCAGGCCAATTTCTGTTGGGTGTGTTGTGCGTTTGTATTGGAAAATATCTAAAATATATTGTAACAAAGTTGAGAGGTAAATGATTTGATAGGTTTTCTTATCATCACCTGCAAATTGTGCATCAAAAGCTTTCATTAATAAAGAGTCTTTCTGATCTGGCTTAATGATATGGGTATGTGATTTTAAAAATTTCTTGATTTTATCAACATTATCTATTGGAAGTTTGGAGTATGTTACGGTATCTGGATATAAATCACCAATCTCTTCGTCTTCTTCCTGTTGTTTTGATAAAGTATTGTTCTGGGTACTGACAATATCGGAAGAGACATCCTCTGTAATTTGAGAAGTGGATTGGGGTTCTTCTGAAACAGATTTGGTTGAATTGGTTTCAGGTAGTTGAGAATAAGAGTTTGTTTGCACTGGAGCTGGTGTTTCACTAGTTTTTTTCACTTCTTTAGTTGATTCCCCCTTATTCAAAAATGAGCGATCCCAACCAGTATGCATATCACTTGATGAAATATGCATGGTGCGTTCCTTATATAAAGAGTCAAGTTTTTCAAGATTTTTCTCTAGGACATCATCAATTTTCTTTCTATGTGCTAATATAAGTTCTTTGATATTTGAACCATCATTTTCATCTTTACCAGCAGTTTTCACGTCTTTCTTCAATTGAATGAAAAGATCTTCAATCATTTCATTGTGTGTTGGAGCATCTTCTTGTTGTAACTTTTTTGCTTCTAGTTCCTTTTTCAACTCCTCATTTCCAGAATTGGCATTGATGTCATCAATAGCGGCTTGTTCGTCATAGAATAAAGGTTTTGAATTTGGATCAAAATGTTCAGCCAAGTAAGTCTTTACATAGTCAAAATCAGCCAATTTAGTAGTACCAACATCTGATAGCAATTGGTCAGTTCTCTTGTTTAATTCAGAATACATATCCCTTTGTGTCTCTAAAGTTTTGATATCTTGTTCTCTTTGTTGACGCTTCATATGGATATCTTGCTGTCTCCAGCGGATGAATGAGTTTTTGTCGACATTTGGATGGACTTCGACATCAGAATCATCAGAAAGTTCTAGTTTATCCCACTTTGAGTAGTCAATTGCCATAATGAAATAATTTGATAATAATTGACCAGCTAGTTGTTGTTTCAAGAAGTTCAAAGTGTTGATTTTGGCGTTGTGATGAGATTCGAATCATCTCGAAAGAAAGAAATATTCGGTACGGGCAAAGCACAGAACACATTCGCGACATTAAAGTAAATAGCTAAATACTGATGATATTAATCGAAACTAAAGAGCCCGTTGCTGAGTATAGAGCTGGTCAGTCCAATCAGTCACTACCGACTCCCCATTCAGATATTTATCTCTGAACAATTCATCTGATTTTTTGCTTCCGGTGGTGGATGGCGACATTAGTGAAGTCGAGCAGTAAAGACTAGCTCCTTCCCAAGATCCCAAGGAATCAATAGCTTCAACTGGGTGACCCAGACTTTGTTCAACTTCCTCCAGGATTCTAGTTTTTAGACCTGGGATATTGGCAAGCCCACCAGTTATTATGATTTTTGTTGATAATTCACTTCTAAGATCAATTGGAAGATTTCTCAAAGTTGTTGTAATCATCGGTACTAGTTGGTGATTCTCATTGTCGAGGTCACTATCTTCCAGCTTAAACATAAATCTTTCCAACAATTCATATCTTATACTATTGGGTATTATAATGTTTTCAAATTCAAATTCTTTAGCATCGGTTCTCAAGATTGCTTTAGTTCTGCAATAAAATGTATCACATATCAATTTCTCTGTCATACTGAAGCTATCAACTTCAGCCCAGCTTTCAAACTCTTTCAACTTATCACGAACATATTCATGTAGCTGCCGACCAGCTTTACAGCTGACTTTTATATCTTTGTACATCATTCTCAAGTCAAAAATAGGAATAACAGTTGTTTGGTTCCATCCAAGATCAATCACAAGCCCGCTGCTGCTTCCAGCGCTCACGCAGCTCAACACAGGTTCCGGATAGAATCTTAAGGACTGGGCATGAATATGGAATAGGAAAACTTTTGCTATTATCTTTTTCAATGGAATTGGAAACAATGGAGGTTCTAAAACCAACACCTTGCATTTTTTGGCATCAACCAATAAATTTCTCTGATATATATCATAAATTATCCTTTCCAGAAGACATTCCAGTTTAGCAGCATTAAATTCAGTCAGATCATATGTCCACAAATAGTTGTTTTCAAGGCCATCCTGCTTCTGTATATGGTCCTTTTCAGGAAGCGCGTGTTTGAACTCAATGTTATTATTGAGTTGAGAATCACTTAAATCATACGCGTTTGTTGGTGTCCTTAGGATTGGCGTAGCATCTCCAGCAAAACCTGCCCGTATGAATCTTGCCCCTATTTGTATAATCACTGGATAGTATTGATAAGATTGCATTGATCCATACAGCTTTTGATCTTTGTTAAATCAATTGAACTTGATCGAGCTTGTTGATGGATTTTCAAGTCGCGAAAGTTTATTGTGTCAGGTTTCTGCTGTAAAGACTTGAAAAGCATTGATAAGAGAAACTTAAGGTCTCTTGAAGTCAGTCAATATATTATAAGATGCAATTGCTACGAAATACAGACTACTTGATTGTGCTTTGATTTCAGAGCCTTCCTCTAGAGTTGAAACGTATTTACCTTAAACGATTATATAATATATTACATAACATTCCAGACAATTTATGGAAAAATGTGTTGTGATAAAGAAGGCTACTTCTATAATTCAACCCCATAAAAGCAAAAACTCGTCTCAAAGTTCAAAGTACTATACAAATATGGGTGCTATAGTCTCACTTCCATTCCAAATCGCTGGAACATGGGTTGCTAGTTGCTGTGGTTCCATGTGCTTTTCACTAGTTTCAAAATCATTTAAAAGTATAGGATCAAGTTTCTCAACTCGTTTGAGTTATGCCTTCTTATTCCTACTCAACACTATTCTATCATGGGTAATGCTTACGGATTTTGCAAGAAGTAAGTTGGAAAAACTATCAAAATTTCAATGTGAAGGTGTTGAATGTGGGTTCTTTGCTGTTCATAGAATAAACTTCTCCTTAGGTATATTTCATGTTATACTCGCTGCGATGTTGGTGGGTGTACATTCCACAACAAACCCAAGATCAAAGATTCAAAATAATTTCTGGGCTCCAAAGATACTTCTGTGGCTTGTCTTCATTGTTGTTTCTTTTCTAATACCTGATAAATTCTACATTGGTTGGTCAACTTATGTTTCCGTTTTCTGTGGTGCTTTATTTCTACTCATTGGATTAATCTTATTGGTTGATTTTGCACATGAATGGGCTGAGACTTGTATTGAGCATGTTGAAAATGAAGATGAGTATTCATCAGTGTGGAAGACTATTTTAATTTCAGGAACTTCATTGATGTACTTGGGCTCATTAGTTATGACAATCCTCATCTATGTTTTCTTCTGCAAAAGTGGTTGTTCAATGAACCAGGCTGCTGCCACTGTGAACTTGATACTGTCAATTATTATCACCGTTTTGTCATTAAACAGAACAATTCAAGAGTACAATCCAAATTGTGGGTTAGCTCAAGCTGCAATTGTTTCTGTGTACTGTACTTACTTAACACTTAGTGCATGTGCTTCAGAACCAGATGACAAACAATGTAATCCATTGATCAGATCCAGGGGTACAAGAACTGCAAGTGTTGTTTTGGGAGCTATATTTACATTCATCACAATTGCCTACACAACAACCAGAGCTGCAGCCAATTCTGCTTTTAATGGGAACAATGGAGGTGGTGCTATCACCATCAATTATGATGACCCTGTTTCCACGGAGCCAATTATCAGCACACAACCTTCTGCTAGAAATGAAATGAGACTTCAAGCTATAAGAGAAGCTGTTGCCGTTGGAACTTTGCCTGAAAGTGCTCTACATGATCAAAGTTGGCTCTATGACGACGAAGATGATGAAGATGAAGAAAAAGTTTCAACCAAGTATAATTATGCATTGTTCCATATCATTTTCTTCTTTGCTACACAATGGATTGCTGTGTTGTTAACTATGAATGTTCAACAAGATGATTTTGGTGATTTTGTTCCAGTTGGAAGAACTTATTTCTACTCTTGGGTGAAAATTGTTAGTGCTTGGATTTGTTACTTGATATATGGATGGTCACTGGTAGCTCCAGTTTTGATGCCTGAAAGATTCGGCTTTTAAATCTACAAGAAGTGCTTGCAAATTTATAGCATTGAGATTCAAATGAATACGAGAATTGGGACTTGTTTCTAGCCTTCTGAATCAGTGATACCACCTTCATTGATGATATAGACGCACTCTTTCTCAGGCATATCAGGAGAATCAAGTAATTTGGCGACTCTTTCATCACCACGACCTTTACTATATTGAAAATATTGTTACTTTATATGCTTTTAATGACATGGTTTTATTTCATAAATTACTTACCGCAAAAGGATTCTTGTAGCACTTGCATGTGCTAAAACATGACCACCCACTCTGGATTGATGTTAGTAATGAAAATTATTCATATCTATATTTCTACTCACGGTTTTCTTCCATCTGCTGCCGCAAATAACGCAGAGGCACCTGGGTCTGACTGGACTTGATTGGTCATGAAAACAGCGATATTAAAGTCTTCTGCAATTCTATTCAATCTTGACAAATGCTGGTTAAGCCTTGATTTGCGTTAATAGGGCATCGATACTTCAAGGTACCTGGTTTACTCACTTTTGTTGACGTTCACCCAATTCACCCCTACCAGAGTACTTTATAATGCTCGTTAGTTAATTGAGCCATAAGTTGCAGCCAGATACTTACATCAACTCTGAAGTTTGCCATTATCGAATCAATAATCTTTGAACGTTAGTACAAGTATGTATGTCTCACACCATGGTATAGTCATACAAGCAATCTGTAATCGCCAGAAGCTAATTCCGTACCTAGCTCTTCCAATAGCTCACATTGATGCTCACTATTCAAAGCCCTAGCATAGGTAATGTTTTCAAGACAAGTATCTGGGTCAACGCCAAACCTTTCGGCAATTGATCTTATTCTAAGAAGAGAAATGTGTCAGTAAAATATAAAGTTTGGCTGAAAGTTCGACATCGGCGTTAAAAAAGCTTCACTCACCTATCTGGACGGAAAGTTCCTTCTGTGTCAATATAAGCTGCTTTACCTTCAGCGCCTCCTAGAGACTATTTTTGGTTAGAAATGAAAAGAATTGATTCATATATTCTTGACATACCTTTGGAAGTTGAGCAGTCACACATAAAGTGTGGGCCATTTGAGTTTTCCCACATCGGAATTCACCAAAGACTTCAGAAATACTCATAGTCATAATGCCACCGCCTAAACTGCTATCAAGAGCTTTCGAGCCTGTCGATAGACTCATAACACGCTTTCTAAGATCAGCTTGCACAGTTCCTGAGACGAACCCAACTTGCTATAAAAAAAGAATTAGCAAACTCGTAGATGATGTTTGGCCGGAGGATCTTTCAAAACTTACTACTATTTTCCCTGCAGCTTCCTTAATTTTTTCGACCTTGATTTCACTCAAACCTCTAATCTTCAACAAGTTTCTTCTGGTTGTTGACAAGACCGACTAATCAGAACTATTAGTATCTTTAATGGAACTCATATTGAGGCAAGTTCACTCACGGTGATGCTGCAAATTCCAGCAGCCCTAAGCTTTTGAATATCACTAGCATTAATACCTTGACCTTGAAGCTCGTCAATTGAGACGATAGCTGTACTAGTTTCATTCAGGACCATATTGATGATGATTGACTTGAATAAACTTGGGAAAAGGAAGGCAAAAATGATAAACAAAACCAGGGAGAAATCGTCAGTATTTATAAGTTTGGCATTCAAGTTTAGCCGCCGACCAAAACAGTGGGAACAGTGAGTTAAATTTGCTCTACAAAGGAACACTTTGACAGAGTATCAATTATTAAATGCAGTACTAATGGATTTGTATGGGTCTTTTCTAAAGTGGCATGTGATTATGGACAAGATTCTGGCTCGAAAACCAGGTTTTTCTATTTGGAGAAGCGAGCCGCCCAGTTTCTTGATGTTGTTGTTGGTGAACAAATTTTCTTTTCATGAACGCGTAATGATGATTCTATTGGACAGAACAGCATTTCTGACCTTGACATTCAAATGAACTTGAACATGGATCATCTCTTGCTGCGCTCGTTTGGACAACTCTTACTCTGAGGATTTCAATTAGAACAGGTTCAAATAGGCTTTTGGAAATGGATTCATACTTACTTCATGGCCAGGTTCACCACAGGAATAACAATGGATCTGAGAGTTGCCTGGATCACTGTTATGGCTTCTCAATTGAATAAGGTTGTTATACTGGTCAAATTGGTTTCGAGGTTGGAAATAATACTGTTGTGGTTGATGAGGATGATGATGGTGATGTGATTGTTGTTGCTGTTGTTGTTGGTAGTGGAATTGGCTCAAATGATTGAAAGATCTAGGAGCAGCTGGGCCATGGCTAGAATAGTTTATATGTTCATATGGGTATGGGACAGAAGCATGATGTGGAATGTATGGTCCATAGTTTTCATAATGAGGATGATGAGGGTGAGATGCTGGTAATGAGTTATGTGATTGTGGTGGTGAATGGTTATATACCCAATGCTGGAATGGTTGTGGTTGTACTTGTTGTTGTGATGGAAGTGGTGGTGATGGTTGGTAATATGGATCTTGTCTAAAACTTCCAGGATGTTGTAATGGAGGTAATCTGAAATATGGATCAAAATTTTGGGTTTGGTAGTTATAATCTTGTCCAATATGGTATAATGCACCAGGTGAGCCACTCCCAAACATTTCTTGAGATTGTGTTCTTTTAAGTGTTCTGTACTTTGGACAATCAGATTGAATATGGCCAATCTCTTTGCAAAAATAACATTGTTTGGATTCTGAACTTCTATCATTTGGACATTTAGATGATTCATGGCCTGGCTTTTTACAATTATAACACAGTCTTTCACCTGATGAACAATCTTCAGCATGGTGGCCCAAGTTCCCACATTTATAACATGTTCTTTTGAAAGCTTGTGACACTGGTAATTTTGATTGCAAGATACAGTTGTTCATACCAGCAGACGGAACAAATGGTTCATTGTCAACTTTATAGAAGCGTTCTCTTTGACTAGGAGATGCCAATTCTGTCTTTGGTTGTGTATCAGTCATCATCATCTTTGGAAACCGTTTACCTGTTTTTTTGCAAAAAAATATCTTGTTTGACTTTGAGATGGACGCCTAAGGGGGTATTATTTGGATAAACTTCAGTAACTTGTGATTCAATAATGTTTAAAAAGGGTTTCAATTTGTTCAGAATTCAGCAATTGATGAAGATTTTCTTTAATTTGTGAATCAATTTCAATGGATACAGTTCTCAAAACTCCAATAATGATTTACTGTTGGAACTTCAAAACTTCAGATTTGGGAAAATCAAACACAACTAAACAGTCTAAGATTCTGATGATTATTTGGTTTAAGAATCTAGCAACTAAGATAAGATTAGAAACCAAGCTTATGCCTCAGATTAATTAAGCATAGATTGGTTTTTGATAAAATAAGGCAAACTCTTCCCTTTTAAACTTCTGAAGCACAAGATGAAGTTAACGTCCAAGAAAAAAAAAATGAATGCTTATAACCTCTTGACTGATTTGATGTAACGTACTTTCTTTTTCCTCGAGTACCTGTGAAACACCAAGGTTTATGTGCGTTTGGGTCCTTACTCCTGATTGAATATGATCGTGTTCTTCCAACAGACCAAACCCTCAGATTACTCTATTGGTGTATGTGATTTTCAAACTTTATAATTGTCAAACTTTATTTATTTTTTTTTCAAGTTCTCGTGAACTATTCGAGGTACACAGCTTCACTGGCTACAGCTACAAGTAGTAAATATGGGTGGGGGGACAATAATGATATCGTACATTGATCATGATGAATATGATATTAATAGTATTCTCCGTTTATTGTCTAGTGAATTCTATGTGTAGTATGTGACTATTTCATCTAGAACTGGTGATGTTGTGCTATGTTTCCAGATTAATGTTCCTGGACGTCTCGTTACTGTATGTAGTTCACCTTTCAATTTTCCAAGTCAAATTTGTATTGTCAAATTGCTGCTAATAAAAATCCGAACAAAAGAAGACCGTGCATGAAGTGGAAGAAACGAGACGAGTACGAATGCAGAGTCAAAACAGCTTTTGCGGTGACTAAAATAGATCACAACCTGTCTAGTTGGTGGAGCATCAGTAAAACTGGAGATCTTAGACGGAGACAGCTCCGAAGCTCATCTCTTGTATACTTCAGAAAAGCGTTCTCAGAGAACCAACCCTAAATTTAAAGCTTTGGAGTCTAAAGCTGTTTAAGCAGCATTAATATGTTCTTTTGCACATCTGGTAACTCAGCTCCTCGAACTGAAACTTCGTTAATGTTGTACGAGCTAAGTAATGAGCATCTGCAATAAGGTTGGAAATGTATGGTGAGTTCTAGCTCACTAAAACTAGCTATTGATCAGTGATCACTCTAAATTATCGAGCACCTGTGGCCGTACACCGCACACTTGATTTGGAATCTATTGTGAGAATCTCTATGCTGTTCTCTGCGATAACGTAAAACTTAAATGTTGCTTTCAGCTAGCAAAAGGTGTCTTAGGGTTTGGTTTTTGGTGTACAAGGTTTAAAAGCGGCTTTCAAATTTCACATCAACACGCTGATGGGCTTTGAAAAATCGGTCGATTTGCTGTTGATGGTTTCTTTGGATTCCAAGAAATCAGCTTAAGCCTTGAGGTATAGACTAAAAACAGAGTCATCTATAAAATGTTTGACTATTTTTGACTTTAAGCGAAGGTTTCTAGAAGAAGCAAAAGAAACGAGGCCAACATCACCTAGCATTTTATCTATGTGAACCACTGAAGTGGTGCCATGAGCAAGAGCCTAGAGGCCACGAAGATCACACGCGTGTAATCATACATAGATCTAGTTATTGTTGTGTATCAATTTTGGAGAAGCAAGAGGACTTACACGAAATTGATAGTAAAACTGACTAGATAGAACTACGATTGTGCATGAGAAATAAGAGGGTCCTTTTGACTTTGGGGACGCTAATGCTTATGATAGGTCGTCTGATTCTATCAAGCTGAAATCGTTGGGTATTTTTATAATTTATGTCCACCTACATACCTAGTATAATGTAGAGATCGAACGGCTTTCCATGAGCAATTTAAATTGAAGCTTTACGAGCATACTTTGAACTAAGCATATTATAACATCTATTTTGGGCCTGAAGTATGAAGAAATATATCAGCTTTCAAAATCGAAAACAAATTGGAAGTATAAATGTGTTTCATATGCCGGCCACAATGCATATGCGTAAAGTATAAACATGGTATCAAAGGGTTCGAAATTTAGTATGTGGTACACATTGCACAAATCTTTTTTTTGTATTTCCATGAATTTTAAAACCCCTATAGAATGTGTGTATATGCATGATCCATCATTACTTTTAGTAAATTTATTGCCTGATCTTAATCAATCTTGACAGATGAGTATATCTTTCTGACAAACATCAAACTGGCAATAAACCCAATTGAACCAGTCAATATGAATGCCAGAACACTAATCAATAATGAATATCCAACATATAAAACAATAGTAGTGAATCCACCTAATGAAAATTTGGATAAAATGATTGCATGGATAAAGACATAAATTGAACAACCACCTGCAATAAACATTGATCTCCATTGCCATTTATAGTTTTCTGCACATAGTGTGTAGTAGGTCATTAAAACAGTAACTAAAGAAGTAGTTATGGCCATCAATAAGAAGCAGAAAAATAGGAACCCGAACATGTAGAAGACTCTGTTAAACCATAATGATGAATAAATAAAATACATTTCAACCGAAATTGACCCAAATGGGAAAATTCCTGCAACTAATGCAACAATAATTGTTTTCAAATAAAATGGTTGGGTTGGAATTTGTCTTGGGATTTGATTAGTACGAACTGGTTGGGATAATTGTTCTTTTTTCAATGCTAATAGCGATCCAACAGCAGATAACGGGACTGAAATAATAAACCAAATAACAACTATAGCTAATAATGTACCTGCTGGGACTGCACCTGAAGATTTAACAAAGATTAAAAAAAAGTTCAAAAATGCAAAAGTGACTAAAATACCTCCTGGGACTAAAACTGGGGTCAAGATCATATTCAGCTTCCATTTTTCACCCCCGAAAAATTTATAAATCGACCCTGAAATAAATGATCCCACAGATCCAAAAAGGGCATAAAGAATAAACATAACCGTTGAAAGAGATCCTCTATTAGATGGGGATAATAAACCCAACAGAGCAAAACCAATAGTTGTAAATGACATCAAGAATAACTGAATACCACTACCAACTAAAACTGATAATAATAATGGATTTTTTGGAGCTCTGAAAACATCACCATGAACTAATTTCCATCCTGATTCATCTTGGAATTCATCATCTAAATTGACATCATTATAACGAGTAATATCATTCTTTAAAGCCCTAACCAAAATGTGAGCCATAACTAATGATAAGCAAACAACAATCAATGAAAAATTAATCAATGAAAACCATTGGATTTTTGGATCATAAACATGCAAATATTTATCCCATCTAGTTGCCCAAACGGTAGCTGAAGGAACAAAAGTAATATCATAGGTGAAAACAACATTAGTTGCATCTTTTGGTGAAACAAACACTGGTTGATATTCTTGGGCAGAGCATTCAGCTTCAGTTCTATCCCATGAATGTGGCTCCACGGTCACACCAACAATTCTGAATTGACCATCTTCACGTTCGTGATATTCGATTTGAATGTCGAAATGGTTATCTAGATGAGCTTTCCCATCTTTATCAACAAATCCCAATTCAAAACCTGCACCATAAAAGTCAGAATCTGTTCGTTTATCATGCAATCTTCTGGCGGCTGGTAAGCCGTCAATCAACCAGTTATAAGAAAAGCCATTTTCAATCAATTTGTTGACAAATCCAGCATCAGTTGGTGGATAAGTTGTTTGACACAAACTTTTACAGGTTTCATTTTTCAACATTGTGATATCAAACGCAGAGTTATAAATACGATCACCGAATATGATTGAACCCAATGATTCTGGTTGTTTTTCTAGTTTTTCAGGTTGACAAAAATGCAGCATTGGATGATAGTGATCAAATGAATACACATAATCTTCTTTATTTTTGTTTTCATGAAACACACTAGGTGTGATATGGTTCACTAATAATGGAATCTTCTCATTCTCTTTGTACGAAGTAGGAGCAACACCTGGTAGGTAGAATGCATTTGTAAAGTTGATCACAGCGACCAATGTGAATATTAAGCTAGCAAACATTCTGGAGTCGAATGGGTGTATAGATACTTGTTATTGGTTGAACAACAAACTTTGAATCACTGAGGCAAAATCTGACAATCTAATAACCGGTGCAAGTGATAATACCTTTTTTCGCCAAATGCTTCTGAGCAAAATTCTTCTTCTATAGCAGTCACAATAGCAGCAACAGCGTTCACTTTTTAGCACCCTTGAGACGTGTTTTTGTCACTATAGCCGATGCGAACGTAGAACTTTTTCTCAAAAATCAAAAACAAAAATATTGGCTCGGCTATTTTGCAAAACACATTCGCGAAGCTGGTCGCGAAATATGTTGATTTTTGGAATTTTTGAGCAGCTTCTGAATTAAAGAATTAAGCCTGAGGAAAACAGCGTTAAAGACTGCCAATTGAAGGAAGAAAGTGTTGATACTTTCAGCTGGTTGAATATGGATCCATTCCTGAGCACTGGCAACTTGCCGTTCTACCTTGATCGTGGGCAGGATATATCGGCCTTGATAGAGCAAGATCAATCGTCAATCGCCAGTAAAAGAACATCAATAGATTGCAAAAGGCTAATTACAAGCGCGTTCTCTCCTCAGATAACTATTGCAAGTTCAGAAGAAGTGGACAAAATAGCTGCTGGATTTGGGTTTCACTCCTTCTTTCAATTGCTGAAGCCGTTTGGTGATCACATACAACACAAGTTTCAAATCAAAGATTCACAATTAGTGTCGAGAGTGGCTGATGATTTCTCAGTAAGGTTTACAAGGCCACTTAGCGACTTATTAAGTGTTCAAGAGGCTGAAATTAAAGAAAGACACAAAATTCAACTATTTAATCAACATAGTTTTGAGCTTTTGCTAGCAGAATACATTCAATCAATTGATCTGCATCTCAAAAATGCCAAAAAGAACAACGATAAAGCACTGGAAATACTCCTCAAGGATTCAATCTACATGAAATTCTTTACCAAGTTGCTGTCTTCATCTACAATAACCTCATTTGAATCAATAAACCACCCAGTCGCCTCTTTCATAATCATTAGTGCCAATGATACTTATGATCACGCTAGGCATATGTTGATAGATTTCAAAAGCACAAAATTACCAGAATTCATGAGTATTGATGATATACTCCCCATTTTTTTGATTGTTCATGATGAATCTCAAGAAAGTGATCAGAAGAAGGCATTTCAATTAAAAGATCATATTAAAAAACAACTGTTTGCGGATGCTTTCGTTCTTGGTTTGTCGACTAATAAAGAAGCCAATCCTCAGATGCTCCTTCCACCACTCCTTTCTTCAATAGACGAAGAACTACAAAACACACACTTGACTTCAATTGGAACACCCACATTACCAGCTTCTACGATCACATCTATTTATCAAGTTTTAAAAGACATCATACAGCGGAAAATAATACCATTCATGGAGAAGAAAATTGCAACATGGGATGATCAAGTGATATCACCTAGGAAAAGTATAACTGGTAGACTCTTCAACGTTTCCAAGAGATATTTTGGTGGTTCAAAAAATCAACAAACTGGTGGCGAGCATTCAAGTAACTACAATTTGGAACGAGGTTCATATGGGTCAGGGTCTGTAGAAGCTTTGACACGGAAACTAGCTGATTGGTCATTTATGTTGAGAGATTATAGATATGCTTACACAACTTATGAGTTGGCTAGAAAAGATTTCCTGTCAGACAAAGCATGGCCACATTTAGCATCTGCGCAAGAGATGGCTGCAGTCTCCTTACTAATGGGAGCAACAAATATTACATCAAAAATCAAAAATGATACAATAGATCCACTTGTTGACTCTTCAAATTATACTTTTTTGGCAAGATGTGGATTGAAAACATATGCCTTGAGATCAATCCTAATTGTTTCAGAACTTTTCTGTACTTTACGTGACGGTTGGTCAAGTGCTCCTGCAGCTTTGAAATGGGTTCGTAAGGCACTTTCTGACAATTTGGTTGGAAGAATAGGAAAGTCACTATTATTGGAAAGAGTTGCATATATAAATTCAATTTATATGTCAAGTCAAGCAAAGATAATTTTATCCAAGAAATTATTACACCCTGAGGAGAAAACTGAAGAGACTAAAGAGCTTGAAGCATTGAATCCGTTGAAGTTACAAAAAGACAACATGGCGACAATTGGTCTCACAAATAATAGAAAAGCTGCATTGTGGAATTTGATTGCAGCTAAAGATTGGGATCCAGTTTCTCAGCCTTTACAAGTACAAATCTGTCTTGACATGACAAAGGATGTTTATCAAGATAAGTCATTTGTTGAAAGAGAATCAAGCTTGTACAAGAAGCTCGAAGTAGCATATGAAAAGACTTTGGCCAATACTCAAGCATGAAAGACACTGTATAATTGATATGAATGAACAGTACTGTTTTGACAGAGAATCTCTGTAGTTCTAATATTAAGATTATCATTAAATTAAAAGTTTTAAATAAATAAACAATTAAATCCGTACCCAAGAACAAACATAGACAAACGTTCAAAGAAAGCAAAATCAAAAAAAAACAAAATAAAACAAGTAAAAGGAAAACTTTTTGAAAATAGAGAGTCAAAAAATCAAACCAACAATATGTACAAATACAATCAAACATGTTTGAATAAATTCTCCGGTGGAACAGTATCGAGCATTTCTGTTTCATTAACTCTTGGTTCCACAGGAGTGTAATTGTGCTTCTTTCTTTTGAAGATAAAGAATGCTGCAATAAGACCCAACAATGTCATTGTACCAACAGCTAAAGCTAATCCAATCAGGACAATAAAGCCACGTTTAATATGATGGGACTTTCCTGAAGAAGCAGAACTTGAGGAGCTGGATGGTGTTGATGAAGTGGTTGATGGGTGTGTTGTATTAGTAAGAGTTCCACCAATGTATAAATCTGATATGTCTTTATTCAAGAAAATGGAATTCACAGTAGAAGTTGAGTTGTTATGAGTTGTAATCATATATGGTAGCCAGTTCGTACTATTAAAGTAGGCAACATTCAAATAACCATAATCAGTTAAGTTTAATTCACCAGAAGCAACCAACACTTGATTTGAATCAAAGATGGAACCATTATTGTTATCATTTGAATTGGAGATGCTCAAAAGTGAAATATCCCGAATTGTTGAGTTATTCAATTCATTATCAATAGATCTCCATGAAGAGCCATCATAAGCCTGAATAAAATCTGACCCAGAAACGATTATTCTTCCATCAGTTGAATTATCCACCAAAATAAACTTCTCAACTGTACGGTTCAATTGACTAAAGTGATCAGGTTGAGAGTGGCTTGTAGAATTGAAATCATAACTCATCAATTTCAAATCGTTACTATCATATCTCAAGTCACCCGCAATAATCAAAACGGTATCATTAACAAATCTAAATGCATGAACAGTACCAGAGAACGAATCAACTAAAGATTCCCAATTGGTTTCATTAATATTGTAAAAACATAACCCAGAACATGAAACAGACCCAGCAGAATCAAAGTCACCACCAACAATCAAATAAGTATTGTTCAAGAACCCCAATTCGTTCACCACAGGTGATCCAGAATTACTGGATAATCCGTCTGGTTGAGTGGAGCCAAATGTATTATTATTCAAGTTGTAGATGAAAACACCATCAAAATTGTGGTTATCAACAGATCCACTACCATTGGTACCAACAAATAATCTATCATTTTCTGCAAACAACCTGGTGACTGAAGAGTTTGATGCCCAAGAAATATCAACGCCTGAGGTTTCATTTCCAGAAACAAAAACCAGGTTCCTTATGCCTGAAGAAGTATTGAACTCACCACCAAAAACTGATAACGAGTTGTTGATATAGACACCAGAATTAATGACACTTTGAGAAAACTCTTCATTGGTAATATTTGATTGATCACCTGAACCATTTATGAAAGTCCCTTTGTTTCCAATAGAGTCGGATGATTTCAAAGAGCCAACAAAAAAAGTTGAGTTGTTATTTTTGCCTGAAGAAGTGATATTGAAAGAAAGTTCCAATGTATTATTGTACCAAGTATCATTTCCAGTAATCCATCTTTGATCATCATCAAACAGCCAGAACTCATTCCCTTTAAGAGTTATATTAGAAACAGAACTTGCATTTATCCTGGTACCAAACGAATACCATGATCCATTGTATAATGCACTTTCTTGTAACGAGTTGGAGTTATCATTGCCCAGACTTGAAATAGTTGTAGCATTAATTGTGTTGTTAAAGTCTCCAAGAAGGATCAATGAGTTATCAATAACTTTCATATTTGTCACTTCACCATCAAGACCACCGTTAACGTCATGAGCACTGACATTCAATCCTCTAGTTTCATTGTTGGAATCACTAATGTCCAATCTAAACAAGTTGTCACCATAATTGGAGGTAAAGTCACCACCAACATAAATTGAGTTATTGTATGAGGCCAGGTGTATATCAGAATGATTAGATAATGATGATCCAAGTCTGTTGATGGTTGTGTTTCCAACATATTCTCTCTGTGTAACATTGCTTGCATCAAAATTTGAGAAATTTGATGGTGAATATTCAAACAACCCATTGATTGGGATGGTACCGTTACGATGAACAATATCATCAATTTCAAAGATTGTAACACTGATTCTGTCAGCAACAAAAGTTACAGTATTACCTGAAGGACCAGCTTGGTCTAAAACCATACCAACTCTAACGGTTGAATTCAACTGTCCATAATAGACTAGATCATATTTCTCTTCTTCATTAGTTTGGTAAATCAAACTTGAGTCCAAAATTTCATCAGTAGAATCATCATAAATAGTGACATTTGCAACACCTCTTGAAGAGCAAGAATTATCTTGACCACATCCGGGTGTATACATCAGTATAGTATATTCACCAGCATAAGTGATATTTGGAAAAAATGTTACACCCACATCATCTGGAATTCCACTTGATACATCCACATCAGAAGTGATATATTGGCCATTTGGAGAAGATGACCAATCACCTCTGGTCTCAGCTCTTGAATATTCACTAATGCCGCAACTTGGTTCATTCAAAGTATTGTTAGCATAAGTTGAGTATAAAGATTGATAAATTTGAAGCCCTTCCAACGCAATATTTGAACCAAAGGAGTCTAAGACTTGGAAAGTTAATCCTCCAACATCTAATGAGTTGATGAAACCAAATTCTTGATAAGTTGAACTATAACCAATACTTGTATCAGCAAATGCAACAGCAGTAGAACCGTCATTTGATCTGGAAGCTGATTCTAAATAAGATGAATTGAGTAATGGACACCAAGCATCACAATATGATAAATCACCAGTTGCTGGGTCAACATATGTTAAATTCATAATACCATTTGCAGGAGAGGTCAATAGTCTAAACAGTGAGACTTGACTATCATCATCCTGGGAGTTATATATTCTTATTTTAGACGGTATCACTTGATAAGGTAGGTTGATATTCACAGTTGCAGATGAAGCTCCAGAGACAGACCATTCTTGTGAAGACTCTGGACAAACTAAAGCTTCTGGATTTGAAGAATCATCTGAAGATGAAAAAGATGCATATCTTAAGCTTACCAGTTGATCTGTTGTCACTGATGTGTTTGAAGTGTTGTATGAATGTGTCAGAAGTTGGGGTATGCCCAAATTTGTGAATTGACCGCCAAAAATTATATTTGAGCCAACTTTAATGATGGAATTGATTGTACCATTGTTTCCAAATCCTCTGAACACTGTGCTGTTTAGATTCTGTGACGTTAGGTTGTAAAAGGCAGCGCCATGAGTGTTGTTGAATTCAAAATCACCACCTAGGTATATTAAATTGTCATCTGAATCAAAAAACGCAGTATTGATAGTTCCATTTATGTCACTATTTGGGTCTATTGAAGTAAAATTTTCAGAATCTAAATTGAAAATGGCTGGACTTGAAACATTTTGATTTCCTATTCCATCAAAGTCACCAAGAAGTATAAAAGAATCATTATGTACTGGTAGAATTTGATCTATTGAACCATTTATTTGCCCCAGCGTTATGAATCTATCGTTATCCCCCGTGCTATAATATAGTTGATTTTGTAATGTGTTTTGATTGGTAAAGTTTGATTCGCCAACATAAGAATATATTGAACTTGCATCAAAATCTCCCAAAAATGCTATCTGATCATTATTGGAGCCTGAAAAATCAAATTGAGGGCTTGATACATCTTGGAATGATAGTCTTGAGTGTGCTGAAGTTATTAAAGATGCCAGTATTAGCCCGATGTTGGACCTCATACCGCACTATAGTTGATCTGATAAATAATTAGGGCAAATGATGGATTGTTGTTGCTCTGAAAGTAGTTCTTATTGTTAAAATTCTCGGGGGAGGGTCCTTATATGGTGAATGAATGTTTTGATCTTGGTCCCCTAAGATTCAGCAAAGCTGTGTTGTATAGTTGTGTTTCCTCAATTGGTATTTTGAAAAGAATGAATGTAGCCAGCAGCCGTTGTATAATATTCTCAAGATGCTCTTTTGGTGATCTGTAGCATTTTCATGAACCCATAGAAAAGTGTCTAAGAAAAAAAAATCCATACGTTTTTCAAATGTGGCGGGTAATGTTTATCTATTTCCGCTTTCGGAAGCTTAGTTACTACGGCAACGGGTATACGTAGATGAGAAAAATTGGCCTAATCTGAAAAGATGTGTCAAAGCTAGTGATTCTACTGACTATTGATACATCATAGAGCAATGGAGTTTGGTACTCTGGTACACAAGGGAAAGGAGAACATTGGGTGACCTCAGACAATACGTTCATTATGTTAATTTGGCTTCGAGAAAGGAAATCTGAGATTAAGTTCACCATGCAAACTTAGATTCGTATACGTCTTGCTTCTCTGAAAATTACTTTGAAATCTACAAATTGGCTCAAGTCAATTCAAATTCAAGGTACATATTAAAAAAGCATATATAGTCAAACATGGGTGTCTAAAATTACCCAATAAAGACCAACAACATTAATTCATCATGAAAAAAGATAACAACAATAAATATCCATAGAAGCAGTTTTCTAATCTAAGCTTTAGTCTTTTTGGCAAGAGCTATCTCAACACCATCAACCAATTCACGATATTTTTGTTGAGTTTCAGCTTGATCTAAAAAGATTTTATATTTAGCATTTAATAAGACTCTATCTGGATTATCTTCTGGACATGGAACAACAACTTTACCGCCACCAGATAACTTAACCATAACATTCCATAATTCTTCACCAGGTTCTTGATTCTTTTTAGCTTCTTGTATTTTTAAGTCTTTAATCTTTTCACTAACATCTTTTTGAGTTGTTTTATTTGAACCAAATGAAATAGTTTGTTCTTCACCTTCTGAATCTTCTTCATCCAATGTTGCCTCTTTAGCTGGGGTCATTGGGAATGGGAAACCACCTGAAGAATGTGCAATTGCAGACATATTTGTAGTACTTGCAGTGGCTGAAGGAGCAGTATATGGTGAAGCCAAATCTTTTTGAGCAGTAGCAAGATCTAATGGTTTATTAACCAAGCTTGAAGGAAGTTTGAATGAAGATGATCTTGATCTCGATTTTGATTTGATTGCATCTTTAGCAGCAACAGCACCTAATAATGCAGCACCAAAGACAACAGCAGCATCAATGTATCTTGGAATAATGATTGGTAAACCTGTACAATCAGCTAATAATCTCATCAATAAACCATTTCTACATTGACCACCAGACATAAAGATGGAAGACAAATTATGACCGGATTTTTCCATCTTTTCCACAATTTGTCTAGTTTGTTGAGCAATGAATTCACAGGCACCTAAATAAGTGACGGCCAAGTCATCAACTGAAGTATCCATTGATTGACCAACAATAGCAGCCTTCATTCTTGGATCGGCAATTGGGGATCTATTACCATGGTAGTCACCGTAGAAGAATAAATGTTTGGCTAAAGCAACAACTGATCTAGATCCACGTTGTCTTGTTAAAGCTTCTAATCTTGAATTCAAGTAATCAAACTTGGAAACATTAGATTGATCAGCTAGTCTAGCCAATTCTGAGTAGGCAGGATGTGTGTTTAAAACATGAGCTAAAAGAGCACCAGTACAACTTTGTCCACCTTCAGCTAACCAGAACCCTGGTGCAATAACATCACGATAAGGACCCCAGACACCTTCAACAAAGATCGGATCTTTTGAAAGGGCAATGTGACAAGTTGAAGTACCTGCAACGGCTGCTAATCTACCTGCAGATTTATCCATACCTTTTTTGCTTTCTTCCCTCTCCACTAAAGCAGGGATATCAATATCAGTTTGAGCTGCAACGGTACCAACCCAACCAGCATAAGCATCAATGACACCTGATCCAACATAAGTACTTGTTGTTAAGCCTAATTCTTCAGCGGCTTTTTCAGATAATGGACCCACTGTATCACCGGCACTTAACCATTGACCACCAAGACCTGGTGCACCACCTAATCTCTTGAAATTGTCTTCAACTAATTCAGGCATATTGATTGTTTCTAAAAACTCTTTTGACCACCCATGCTTGGATCCTTCAACTCCTGGTGGTAAGAAGCCTTGTTTACAGGTTGTTGAACAATAAGATCTAGCTTCGGAACCAGTAGCTCTGTGGGTTAAGAAATCTGCCAAATCGTAAAATTTAGCTTGTTTGAACTTTTCACTTGGTAAATTGTTCTTCAACCATTTCATCTTTGGTAATTCCATTTCAATTGACATTGTACCACCAACATATTTTAAGCACTTGTCACCAGTGGCGTTAATTTCATCAGTTTCAGTAACTGCTCTATGATCCATCCATAAAATGACATCTTGATCTGGGTTTTGGAAATCAGGACCAACAGCAAATGGAGAATCATCTTTGGAATTAACCGCAACCAAGGAACAAGTAGCATCAAACCCAATACCCAAGATTTGGGCAGGGTCAACGCCTGCATCACGAACAGATGATTTGACACAGTATGAAATGGCGTCCCAAATTTCAGTAGTGGATTGAGTGATATAGTCTGGTTTCAATTCTTGTCTATTGATTGGTCTTTCAGCTAACGCTAAAATTGAACCAGTATTATCAACAACAGCGGCCCTGGCACTCCCTGTTCCAACATCAACACCAACGTAAAATACGGAGGTATCAACAGAAGATGGGTTGTTTAGCAAGGCTTGTTGGTTTAGGGTAAGGGTTGATCTTGAACGACTAGTGACGACCATTATAATCTAAAACTTTTGAAGTCAATTGAGCTTTCGAAAACAATATTGATTCAGGAATTGATGGAACCTGGGATGTATTTATATCAAGGATCCATCCTCATCTCTGGTTGCTCCAGGTTTGGCTTGTGTGGTGCCTACCACTGGAATTTATGGTAAGGGGCGTATTCGCGAACCGCATCAAAACGTCAGAATTTTTAGCAGCGAACTCGATGGAATTCTGAAAATTGGGCTTTGATGTCATTATGAAGGTGTCAATAGAGTTGGCGTTGGCTGAGTGTGAGAAGCACTAACTATAATACAATCAATAGTTCAGCATTACAAATAGAACTGAGTTCGTGAGAACCGTGAAATCGTTGGCTTCTCTCATTTTCTGGGGTCAGGCACCACTGTAACCATCACCAACGAGCACTGTACACGGAGAGCCCTTTGTCGACACGTTTGAAGCGTTCCCATTGGCTCCCCAGACTGCAGTTTCCCAAGAAAACATGCCAACGGTTCAAGCATTTCCAATCAAAAATGTCTGCACCGCTTTGAGTAGTACTAAGAGCTGAGAGGCTAGAGCTAGCTGTCGTTGTTTGTGTGCAACTGTACGGTTGACAACTGTCCATCGAGGAATCTAGATTGTTAGACTGATCATGGCCAAAGCCTAAAGGTAATTTTCGCGACTCGTTATGGGCTGTTTGGGTAGGTTTACGCATGACAAGGCTTCCCAAACAAAGGCATGGAGGTAAACCGAGTACAATCTAACCTTCGATGAAGGTAACGTTGGAAAAGATCTTACACAAAACAAATGTCGTTGGCCAAATTTTTCTGTTTTCGACAAACCTGACGAAGTTCATTCGTTCGCGATTTTTCACATCTCCTTAGTGACACGTATTCTGTACTATATGTACAAAATTTTCGACTCTATCATGTACATCAAAAAAAACGTCAAACAATGATGCTATTGGATTGAAACGGATCGAACAGAATTGAGAATATGAACAATATGCGATCTTATCAAATGTTCTGGCTGCAGTCTTCACTGGTTACTTGTTCTTGAATGCTCAACAGTTAATTTCTGTTCGATTGGTGGATCTTTTTCTGTTTGAAGGTTTTTTCTGTTGATTATAATACTATAAAATGAAGGGACTTTCCTAGTCTTCAACTTTTAATTATTTCCTTCCAACTAACTATATTTTATCAGAAAAAGATATAGATTACAGAGAAAAACAGAAAATTTAAACATGCCGCTCACTAAACACGTTGATCAGTTGAAAAACAGGTTATACAAAAACACTCCAGACCCAAACAGAAGCTCCAACATTATCCCATACATGATCCATTATAACAAGAAAGGTGAAAACTTTACTATTATCTCCACCACTAATGATTTTGACCTTGCTAAACTTTGTGATGAGTTACTTTCAAACCCATTACCTGATGAACATTTTGCCTTAGGATTAGCTACAAGCCATTCTTTCTTAAGACAGCCTTCTTCAAGTGGTAATCTTAAAAGATTGTTGAGGTTTGGTAACTATACAGTTTTGGATCCTTATTGGTGTGGAAGTTTTGAGAATCAAGCTGAGAATCATAAATCACTTTTGAAAACTGCTAAGATTTTAACAAATCTTTTCCACACTTTGGATGAAAGAAACTGGCCACCACAAGTTAGAGCTATGCAGACTTCATCTATTGGTAATATTTTCATTGGTGACGACTTTGTTGAAGAAAATTTTGAAAAAATGATTACTAAGTATTCAAAAGAATATAAAGGTTATCATAATGATAGAAAGAAGACCAGAGCAAAAAGTATTCCTTTAACTTTATCATGTCATGAATTTCACAGACCTGGAATGAAGGGTGAGAAAATCTCTGAGTATATGGTTATTTGGAAGGACCCAAAGATGAGTTTGGACAAATTGTTGCTTGATTTGAGTGTTAAGAAATATGATTATCAGGTCTTGAAAAACTATAGAATATTCACAGGTGAAGCTAAAGCATTATACGAGGTTGAGGATCTTAGAAGACGTCAATTTTCAATACTTGGGTATGATCTTTATAAATTATCATTGATGTCACCAACCAAAGATGATCCAAGTTTACGTCCAGATTATGAAAAGACTCAAGAGTTATTTTCTGAATTCAAGCATTCAGTTAAAGATCGTTCTTATGATGAAAATTCAATCAAGAAAGGTAGTACACCGGCAAGCTTCCTTGCTTATCAATACTATGGTGCTACACATCCAAAACATCATCGTGGTGAACCAAATTATCAAGTCATGAGTACTGAAAAGATTGTTAACGACAAGGTTTCCAATTATATCTCCCGTCATTTCATTCCAGAGTTCCCAGTTTTTGAATATGATTTTGGTGATGTGTTGGCTATAACCAATTGTACTTATAGTTTTGAATCATTTAGCAAAGATCTTTATGACAGTGTTATAAGTGGTGACTTCGGAAATATCTCAGAAGATATGTTTAATAAAGATCATTATATCAAAAAGGCCATTGAAGAGAATGATAAAAAGATCTGTGCTTCTCTCAATTCTGATTTGTTCAAAAAATCCTTGATTTTCAGTAAAAAGTACATGACAGCCAATGAGAAACTTGATTATTATGATCAAATTGCAACATCACTCAATTTTGGTAAGAATCCAATCAAAAGAAAAGTTAAAACTGCCAGTTATATTATTCATAAAACACATTCAAAAGCTCTTGGTAGAGATGTCAACAACTTGGTTGTGATTATTAAAGATGTTCATTTGGGTATGAAGGAGTTATCAGAAGACTTCACAAAAGCTAAAGCACATAAAAAGCCTGATCAAATTAACAGCTTGCATGTTGACCTCCCAGAACTTTATGTCAACTATGATGATGAAGATTTATCTCCAAAATATATTGCAAGTGCCTTCCCAAGTCCTCATGGTAACTCAAGTTTATATGAGCCATAATCTATCCCCCTCCCCTTTCAACTTTTTCTATAAACTTTTTTTTAATCTATGTTGTATTTAAAAACTATTTGTAGCATCATTACGTACTGTACTACACATATTCAGTATCAAACCTTAATAATATATAAACTTAAATCAATAAACATATTTATACTCCAAATCTTTATCACCAGTTCTTTCTTTAAGATGATCTTCTCTTTCACCACTCAAGATTTGTTCTTTTATTTTGTTTTCTCTTTGTAAGTGGAATCTCAAGACGGTGGCTAAAAGAGAGCCAACAACAACACAACCTAATGAAAAACCATTACCTAATTTGTATGGTGACTTTCTATAGATTTGGCCCGCAATTGCACCTGCCACGTTACCCAACATTTGATTAGTACCAAGGGCAGCAGCACGACGATAATGAGGTGCCATATTGATATTCATCCAAGTTAAATTGACACCAACAGATCCATACAAAGTTATAGCGATCAAATATGTTGCGAAATAACAAGCACCACCTTTCGTTGTAGATAATAGAATAATATAACCAATCATGGCAAACATATTCCCACCAACAAGTAAATAATGCTTGTGGCCAAAATGATCACTGCAATAAGAAATTACAGCGACACCAATAGCAGCCATCACATAACAAGGAACTGATAGATATTGGGCTTCCATTGAGTTGTAACCTAGTTGTAACTTCAAGATTGATGGCAAGAAAGTGGAGAATCCATAAAGAACAATATCACAACAAAATTGAATACAACAAGATAACCAAACTTTTGGATCTTTCCAAGCAGCATAAACTTCTTTCATTTCAAATTCTTGTTTACCTTGATAACGTCTAGTTTGCTCAGCTCTGATACTCATCAAATGTTGCTCACGTTCGTTCAAGAATCTAGCTTTCTTTGGATCATCAGGTAAACCAAACCAAACCCAAACAGCGGCTAATAAAGAAATACAACCTTCAATAACATATAGCCAACTCCAACTTTGGAAAGATCCAACTGGTTTGATCTTTGTAATACCTGTTGCGATTAACCCGCCAAAAGCACCAGAAAGACATGAACAAATGTACAAGTACCCGACTCTTTTAGTTTGTTCATTTCTTTTGTAAGTCATTGTGATGTATAAAGATTGCGAAGGGAAAACAGAACCTTCAAATAAACCTAATAACAATCTAGTTGCTAATAATGAACCATAACTTCTAACAAAACATGTAAAGATTGTAATCAAACTCCAAGCGACCAGCGCAAAAGTTAAATAACGATGAGGACCAATTTTTTTAACAGCCAAAGTACCAGGCAATTCGACAGTAACATATGTAGCATAGAAGATGGAGACAGCTGTGGAATATTGTGAATCAGTGAAACCCAACTGTTCTTGTAAACCAACAACTCTGGCATTCCCAATATTTGAACGATCCAAAAAGGACAAGAAATAAATCAAGCAAAAAATAGGCATAAGGTAGAAATCCAACTTTCTCACCAACTTGTCTTCTTCATGTTTATCAATCTGTAATGATTCATCTTGTAATTCGGCAAATGAGCCTTCTTTGAAAGAGCCAGCTTCTTTGACTTCTGGGGACACAGCTTGTTTAACGTCTTCTAGTTCCTTTTCACTCGACATCGTTAACCTTTGACCAACAAACACCAGAAGCAACTTATTCTAGTCGAGGATTGTGCCTGTCTTTTATACCGTGTACGGCCTTAGCATTAATTATTGACTCGCTCGTGCATTATGGGCTCATTGTGATAAGCAATAGCGCTTCCATGCCATTTGGTGCACTGGGGAGCCCACTGGGGGGCTATCTAATCTTTCCGCAAGATCACCACCATACACCGACAAGGTTTCAACTGGGTTTACCGTTTCACGTACAAAGAGCACTTTCTGGTGACTGTAGTAACAGCTGTGTCTGATTATGCTGGTGATAAGTGCTTATCGCTAGGAGCTCTTTATCGTTGGTGACAGGATCCCTTCAACTCAGTGGACGAGGCATTCTGTTATCACCCAAGGGGAAGTTGCAGCGCGACATTGGTGGAGTAGCCAATGGACGCAAAGGTCAAACTTCAAACCATTCTTCCAGTAAAAGTGCTCGAGGGACAATCCAGTACACATATAGTGTACCAGGACCAGATTACTACATTTTGCGGTAATTGACGCCTATCACTTTCCCTTTATGTGAGCTCTAGAGCTCTAGATTTTGAATCTGTACACCCATCAATCTCGATGGACTCTCGTATATGATCTTATTAAAGCCTAAAATCACGATATACAACCCATCTTAGCAAAATACAAATTCCACTATCCATATCATTATATAGCTCTTGGTTCAACCTTCTTTGTGTAATCACCATAGATATCGAATCTTCTTTGAGTAGTAATTGGAATACCAGCTCTAGTCTTTTTAAGAAGCTCAGGGTCCAACTCCGCAATAACAATTTCTTCATCTTCACCAGCTTCAGCAATAATGTTACCATTAGGATCAACAATTAATGAATGTCCATAAGCGTGATATCCTAGATTCAAGTTTCTAGATGGACTAACCAACACAACAAAAATTTGGTTATCAATAGCTCTAGATCTTGCCAATAAATGCCAGTGTAAAGGACCAGTGACAGTGTTGAAAGCACCAGGATAAACCATTGCAAACGCATTTTTTTCACGGGCTGCTACTGTTGCTAGCTCAGGGAATCTGATGTCATAACAAATTCCTTCACCAATATTACCAAATTCCGGTAGTTCAATAGTTGTTGCCTTGTCACCACCAGTTAGAGTTATACTCTCTTTGAAAGTTATACCATTTGGAATGTCAATATCAAATAAGTGAACTTTTCTATGTTTACCAATAATTTCACCTTGACGATTGAAAGTGATTGATGTGTTATAAATCTTTCCATCATCTCCTAATTCGGGAATGGAACCACCAACAATCAGAATTTTTTGATCTTTAGCTAACTTGGATAGAAATTGAGTACTTTCACCATCTGGAATCTTTTCAGCATATTTTGAGAATTCTGTGACAGAGTATGGAGAGTTAAAACATTCAGGCAAAATAACCAAGTCAATTGATGAATCCTTCTCTAAAGCTTTCAAAATGAACTCTTTTGCATGAGCTAAATTGGCTTGTTTGTCACTGCCAGCAGTGATTTGGATTAAAGCAACTTTCAACTTCTTGGATAGTAGTTCAGACATTATTCCTTTAGTTCGATCTATACTTCAATTGAGTTAAACTGATGATAAATCAATTCAGACTTAACTTTTTGGCTTCTTCCTTTATGATTCATTATTTCGCGATTTCTCATTATGGCCACAGTTTGTTGCCCGATTACCAATTCTCACTGGGGGAACTAGTGAACTCCGCTGGGGGAGATCAAACAATAAGATGAAAACTATTCGAAGTTGGATCAAATTGTTCGAAAGCGAATGGGGGTCCAAAACATATATAAAGTCATTGAAAGACCAGTTTAATCAAACTCCTCGAGGATTTTATCATATGAACAAAAATCAAGATACATATCTCACAACATGTCCTTCAAGGTATGTAAACGATCCCTTATCGATCCTGCAGCGGAGAAAACTAACATCGAATCCGATTTAGAGACTTATCAGATTTATTGGTGAAGATAACCAAGAATACTTTGGGGATGCTATACTTCCAGAAGATGAAATAGATGTTTACAAGGCAAAAGAAGCTACTATAATCATTGGTGATGTTCTTAAAGATTACACCTTGACAAACTATACACAAAAGATCAAAAAGTTATTGTCACCACTCTCACCAGATCAAATACCTTCATTAAGATGTGTTGGTATGAATTACACCAAGCACGCTATTGAGATCAAAATGGAAATTCCAAAATACCCAGTGTTGTTTTTCAAACCAACTTCAGCGATAGTTGGTCCTTCAGATCCAATCAGAGTCCCAGCGGCTTGTCAAATCCCTCCAGCTAAAGTTGATTATGAAGTTGAAATGGCTATTGTTATTGGTAAAGAAGGTAAAGATATCCCATTACATAAGGCACACGAATATATTCTAGGTTATACAATTGGTAATGATGTTAGTCAACGTACCTGGCAAATGGATAGAGGTGGTACTCAATTTGGTGTTGGTAAAATGTTTGATACATTTGCACCATTGGGACCATGTATTGTCTCATCAAATGTGCTACCAGATACTGATGGTTTAAACATTAGCTGTAAAGTTAATGGTATTACTAGACAAGATTCAAACACCTCAGATATGATTTTCAACTGTTTTGAGGTTGTTTCTTTTATGTCCAATGGTACAACTTTGAAGCCTGGTGATGTTATCTTTACTGGTACACCTTCAGGTGTTGCAGTTGGGTTGAATCCATCTCCTTGGTTGAAAGACGGGGATGAAATCGTTTTCGAAATTGATAAAATTGGTACATTGAAGAATAAAGTTGTTTTTGAAAATGATCCAGAAATAACAAAATTGCATCTATAGTTTGAAATTATACATATCTTTACAAAATGGATCTTGTTTCCCCATAAACCTTTCCTTACAATGATGATGTAGTCTTGAATATTCGACACCTAACTCCCAAAAACACTGGGTATATAGACTTGAGACAATGTTGAAAAAGCTTGCAAGGTTATTCAAATTATCAATGCTTGATAAATTTGCAGCACATTTCCTTATGCTCATATGATACTCAAAGGCACCTCTGTCCAGAACCAGATTTCTATCCAGCTCTTCTTTAATTCTCACCAAATAATCAAAAGCATCTTCATTGTATTCCTCCAAGCCTTCATTAAATTTATCACTCTCCGGTCCTCTCTCCAAAAAGTTATAACACCAAATAATCATAACTGATGCATTAATAATATGGGCCCTCTCGTGCACAGGATCCTTATCAGGTCTATAATCAATAACACCATCCTGAAAGTTCAATAGACATTCAATAACACATAAATAAGCATGGACAACAGATACTCTTCCATCTAATGATTTTGCCCATTTTCTCAATCTCATTTCAACATTTTTATAATCCTTGTCATCCACTTTGACACTCATTCTCAGAGGTAAACCTGCAAGAATCAACATGTCATGGTTGACTATTCTTAACCTAATTTGTGCCATGTGGTATGAAGGATATTTGCACTTGGTATCATTCAAATCGAAATAAACAGTTCCTGAATCGGCTTTCCTCACTCTTAAATCAACCAGCAGCGTGCTAACATCACAACACGAACCTTCATTAACGTTATATTTCCAAGAATCCAACGCATAAGATAATTTGTCTCTCCAGACATCTTTCAGTATATCACTAGTTGATTCATCAGTAATCATGGCCATTGTTTCATCTCTCAACTCAAACTGAACCATCAAAGATACAACGGCAAATAACATAACTTTTTTCCCAAATGAATTGGTTTGAACTTTCTCACCCTTTAGTAACTTCTTCAAAGCAGTCAAAACCATTTCGGGATTCTTGGGTAGTTCAAGATTTTTCAAAGTATCTATATCGGCCTCCCATAAACAATCATCACATGGCAATCCCAATCTCAATTTGTTGACATACAAGGAAGCTTGATGTCCAGACGTTATTAAACTATTAAGATCAAAGCAAAAAGCCATCAAGGCACACCTTTTCATAGATTCTGCGTGGATCCATTTATTCCACAACACATACTGATCAGTTTCATTCAATTCAGTGTGGGATTTACTTTCAGTAGCATAAGGGTCACCACCAAGTACTGTACTTCTCTTCATCATTTCTATCTTAGCAGCATAGTGAACCGATGACCGTTCATGTAAGTCTCTTGAAGAATAATGCTTCTCAAAGACTTCAAGGATTAGTAAGCTTTGAATCTCCCATGGTTCAGAGGCTCCTGGTGATCTATGTTTGAATATTAGCCATCTCAAGGGGATACCTATTTCCATAGCCATACCTAGAGGGTCCTTGAAAGGATTCCCGATTGAATTTGAGAGCGCAGCCCCCATTAAAACCATTGCAAGTATCAATATTGGTGGTGCCGTAAGAGTATTGAATGATGGTTTGTGAATGATTGGATATTGTATATGGAAAGTGGTCCAATAAATGTTCAAACAGAGCTCTAAAGCTGTAGCATCAAAATCTTCATGACTAGTCAACGTGGGTATGAGAAACAACATCCGTCTCATCAACTCAGATGTTATCAACGTTGAGTTTCCTTGAAAAGATGGGATGTTTCCTAGATCCGACTCTAGTAATTCTAATAAAGTGGAATTCAACGTCTGTTCAAAATTCAAGTCTGGTCTTGTCAAAATATCTTTAAAGTCATAAAATGTATCAAACGACTTTGATCTAGACTTTGTACTTTCTGGAGATCTACCATAGATTGGTGAAAATAGGTTATCATTGATACCAATGGTCCAGTTTTGAGGAATAAAAGATGAAATATCGTCTGACATTGGGAAAGGTGATATTGCAAACTCGGCGCCATTTGGTGTGGAATTCTCACCAGGAGTTTCTGGCTTTTTGGGATTATATTCCACTTCAGTGGCCTTATTTCTTAAATGCCTGTTGTAATGGTCTTTCTTAACATCTGCTCTCTTGAACTTCATACCACATTCTTCACACTCGTAAAGCGCTGCAGTATCATCATGGTTAAGCTTATGTCTTTTAAGATGGTCCTTCCTTGAAAATGACTTGAGACAGCCAGGATATTCACATTTAAATCTTTGATCTTGAGCCTTTTTTGCTTTCTGAGTGGGTTCCTCGGCCTCATTTGGTTCCTTAGTTGCAGTTCTCAATCTTTTCTTTGACATTCCTTCTTCACATCACTTTCCAGATCTGTTGACCTTTTACCATGCCATCAATGACCAGATATATTAGCTGATTAATGATCGTGCTTTGTTTTCATTGTTGTTTTTTGAAGTCAAGAGATTGTTCTTTTGGTTTTCGCGAATTTGAAAAATAGCTCCTCCAAATTTTGAGGACGCTATTTTAAACAAAATGAGCCTGAGACTTGAGACTTCAATTTGAAATCTATGGCTTGGTCTTGGAATTAACCAATTTAGTTACACTTGAAAGCTATAATCTATAAGCTATTAAAGATTCAGCTTTGTGAAATGCTCGTCTTTGCTAACTAATTAATGTTCAACGTTTAACTTGAAAGAAAACGCGTCCACTTGAAAATTTACAAAACCAATCTGGCACACATACACACAACGTACTGAGTATACTATTTATAAGTTCAATTGGCCTCATTATACACTTTATATCTACAAATCCAACCTCTTTAAAGGTATTACCATGTATTTTTGATCCGTTTCGAAATCTTGAGATCGCTGTCACCATCCTGTAGAGGATAAAACCGTTTTATGTCAAGAGCAACACCAGTATAAACATTTTAGTACAAAATGTCATAGAAAAGCTTTGGAATCCTGAAAAATCTATTCGATTCAGCTGTTCTTCATTGAATCAATTGCATCAAAGTCCAATATGGTGTTTCAAAATCCTTTCAAAGTCGAGCAATACATGGATGAGCATGAAACTAACATCACTTATAATCTGGGGGAAACTTGTTGTCACTCACTTTCATTAAAAGATATTGAGCAATTATCAGGGAATCCACCACCTTTGGATAAAATTGATAGTATAAGACTGACATATGGTGCTATTAGAGGTACAGATGACTTGAAAAATGGTATTTCCAGCTTATACGATAACATTGGTCTTGATGATATTGTTGTTACAAATGGTGCGATTGGTGCCAATTTCCTAACTATTTATAGTTTGATCGATTCAACTGATCATGTCATTGTCGTTGACCCAACTTATGAGCAATTGAAGTCTGTTCCTACAATTTTCAAAGGTGAAGTTTCACTGCTACCTTTAAAGAGTGAAGAAGGTTGGATTCCATCAGTTGATACCTTAAAGAGTTTAATCAAACCAAATACCAAACTAATCATCATCAATAACCCAAATAATCCAAGTGGACAATACATTCAAACTTCAATTTTGGAGAAGATTGTTAATGTTGCTAAAGAAAATGATGCTTATCTCTTGTGTGATGAAGTTTATAGACCTTTATTCCATGGTGTTTCAAAGCCTAAATCTATTGTGGAGCTTTATGAAAAAGGTATCTCAACTGGCTCTTGTTCAAAGGCATTTTCCGCCGCAGGTATCAGACTAGGATGGATAGCATCAAAAGATAAAGATTTCATAAATGCTTGTTTTCTAAGAAGAGACTACAACACAATTTCCATCTCAATGATTGATGACATTATTGGAACTTATATTTTGCTAAATAAAGATGCAATCTTGAAAAGAAACCATGAGCTTTGTGCTCAAAATATCAAGATCATTGAGGATTTTGTTCACCGTAATTCAACAAAGGTCAGTTGGGTCAAGCCAAACTCAGGTGCAACATGTTTCATTAAACTTCACACAGTTGAAAACACATATGACTTTTGTTCTAATTTGGCAGTACAACACAGTACATTGATTGTCCCTGGTGAAGTCTTTGATCATCCAGGATATATCAGGATTGGTTTTGGTAATTCATCAAAAGAATTGGTTGAGGGATTGAAGATCCTTGAGGCTTTGATTTGAAACTACAAAAACCATCAACATTGACAAAATTTTCATATTTGAGATCAACAGTGTAGTAGCCCCTGGGTTTTAAGTTGTTCACCATCAAGTGCGTTCTTTTCTCACCTCCTTAGTGGATGTATTCACGGACGTGATGCTCGTGTTATAACCAAACGATTGGGCTTGAGTGGACACGTCAAAACTCTCTTGATTGTAGCTAAGAGTATCAGGTATTTCAAAGCAAGTTTGTTGATCATTCAAGCCTTCGAATGGCTCACCAATATTCACAAACTTGCATTTCCAATAACTTATTGTTCTGATCCATTACCATCAGCTTTGCAGACACTTTCAACCAAAAAATCAAAGTTTTCATTCTTTTGAATTGCTTGTTTCACATGTTGTGCAGTAACTCTTTTGGTACCAGCATCTTTTGCTTCTGTACCAGCAGCATCAACCAATGAAGCTAGGAAAAACTCTAAAGCTCTACCAACAACAACAGGTGTTGCTTGAGCAACTTTACCAATATCCTCATCTGATTGCATCAACTTCTTTATTCTAGCAGCTGGGAAATGAGTCTTGATATCATCAAATTTAGGTGACATTTTTATAATGAACAAACAATTGAACAAGTTTTCTAAAGTTTACGGCATTTTCAAAACCTGCTAAATTTCATGTGTTTTTGATGGAATATCACATCTTTATATAATTTTTTTTTTTTAGCCCATCAAAATCTGAATCGGCCACGAATCAAAACAACCAGGTTGTTACCCGGGAAACCAACGCTACGGTAACAGCTGTACTACAATTAATTTCAAGTCAACAGTTCTCATAATATCTATTGTTCAAAATAGTAAAACCAAACCAGAATATCATTCACTCCAGATTACGATCATCAGTATATTCATCTCCCTCTGGTGCATCATCAAGCCCTAAGTCATCCTCCTCGGCTTCGGCTGCTGGAGCTTGTTCTTCGTTCAACACTTCACCATCATCATCAATATCATAATCATCATCATCTATCACATCACCCAAAATGTCTTCCTCTTCATCATCTCTAAAATCGCCATCTCTGACAGCATTATAACCTGCACCTCTTCTTGCATATCTTGTATTTCTAGAAAAGATGGATTTGACTTTGTTGATCAAAAAGTTATCAAAGATTCTGAACATCTTGAAGGTTGCAATACCAGCAGCAATAACAGTAACACCACCTCTGATTATGCTATTAACAACTTTGTCTGTGGCATTATTTTCAATCAAATCATCTTCTTCACCTAATCTGATTTCACCGAATCTTTGGAATCCACCATTACGACGAATACCTTTTTCATAAACAAACCAAACTGCAAATAAGAAAACTAAAATAGGCGCAATGATAACAACAGCCAAACCAAATCCTTTAAGCTTGCCACCACGTTTCTTTTGGAACTCATCCTCTTTACCTGGACATGGAATAGGATCAAGCTTATCAAATTCTTGACCACCTTCACAAGTTGATAATGCAATTTTTCTATAACCGGTTGGCTCAAAATATTCAAAAGCATCTTTATCAATTTTACAGATCTGAGAATTATCTGCTGGTTCCAATCCCTCGACTAACTTACAAGTACCGTCACTTGCCTTGACATAGTTGAAATCACATTCATAATCACGTCTGGTACATGGACAGTTTCTAACAACTTTGAAAGCAGAACTCAATGGTGCACTTCCAATAAAACAATCAGAATGATCACTTAATCTTCTCAAATATTGAGCTTCATGACCAAACAAACAATTTGTAGTGGAGAAAGGATGTTTTGGAGACCAATATTCAAAATCATCTTTATCTGGATCATCCAAATCCAAAACACATTGTCTTGCAAAAACATTCTCAAAATCAAGAGCAAAGGTCTTTGTTTCTTCGCCTCTGTTTGCTGGAGAGTTGGCAATCAATAAGAATCTCTTTGAAGTATCAGATGGAACAGTAACAATATCTTCAACTTTGACCAAATCTTCACTAAATTTGTAGTCATTCCATGATTGACCTTCGTCCAAAGAATAATGTATAGTGTCTGTATTTGTTTGATCATTAACTAGAACAATGATTGATCCACGATCACCAAATTCCCATTGATATACTCCTTTCTTGGCTTCTTTCCAGGTGCTACCCCCATCTGTTGTAATAAATGTTGAAGCATCATCAAAAGCACCAAGTGTATCACCGACATTACCAACACCTAATAAAACACCAGTGGCGGATCCTGATGAGAAAGTATCACGATAATCTTTTCTTTCAGTGTAACCATGAAGATGTAACGAACATTCACTCAAAGATTTACCGACACATGAAAACTTCTTACCTTCAGAATCTGTAGAAGGAGGTTGAAGTAAGTCCCAATCTGAACCATCATTAAATGTGATTTGGGATTTCAACTGTTTACGTGAACCTTGTTTTGCTTCTTCGTTATTCGAAACAGTATTAATGATGGCAATACCTTCAAGTCCTTCAACTCTTTCATAATCAACAAAACCATATTCATTTCTGTTCACAAATCTTTCAGAAAGAACATATGATGTACCATTGGAGTTAGATTTTAAAATTGAGCCAAACTCGGAACCGGCTCTTTCGTTGGTAGTGACATGTAAGAAGATAGCACCTGTTTCTGAACCAAGAATTGTATAAGCTTGTTGCTTGTTGACTTTGAAGTTTGATGGGAATAAAGCTTCAGCAAAAGTTTCACCATCTACTGTAACATAAGCCTTCAGACTGTCTCCTTCAACAGCTGCAACAACAGTGTAGTGTGTGGTAGTTGCAAATCCGACGATTCTATCATATAATGTCTTTTGATTGGCAAATTCATCTTCTGAGGAAATCAATGAGAATCCATCTTTTTCGAGAACCTGACAATATATTGTGTTTTTATCAGCATTGAATTTGGTGTATCTAGCACCAACAAAATCACATGTTCTAACATTTTTGGCTAGACTTTTCCATGATTGACCACGATCTTTAGTAATAAATGCAACTGACTTACAGTTTTCTGAGAATCTGGATTCACAATTCTCATCACCATAGAATATAAATGAAGCGTCTGTTTGATTGTTGAACGTCAAAACTGGTAATCCGAAAACGTTGATTGATGATGGTGCTGAAACAATTTGAAAAGTGTTTGCTCTGTCATTTGAGATGTGTAACTTCTTGTTGGTGGTGATAAGGACAACATCATCTTTAAAGTATGGGTTTAGGTAAATCTCATAAATTTCATCATCAGTTTGGTACTTTTTGAAACTTTTACCAGCATCATGTGAGATGAAAACTTCATTTCTTGTAGTTCTAACAAGGATGGTTTCATCAGAGCTATGACCTTTAGTTTGATCCAAAAACATGTAACGAGCGATCCTGCCTTGGAAACTTGTTTCACTAGTTTGAATCTTGTTTGCTTTGAGTAAAGCATCATCACAATTGAACGATTTTTCACTTAAATCAACACTTCCACCTTCACATAAGTTACCTGGAATCTTTCTTTTTGACTGTAATTTCAACTCTTTGTTTGAAGAATCTGCACATATCTTGGTAATAGCATTGTAATCGGGAGCACATTCACCTTTGGAATTTTTCAAGAAACCAAAGTTACACTCATAGTCCCCATCAGTACATTGACAAGCAACTTCTTCAACTTTCAAGTCTTCAAACACTTTGTTGACAAAACATTTAGCATCTTGTTTTCTGCGCTTGAAAATATCTTTATGACCAAAGATACATTGACCATTACCGTCATCATCTGTTCTACCATACCAAGTTTCCATATCCCCATCACCACAAGTCGAATCGAAAGCCTTTGCAAAATCAAGACTATAAAGAACCTGGCTGTTTTCATTTGAGTTTTGAGGTCTGAACAACCCAGAAAGAATAAACTTGGTTGAGGTGCCATCGATAGTAGTTGTTAACAAATATGGAAAAATGTCCTTATCAATGCTGAATGATTGCCACGTTTTTGCTTGGTCTAGAGAATAATAGAGTTTAGACGTTAATAAGTTTTCTTTACGTCTATCAGATTTAACGTATGGAGCAGCAACAATAACATTACCGAGATCACCAAAAGCAAATATAGTTGGCTCATCAAGAGTTTTTTCCCAATTAAGACCCCCATCTCTTGAAGCATAGGTGTGCATGTTCAGAATGTTTTTATCAAGAGATGTACCAGTAGAGCCAACAGCTAATAAAATACCTGGAGTAGCACCTGTGGCACCTTGACCATCTCCTCTTCTTTCTTCCAAGCTTAACAAATTTAAGCTACAGCTTTCATCACCTGGACAATTACTAGTTTTCAGATAATCCCATGTCCGACCATCATCGAAAGTAATTTTAGACTTGGATAATGGAGCCAAAGTACTACTATCATATCCTTCCATCACATTTGCAATCCAAACACCTTCAATAGTTTCCACTTTCTCTAAATTCACAAATCCCAAGAAGTTACCTTCAATGTTCTCTAGCAACTTTTTGAAATGAATACCTTCACTGTCAGAAGACAAAATATCAGAAACTTGCTTACCATCCTCTGAGAAGCCCCAAACACTGATATGCAATGAGGATTTGCTTGAAGGGAGGAAGCTAAAGCTATCAGAGACAATGGCAGCATCGATAACGGCTTTTGTAAATTCATAGCCATCTTTGGACACGTATAGAACTGCTGAAGATCCGGTAGCACCGTACTTATCAGTTTGCACAGTGGCAACAATGAATGACTGAATAACATTAATTTCCAAAACATAACTAGTTGCTAGGATCCCGGTGGTATCATTTATGGTTTCTTGTGTTTTGAAGAAATCAGTTGAAGTGATAATTTGAGTTTGCCTTATATATCCGTGAGTATCTCTTTCACTTTTCAAACACAAAATTCTGCTATCATCACCTGCATCAAAAACACCATTAGATTTTGTAAAGGTACAGTATGAAACATTTGGTATCAAAATCTTTGGATCATTCTTAAAACCATCAGTGGTGTAAAAGACGTCATTCTTACAGTTTCCTTCTTTATCACATTCAATAAATGCCAGTAATACTTCATCAGTGTTTTTGCTATTGACATTCACTTCATAATTGAGATTAGGATCAATTTCTACTTTGAATGTGTCCCAACTTTTACCTTGATCATTGGAAACGTAATGTGTTGATTTTGAAGAAAAGGCAAAAACACGATCTTTTTTAATCTTATCAATATAGAAATTTTGAACATCATCTAAAACTTTTTCCCAATTCTTCCCATCATCTTGAGATCTTAGTAAACTCTTGCCATTCAAATTCAAAAGGACTGGGGAATCATCAAAATACAAAATGCTTTCAGAGACATGATCTGACACTTGTGAATGTATTTCTGGGGCAAAATCAGCTACCACCACTTTTAAAAGAGCGACCACCAGGTAGGTTAATCCAAGAATAACCTTCATCCTGTGATTCACTCAAATTGAATTACCTGCCCTAAATTGATTCTCGATCAATTGGTAGTTGTTTGAAGTCTCTTTGTTCTTTATAAAACGGATCTTATCGAGGAACGTTATTGCTTTCTGCTTTCCAAATCACCGCAATTGACTCAATTGTTATGCTTCTGTCCTTTCACTTTGACTTTCAATAGCTGATTGAATTGGTCGACTTATCGAATAACTCCAAAATGGAATCGAATTGGTTCCTTTTAATTTGCTTCCAGCCTATAAAATTGGGCAATTCTTCAACCGCCATTCAAAAAGCGTTCGCGAAAACAGCCTCCAAATAATGCTGCGCTAACCAGGTCGCGAACATCCGAACATCTCATCGGCTTTGGCTCAAAAAATTTATTTTGCACTTTAAATATTTAGAAACAATAAGCAGAACAATTAACGAGCTACTTCGAGTAATCTTTTGAGGTGTGTTTGTTGATATATTCGTTACAAAGCCATGTCATCCCAAGAAGAAAATAGAGAAGTCCAAAACTTAGGTAAAGGTGACAGAGTTAACGGTAAGTTTATATATTTGGAAGGTCTCATTTAGTAGAGAGTACTGACATAAAATTTGACAGGAAAGAACTGGAAGGTTGAAAAAGCCGCATTCAGAGTTAAAAGTTTAGGTGTTAAATCTACTTGGGCTAAGAAGCAAGAACAAAGATTGAAAGATGAGCAAGTCAAAGCTAAGCTTAAAGAACTAAAAGATGAAAAAGAAAATGAAAAGAAAGAACGTATTCAAGCTATAAAGGACAGAAGAGCCAAACAAGAAGAGAAAGAAAGATATGAAAAGATGGCTGCCAAAATGCATGCTAAGAAGGTTGAAAGAATGCGTAAAAGAGAAAAAAGAAATAAACTACTTAAAGACCGTTGAACCTTTCGATGAGAAAGGGTTGTCAACTTTATCATCGTCATCGTCAACGACAAGTAATAATGGTTTTCTGTGTATATTAGGGATTTTAATGGCATTTGTTTTCAAAAGTTTTATGAAATGATGTTTGAATGTAATTATGGCTTACATGCCCTGATTCTTAGAATGCAAGCTTTGTGTGTGTTCTGTTACAGATCATATATGGCTAATAATTTCAATTGGTGCTCTTTTTTCTTCTCTTTGAACTAACAATAGATTTTTTAATGCACTCAGTATAGGATATAGGATCTTTCAAGCGCAATTTCAAGATCCATATACCCATGAGGCTGATTTTGAATTGAAAACATTATACAAATTAGGTAAGAACAATGATTCTCGAAATGCGTCTAGAAGACTTCACAGTATTTTGAGGCCCTACGCATATTTTTAAAATCTCTTGCTGGCACGTTACTACTGATGTTTTTTATTTCACGGTTTTATTGTTGATTCAGATTTCTTCTATAAGCTATTGTGTCTTCCCGATACGGCAATAGCGTCGATACCTTCAACTTCAAAACACCGAACATTAACCAGACAGCTGTCAAAACCAAACTTTGTTTTATAATTGTTTCGAAACTAAGTCTGAAAGCTTTTAAAAAAGTATATAAAAGGTACTTTCACTTCATTTAATTCAAAAAGCCTTCTTCACCTTATTATCAAACAACTAAAACACTACAATCACTATCAAAAATGCAACCATCCACCACTTTCGCTGCTCCAAAAGACAAAACTGAAAACGCTGATCAATTTAACTGGGGACGTTATTCTTCTGGTCACTGTATCATTGCTTAGTTCTGTGAATTTTTCTACACATTTTTTTATCTGTTATACTGAAGCTGGTTTTGTTATGTCAATGCTGACAGTTTGAAATAGCTATATGGTTTTTTAATCCTAGAACGGTACACAAGTTCCAAATATATTGAATGACATTATACTTTAATTTTTAGACCATGACCCCCTGTAGCTCAAACATATTCTTCGCCGTAATGTGAGAGTATTAATTATATTGTTGAGATTCAGCTGTACTAGTTCAGACAAAATGGTTTTTTTGCTGCTCTTATCTGTACAATTTCCTAATCCGGTTGATTATCAATTTTAAACTTCATATCTATTAATTCAACTGAAAAACAACGTAACTCTTCCAAAATGTCCTGTATTAATAAGTGTAAACTCTAGATATATTTCATTCCTTACTTCTATTCTAGATCTATTAAGCTTTCATACGATCACAGCTAGCTGATCAGTTAATTCAGCTAGCTGCGGTGCCCATGTACTGGCCCACTCACCAGCAGCTTAGCTAGAATATTCGAACCAACATGATCATGATTAATATCGACTAAACTGCATTTAACCATTAGGACATCGAGATCATGGAATTAAAGTACTTATATGATCAGCTTATAATAATTGGCCGTGAATATAATTATTTATTATATATTGATCAACATATATTTTTTTTTTATAAATTACTAGTTGATGTATTTGATGAACTTGGATGAGGAATGCAATTAAGCACGAACCGCTTGGATTAATTTGTAGGCTTCTCGCTATGTTGGAATTCAAACTTCCTTATAATATCCTTCTCAGCTAGCCAATTACTGATCAGAAAAATTAACCTTAATTTTTTTTTTTTAATGTCCAATATCTGATGTGTATTTATAATAAAATGCTGAATTATAATAATTATAATGTACAAAATCACTAGGGACTCAGTCTATAATTATATTATTGCGTCGACGACGTCTGATTTAAAGTTAAAGCTGGGATAAATCAGAATAAAAATATTAACAGGTAAGAATGTATCTGATGTGTATAATATGAAAATCAAAAAAAAATAGACAGCGTCTATAAGCACTAGCTAGTGCAGATCATAATATATTATTGATCATATTATTAGTCATTTTGAATATTAAAAACGTCGACGTGATTCATATAATAATTAATATTGCAGATCGAGTGGTCTCTCTATTAATTAACATATAAGTACGACAATTAAACTATATCTGTATTCAAAAGTTTCTCAGAAGCTGCATGTTGTCAGTGACACAGTTCATGAACTAGCAACGTTTATAGACCATATGGGTTGGCATTATTTGCACTATGAGCTAGCAGACGAAAAGCTACAAATACAACATCATATAATAAACAAATCACGATAAATTAATGTATATAATATATTAAAAGTTCAATTAATATCTTGACTTTACTAGTCTAGAATATCATTTGTAAAAGAAAAACGAAAAAAGACAAAGATCCAAATAGTAAGCCATGTTGGCCTTTCAAAACATTACCAGCATTAGCTTCTTGTACAGTATATGCTGTGCTTGAGTTTGATTCTAATGATGAGATAGAAGGAACGACAGTGGATAATGTGTTGATTATTTGGGTTGAAGTTGTTGATGGGTTACTTGAAAAGGTTGTCAATGTTCCAGTGGATGGTTGTGATGAAATTGGGGTAGTTTCTTGTGATGATGATGGTTCTTCAGCAGCTATCGTTGGTGATGTTCTACTTGTTTCGATTTGTATTGAACAAGATTCACATGGCACAGTGACTGTTTGACCATTAACATCAGTTGTGGTGATGGTTGGAACATCAGATGTGGATTCACATGGTACCGTTGTAGTGACTGTAGCACCACTTGAGTTTGTAGTAGTGACCACTATGAATGAAGTTGTAGTGACGTCTGGTGTTTGTAATGTAGTACCAGTTTCACAAGGAACTGTTGTGGTGATGGTTGATCCATATGTATTTGTAGTGGTAATAACAAATTCAGATGTTGAAGAAATTTCACTTGATGTAGATTCACAAGGAACAGTTGAATAAATGGTAGTACCCTGTGAATTTGTGGTTGTCACAACAGTATATGATGATGACGTAGAAGGAGCCTCTGATGTACATGGAACAGTTGTTGTGATGACAATACTTCCAGATTTTGTTATTGTTGTAACAGTGAATGAAGTTTCTTCAGTTGTTGATGTTGCACTTGTGGAGCTTGATGATTCACAAGGGACAGTAGTTGTGATGGTCTCAGTATGCGGAATAGTGACCGTTTCAACTGTGTATTGAGTTGTAGTTGGTGTTGAGAAGTATGATGACAATGAGTTTGTGGTACATGGAACAGTTGTAAAGCTTGTTATGTTGAATGATGTGGTGACGGTAGTGACAGTATATGACTCTGGAGTGGATGATGTATGTGAAAAGCTAGATGAGCTTGTGGTGGAAAACTTAGAAGAAACAACTGATGAAGAACTTGAAATAACACTTGAGCTTGAAGGTGTCACCCTAGATGAACTTTCAACTGAGCAAGATGATGATGGGGTGGTGTGAGTTGTGGAAGAGAAACTTGAAGATGCGCTGGAGCTCGACTCACTTGAAGAATATCCAGAAGAGTGAGATGTAAAGCATGAAAAGCAAGTGAAACTGGAGATTGTTGAAGTTGTTGACGAGGTGGTGGTATAAATAGATGATGACGATGATGATGATGAGCTCAACACAAAAGTGGAGCTACTTTCAGCAGAAGATGAGGATGAAACACTTGAGCTTGACATGGAGCAACCTGGCAATGAGCAACTAGTGATAGTGATAACAGTAGTTGAACTCAATTCTGGAGTTGTTGAACTTGAACTCATTGAAGATTCAGAGCTTGATGAACTTGTAATGCGAGAGCTTGAACTCACCACAGTTGATGATGAGACCAACGAGCTTGATAAGATTGATGAGCTTGATGAAGAGATCACAGGTTTTGTGATACTGCTTGTAGTGAGGGTTGAGGAATGGACAGAAGAGCTGCTTGAAACAGAAGAACTAAATTGTGACGTTGTGCTCGATTCTGAAACTGAGGATGAGGAACTAACAACTGAGCTTGATGAGACAGAACTTGATGATGAAAGAGATGTTGATGAACTTGAAGACACAACACTTGAAGAACTTGAAATAGCACTTGAAGAACTTGAGCTAATGGAGGAAAACGTGGAAGAGGCTGGCTTGAGGGTGGTGGTTGAAAGTGAATAAAAACTTGTAGAACACGACAAGCAAGTTCCCGAGGAAACGGTTGTAGTTGTTGTTGATGATATCGTGACTGGAGTTGAAGAAGAGCTTGCTGAACTTGACAAACTTATAACCGAAGAGCTGGAAGAGCTTGATGATATTAAAGAGCAGGAACTGGAGTGAGTGAAGCTTGATCTTGAAGAGACAGAAGAAGAAGTTGTGACTAAGCTTGAGCTTGATGAAACAACAGAGCTGGAACTGGTGGCAACAGAAGAGCTTGAGACGACAGAGGAGGAACTTGAGCTTAAACTTGACACCACTAAAGAGCTTGAACTTGATGAGTAAGCAGAGCTAGAAGTTGAAACAACGGAAGAACTTGAACTAACAAAAGTTGAGCTAGTGCTTGAACTTGAAACAGCAAAAGAGCTTGAGCTAGGAGTAGCAGATGAGCTAGAGCTTGTTATTGAGCTTGAAGAGCTTGAAAAGCTTGATGATGATGATGAGCTGATATAACTGCTTGAGGAAACACTAAATGGTTTAGAAGAGCTTGAGCTGGAAGAGCTTGCTGAAGATGAATAACTTGAAGAGCTTGAGCTTGAACTTGAGCTTGGAACTGAGGTAGTGCTGGAACTAGAAGTCACCACTGAGCTAGATGAAGAGCTTGAGCTTGAAACTGCGGAAGAGCTGGAACTAGAAGTCACCACTGAGCTAGATGAAGAGCTTGAGCTTGAAACTGAGGAAGAGCTGGAACTAGAAGTCATCACTGAGCTTGAACTTGAACTTGAACTTGAACTTGAACTTGAAGAGCTTGAAGATGGAGTTGGGAAGTATGAGGTTGAACAAGACAAACAAGTACCACTCGATATAGTGATTGTAGTCGAAGAATGTGTTGTTTCTGTTGTTGGAAAGTATGAAGTAGAGCAAGACAAACAAGTTCCTTTTGAAACAGTCACAGTAGTTGATGAATGTGTTGTCTCAGTAGTTGGATAATAAGATGTTGAACATGACAAACAAGTACCTTTAGACACAGTCACCGTTGTTGATGAATGTGTTGTTTCAGTTGTTGGGTAGTATGATGTAGAACATGATAAACAAGTAGCAGAAGAGTATGTCTTTGTGGTGCTAGAGTGAATGGTGCTCAAACTAGTTGAGGTTGAACTAGTGGATGGTTTAGTGGTAGATGAAGTTGGTGTGACAGATGAAGTAGTTGTAGAACTAGAAGTAGTAGTTGGAGAAGTCTTTGATGATGATGGTGTTGGGTAATATGAGGTTGAGCAAGAAGCACATGTACCACTAGAGTAAGTGACTGTTGATTTTGAATGAATAGTGCTCAATGAAGTTGAAGTTGAAGTTGAACTTGTGGTTGATGATTTAGTTGTGCTTGGATAAATTGTTGAACATGAAAGACAAGTACCAGCACTAACAGTGGTAGTTGCTGAAGAATAAATGGTGCTCAAGGAGGAAGCAAATGCTGCTAATCCTAAAAATCGAATCAAACTAAACGAGTGGAGTTTCATCTTGGTCTAATGAATGAAAAGTAGTTGGTAATTTGGTAAATAGATGAATCAAATATGAGGAAGATATGGAAATCTTCAAGGGATCATTCATCTTATAAATATCCATCATAGCCAGCTCATCTCAAGAGCAGAAGCAGCAGCATCAACCACCATGTAAGTACGTTACGTTGTGTTTTGTAAACATCCAAGTTTTGACTTGATGAAATTTCCCTAAACAGACAAGCACAATTGAATCTTGACTCAAGTTTCCAAACAATTGGTAATGAGGCAACTGTCAAAGTAGGTAGCATCTTTCTAGAATAATACCAACATTGAACGCAATGTCTGAAGATGTGACAAAGTTTTTAGCGAGATTGAGAATGTTCAGGCGTTTGGGTTTTGAAAGTCTTTATTGTTTGTTCCAGAAGCGGCAATTCAATGAGTAACGTTCGAACAGCGTGTTAGAGAGCCTTGGAAGTATTAAGCCCCAAAAAGGCAGCTCGAGAGATCTTTGAGATCTCGACTGAAATAGAAGACCATCTGCTTATAGCTAGCATCCATCGAATCCTCAAGAGGTTCTGTTTGACTGAAATGTTGATGTTCTGGTTGTTGACGTTTTCTGACAGAATATCCTCTACTGTGTGTATATAAGGTAATTCCGATGTTCTATTAATATACATATAATGTTACAATTAGTGGATTCTTGATTCTTCTTATAGTTGATGTGAAATGTTGAGTATTGATGAATTGTGCATAATTGGTTATTCTGGTTATGTAATACCTGACATTCCCCCCCTCATTTCTGAGTATTTATTGAATGTAATAATATTAAATATGATGAAACTTGATTTGGAACTATATTGTGTTGTCTTTTGTTAACCGGTGTTCAATTGGTTGTGATTGAATATGAAAGAATGAGTGAAGTACCTATAGATTTAAAAAGAAATGATTCTTGAATGGTGTGGAGGTTAATGTCTTTTGAATTTCAGGACCTGAGTATTTCTTGGTGAGAAAATCTGAGCAGTTTGAGATACCTGAAATATGATGGAATGTAACAATGTTATCTTCTTTGT